AAGGCAAGATTCGTCATTTTCGATGAACTTGATTGAAGAGGTGAGAAAATACCCCTGTGTTTGGAACGTCTCACTGCAGTCTTATAAAGACAAGCCGAAGAAGATGGAGGCATGGCGCAGAATTTCTACATCGTTAAAAGTAGCAGGTCAGAAAGCCCTTTCAGTATCTCTTTATCTTGAAAATTAGAGCTATACGTTTCAGTGTTGGCAAATCTTCTTGTATTATTTTTTCCCTTTATTTTCTTTTATAATAAAGAAGACTTTCATTTTCAGAAAATTTCTTCTGTATTATATATCTTTTATATTATTTTGATTGAAGACAAATCAAGAAGTTTTGATTCAGCTTTTAATTCAAAGTGTAAGAATTTTCTTGCACATTTTGATATTATTTGGTATAATGTATGGACCATAGGAGAATTCAGCAAAATATTTCACTCATAAATATCTATACTGAGGAGAAACATTTTAGCAAATTCCCTGGGACAAGCAAAGGAAGACAATATATAATAAATATTTATGTTATCATCATTACTTTTAATTGTGTAATTCCAAAAGTCTTCTTTTATTAATGAATGAAAAAAGAAGATATTTTTCTGGAAAAATCACCTTTTATCCAACCCTGATACATTTCATTGAGACTATATACCAGTATGATACCATGGGAATGCCCTTAGATTCATTCAGTGTGAAAAAGTCTCCTAACCATACAAGATAGAAATGCACCATTTTAGGCCTTTTATAAATTTGTATTTTGTTCATAATAGGATAGCCACTGGTAGAAAAACAATTCAATACAATCAAGATTCTATGGCCTGTGCTGTGTATCATAAATTCAAATGCTAGACAATTTTATTGATCAATGTAGTATTAATTTACTAACTTTGGCAGTTACAATATATGCAATGTTCAGTTTCAACCCTCCATAAACTCTGCCATTAGTCTGTAGTGATTTTATAATCTACAGTGATACATAAATTATATAATTCAGGTGAATGCATTATTGATACAAATGCAATTGTTTAATATTTCACTTAGTTTTGAAAATGTATTGTCTAATTTTAGAAAGTAAAGCAGTCAAAGAATTTGACAGGTTGAAAGACAACTTTAGAAGGTGTATTAGGAAAAGGGAAATGGCTTCACGTTCTGGATGTGCTGGAAAAAAGCTACCAACATGTGAATTTTTTGCCGAGCTTTCATTTCTGAGGGATGTTATGACCGGAAGGAAGACTGACACAAACATTGTTGTTGACGTGGAAGCTCCCATTCCAACCCCAGCATTAGCAGAAAATTATCAATATGGTCCGGCATTTTCACCATGTGATGCTGACAATGATTTAATTCAACCTGAAATTCCTTCTTCAAAAGCTATGCAAAAAGCAAGGAAACGACGTTCTGATCAAATAGATGATTTGTTAGCTATTAGCCTTGCCAATGATTTGGCAAGTGCTAAACAGGGAGATTCAAAGATCAAAACAGGTCAACAGGATGATCAAGATGTTCTGTTCTGTTCCAGTCTCGTGGATAGTTTCAAAAACTTGAAAGGAAAAAAGAACAAAATGGCAAAAATGAGGGTATTAGAAGTCCTCGCAGATTTTGAAGACGATGAGTGAGTATTTCACTTGAAAGTCGTTTTAGAACATGTTAACTTTTGTTTACATATTAAGATCATGAACTTATATACAGATACTGAACTCGAAAAATAACAGTGCGTTTAGATTTTCAGTGTATGTAATTAATGTTTGAACATTAAAGTTACTTATTGATCCTCGTCAAGTTGGAAACAATCTTCTGTAGCATGCACAGCGTTCCACTGCCAAGGCACATGACCCTCCCGTGACATGAAGTAGTCTCTAAAATTCTCTCTTATTAATTTGGCATCACGCGAGTAGTTGTTTGAACCGGCTCTTGCGATTGCCCTTAACCCTTGATCAGCTTGCACCACCGCTCTCCACTCCCCAAGTTGTGTCCCAATTGCTGTATCGTTGTCAACAAATCTGAATGGACAGTAGTTTGTCCCATGTGAGAATTTCCTGCCAGCCATAAGATAGTTGTGTAGAACTACTACAGCTTTGGTGATTCTAGTAACCATTTCCACTTTTGCATGAATTGGACGTCGGAAAACTCTGAACCTTGCAGCTGCAATGCCAAACGTGTTCTCAATAATGCGTCTTGCTCTCGACAATCTGTAATTGAAAATTCTTTCAGGTAAACCGAGAACTTCTCTTGGGAAAGGTTTCATGAGATGTTCTTGCAATTGGAATGCCTCGTCTGCCACTAAAACGTACGGATACTTTTTAGGAGAACCAGGCAATGCAGCTGGATCCGGAATGTCTAAGTGGTTTTTCTTAATTGCTTCACCCATTTGACAGTGGTTAAATACACCCCCGTCACTGTTTCGACCAGATTCACCAATATCGACAATGGTGAATTGGTAACTGGCATTGCAAATTGCCATTAAAACAATTGAATGCGTTTTTTTATAATTAAAAAACATGGATCCGGAGTTTCCCGGTGCTTGCATGACGACGTGTTTTCCATCAATAGCGCCGATGCAGTGGGGAAAATTCCATTTCGTTTCAAACTCGTATGCGATGGTTTTCCATTCATTTTGATTATTGGGACACTTGAGGTGGTTTGCTGATAATATTTTCCACAATGCTTCGCAAGTGGTAAATATAATTCTTCCGATAGTTGTTGGACTGATTCGATAACACAGGGCTATTGTTGTTTGTGAATCACCAGTAGTTAAATACCGTAGAGTTGCACAAAGCCGTTCACTTGGCCCTATACATTCTCGCGTGACACTCGACTTCTGAATTTCTGGAGCAATCATTGCTAAAAGTTCCTCAAATTTTGCAGCATTCATACGAAAGTACCTGAAAAACAATTCATCGTCGAACAAACGTAAATCTTGTACAAGGAGGTAGAATTCCCCTTTTGAATGACGCTCTTGAAAAAGTTTACGCACCCACATTGATTTCCTATATTTATTTTTCTTTCTATTTCTTTTTAACAAAAAGATCATTAGTGTTTTTTTACTTATGATAGCCATGTTTGAAATTGTAGAATTGGCGCGAAATCTTTCTATGTTATACGCCTTCGTACTATTCGTTCAAAGTGGATAAAGCACAACGTACAAGTATTCGCTACGATTTGCTACGTTACAGTTCGGTACGTTACGGTACGGGCGAAGTGGAAAACAGGCTTAACTTTATCCGGAATAACAAATTCACCTTTATCTGTTGATAAAGTTCATGTTGTCTAGGCTTAGGAGGTGAATTGTTTGACATCGCTGTCCGCTGAGAAGTAACAGCAGAACTGTTACTTGGATAGTCATGGTCCTTTAATGTCAGTTCGTTTACCATAGGTTGCTTTCGCAAATAATTAAAAAGAATATTTACGTCCCAAATAGATTTCAGTTCAGAAAGGTCTGAGTTCGAAAATACCCTTCATGAATCGTTTTACCAGAGGGTGTTGACCAAAGGCGATGGTATTATTGTTTGTTTGACTAAGTGCAGACAAGGCACTATAGCGGAGTAAGACAAACCGGAATGATAAAGAACTGTGAGAAAGTCCACAATTTTAGTGATTGGGGGGTCAACTGAAAAATTCACAACTTGAAGTACTACAAAATACTACTGCTTTTTTAACCGCATGATTAAATCGGTCCTAACTGGAAATTGGTAATTATAAAGATGGGGGGATTGTTGGGAGTATGCAGGACCTCTTGCAGAAAATTTTCTGTATTTTCGAGCCCCTATGACTTAATCTCCAGAATTTTGGGGGACAACTACTTATGATCCACCTCGGCAGAGTGAGGTCTGTTGAGAAAATACCATTTATCACTGCACATTCTACTTTACTGCACAAATTGGTTATCACTCAACACTAAAATAAGGTATCCGTCAATACAAAGCATTGATAGTTTATTCCATTTCCGCCACGCTTTTTCTTGATGAGCATACACGCGTTGAAACCGACGTGTAATTCAATACACGCGGATCATTAGTAAGTGATTAGTTAAGCACAAGCAATTACCATCACGTTTTATGGCTTTTTAATGGCGTGATAAAAGTAATTCATAATCTCAGATAGCGTGTTTACATGTGGCTACCGCTTGACCATATGCCATGATGATCAATTAAGTTCTAAAGAAACATGTTTTGTAACAAAAAGTCAATCTTATGCAGACGTTGTTTTTTATGTTTGGCTGCCTCAAGCTAACAAATATATATCTGTCAGAAATCTGCTCTCCGGTATCGATATCGGAGGTACAGATGATATTTCACAAATCACAAGTTAGTTTTTCCAAATCGATGTTAATTTGCATACGTATTTATATTTCATATATATTTAGTCGTCGAGAAGTTTAAGCATTTTAATGGCCTGGAAAGCCTATCCTGTAAATAACACATTACTGTATATCACATGAAATATCCCATGCGGCCAATTTGGAGGTGATTCCTAAAAGAAAAGGCAAAATTTCAGTAGGCATTTAATTTTAAGCAGTGATTTAAGTACAGGTCAGAATGTTTCATTTGCTTTAATCATTTCTTGCTAATAAAAAACTGCACAGAAATAAACCACGATATGTCAACATATGTCGTTTCTCAGTACTTTGAGCACACAGTCCATGCGAACTGATATCCACGCCAGCGATGTCATTACATGCAATCAACAACTGAATTCAGAGTGATTCCAGAGTGACTCAATCTTTAACGTCACTTGAAACCCAATAAAAGATGAATGTATTTACGCTTATTATTTTAGAAACATCCTGCATATTGACGTTCGTTTCCTTACGCAGATAAATACTTTTCATTGTCCATGAAAAATATATATTCTTATTTTTTAGTGATTTTTTACTTCAATTTCCGCAATCTTTGAGCATTGGGTTTTTTAATCCAGCCCGCATTGCCCGCGCTAATTATTCCTCCAATGAGAATGGTGATTACGTCATATGGTGCAACTCCCATGAATGAATAAATTCTGTGCGTGCCATGTGACCAGTCTCTTTGATTCTCTGTATCTCGCAGGAGAAGGTATTGAAAATTTTATGTCTTTTAAATCCATATCAATCTTCTCGTTTTATGTGACAAATTTCGTAGTTTATAGCCATCGCATAATTGTTTAAGCAATAGACTAATGGATTTGAGTACTTAATTCACGTAGAAAGCATGTTTCCCCCCACAAATATATGTCTAAACCTTGGTCTTTGTGGTCATTGTGAAATTTTTCCTAGCGGTTTCTGGCAGGTTTTAAACGGTTTCTTGGCTAAAAAACTGAACTTAATTGTGTTCTTTAACACCACTTTTATTTCACAACGTTTCTGTCGGTTTGAAAGGTGAGTTTAGGCTATTTTTCTTGTGTTAAAACGGGAAATCAGACGATTATCTAAAAACAAGATGACGTAGCCCTCTTGTTCTCGTGTGAGAATGGCTTCTCTTTCGTGTAAGCTGAAACGTCTTTATACGCGCCAAATATTTTGACTTTTTAGCCTTGGAAAGGTTGATTTTGTATCGGAAAAAGACAAGTTTGTGTGTGCATAAATTTGTTCATGATTTAAGTTGTGGCCGGCATATATAAATTTATCATATTCGCCCGAGGACATTTATCACATTCGCCTTGATATAAACTTTCAAATAGCCGAAAAAGATGGCTAAAAGTTTGCCCTATCCTAAATGGCGTTTTTAGCACTTATTTCACGCAGGTATATAGTGCGTGCAATGTATACTTAAAAATCCTTAAATTATAAATCTAAGGACATGAAATCATCTACTTCACATATTTTAAAACACTTGTCGAGAAGTTGGCTAGTAAAATTGCCTACTGTTTTAGACTTAGTTTTCTCAGATCTCGTACCATGGTTTTTTAAGATTGAGCCTGTAAACTTTTAATAAATTTTACTGTTGAGGAACAGACCATAGCATGTGGGGAGGTGGTTGACCATGTAAAGAACTGCTTTGAACTTCAGTGAGCAATGCAGATTCAGAATTTGCAAATTTTGCATCAAGGTAGTTTGTAACTTCCTGTTTTAACAGCCAATCAGACTAAAAAGCTGTGTTGGCTTGTTGGGAACCCTAAACTTTACTTTTAATTGATGGGAAAGTGAGCATGACTCATGGGGAAGGTGTACAAATTACCATTAAAGTGTAAAACAATTTCAGGGAGAAGGGTTGTGTATGGCTTAAAGGCCATTTGAATGACCATATTTTTAGAAGAGCACATTTGTATGAAATTAAATATGTAGTTGTAATTTATTCTGGAATTGTTTTTCATTTTAGACTTAATCTCAACTACTAAGGTTGTTCAAACACTTTCATAATGGGAAAGGAAAAGACTCACATAAACATTGTTGTTATTGGTCATGTTGACTCTGGCAAGTCAACCACTACTGGTCATTTGATCTACAAGTGTGGTGGAATTGATAAGAGAGCTATTGAAAAGTTCGAAAAGGAAGCTGCTGAGGTTAGACTTTTGTAGAGAATACATTTCCAAGCTTTTTTGTGTGACTTGTGACAACCATTCATATTTCCTCCCCCAGCATATATTGTGAACATTACATTATCCATGATGTATCCAATTTGGGTTAGCAGTGTTTTGGTAGCCTGCATAGAAAGTGTGCAAATTGCATGCTCAAGTTTGCAAGACCAGTAGTAGATGTCTGAATTGTGTGTATGTAAGTCCCCAAAATCTTGGTTGAACAATATATACTTCCCACGCTAGGTAGTGTGTGCTACAACTGTAATATTTTTGCTTAATTAAAAGCATGTAATTCACTTTAGATGGGAAAAGGTTCGTTCAAATATGCTTGGGTGTTGGACAAACTAAAGGCTGAGCGTGAACGTGGTATTACTATTGACATCGCTTTGTGGAAGTTTGAAACAACAAAGTACTATGTTACTGTCATTGATGCTCCTGGCCATCGTGATTTCATCAAGAACATGATCACAGGAACGTCACAGGTTTGTTTGTACAACATGAATTGTAATTTATTTTGATTCCGTGTCACTGGAAATTTGGACTTGAGTGTATGCCTTTAAAATGCTTCTCTGAAATGCTGAGACATCCAACTGATTTCCAGTGGAAGGAACCTTCTTCCACATTATTGTTTTCCTAGAATCCTCTTAAACCTTTGGAATCTCTTCATAAAAAAAATAAAAAAAGGCATGGGAAAGCCTTTTAAACTGTGAAGGTGTACAGACCTTTTAAGACATTGCTGTTAAGGAAAATATGTAACATTTGGTGTGTGTTTGAAAAAATACATACTGTTAACATTGATAACTTTTGTCTGTTGTCTTTCAGGCTGATTGTGCTGTGTTGATTGTGGCAAGTGGGACAGGTGAATTTGAAGCTGGTATTTCTTCAAATGGACAAACTCGTGAACATGCTCTACTAGCCTATACCCTTGGTGTAAAGCAAATGATTGTTGGTGTTAACAAAATTGACAGCAGTGAGCCACCATACTCTAAGGCTCGTTTCGAGGAAATCACAAAAGAAGTCCAGGCGTACCTCAAAAAGGTTGGTTACAACCCCAAGACGGTTGCTTTTGTCCCAATATCTGGTTGGCATGGTGACAACATGCTTGAGCCAAGTGAGAACATGCCATGGTTCAAAGGTTGGTCTGTTGAACGCAAAGAAGGAAATGCAAGTGGCAAGACGTTATTTGAAGCTTTGGATTCTATCCTTCCTCCCAAACGTCCTACTGATAAACCTCTTCGTTTGCCTCTCCAAGATGTGTACAAGATTGGAGGTAGGTATTTATTGCAGAACTTTGAATTGGCCTTTTTACAGGACATAGTTAAGGCCTAGCTGAATGACCGAACATTGTGGTGCTATACGTTCCTCACCTATATCAACTAAATATTTACACTTTCAACAGTATTAGGCAGTTCAATTCCTATCTCTGTTCTATTGATGGCAACACAAAATGCTCCTGTTTTTGTTTAGAAAAAGTGAAAACTTTTTAATTTGTCATAAAATCTAGTCATCAAATGGAGTCATAAATGAGCTTTTAAGTTTGTTCCCAATTTTTTTAAAGTTGCTAATATTTTAACAGAAATTTAAATTATTTTTAAACAGTTTTTTTTTCACAAAATTTACCTTCAAAAACTTGTAGGCAAACAATTCAGGCTTAAACAAAATTGACCTGTAACCTTGAAAGAACATATAAAAAATTGAAAGAACATATATCAAACCTGTAACCTGATTGCTTTGATACGTCAACCTTGAAAACATCAGAACAATACAAAAACTTTGAAGATTAAACATCAAATGTTATTTCTTCAGTAAATGCTGTTGACTGCATTGCTGTCTCATATTTGCATTGTTGAACATGTGGTAGGAATTTACTAACAAGCTATCTTTGTCTCCTTTGCATAGGAATTGGTACCGTTCCAGTTGGACGTGTTGAGACCGGTATTCTGAAGCCAGGAACAGTGGTAACATTTGCACCTGCGTGTCTTACAACTGAGGTTAAATCTGTTGAAATGCATCACGAAGCTTTGCCTGAAGCTCTGCCTGGTGACAATGTTGGCTTCAATGTGAAAAATGTCTCTGTGAAAGAAATAAAGAGAGGAATGGTTGCTGGTGACAGTAAGAATGATCCTCCTAAAAAAGCTGCAAACTTCACTGCCCAGGTATGTGGAAGACATGGTATGGCTATAGCCTGGTAAACACATATCCCATCAACAATTCAATGGTCGCATAAAAATAGATTGTCTTGTCATTTGAAATAAATTTCCCTAAGCGTAGTTATGTGACATACTTACTTTTTTAACTCCTCTTTCTAAGCTCTGCTGGGCCTGTGTGCTAAAGAAACAATTCAACCACTATTCTTTTTGCTCATATTTGGCAGAGTTCTTGAAGTTAACGTTCTAGAAAATAACTTGCCCTATGCTTTATCTATTAAATCTGTATGTTTTTTAACCCTATGCGTTTATTCATCAGGTCATCATTATGAACCATCCAGGTGAAATCCATGCTGGGTATAGTCCAGTTTTGGATTGTCATACAGCCCACATCGCTTGCAAGTTTTCGGAACTAAAACAAAAAATCGATCGTCGAAGTGGTAAAGCTACGGAAGAAAATCCCAAACATTTAAAGAAAGGTGATGCTGGCATGGTGGTGATGATTCCGTCCAAGCCTATGTGTGTTGAAACATTCACCGAATATCCCCCTCTCGGAAGATTTGCCGTACGTGACATGAAGCAAACTGTTGCTGTTGGAGTCATAAAAGGAGTTGAGAAGTCAGATGGCACGGGCGGTAAAGTAACCAAGTCTGCACAAAAGGCTGGTGCTGGCAAGAAGTGATTTTATCCTCTTGAACTTTTCACTCAAGATCTGCTTGTTGAGAATAAATGCCCGTTTAATGGAAGAACTATCAATACTTGTTTTCCATTTGGAAGAGACTTTGAGTGTAATAATGGGCAAATAGTTAATAAATGGTATAAATCAACCTGGTTATCGTTACCCGTTTTCTGTGTCGTCTTATTTTATTGTGAAGCCGGTTTGCTAGTCGTTCACGAAGACAACTTGCACTCGAACTCGCGAGCCAGTTAGCTTAGCCCGAAAACCATCCGTACACGAAAGTAACTTGCTGTGCTAACTGCCACTTGAGGTATTTAGCTCAGCAAATAGCTCTCGTGTGCGGTGGGCTATAAGCTCACTCATCAATGGGCGTACTATGACGTCATGAGTTACTTGCCAGCCACCCCCCACCGCAAATTTGGGGAAAACGGTTGCAGAATCAGAAGGTCGTCGCAAAGAGCTTTTGGGTTTTGAACAGTCCTTGAACCTTTCCTCTCTCTGTTTCATTATGTATACACTATATGTATACATCATATGATGAATAGAAATTTAGTCTGAATTACAATGTAATTTTGTTTGAATTTTAATGCAGTTTCATCTATAAATTTCAACCAATTGGTTGCAAAGCCCAGTTTTTATTAAATTGATCGATCATTTCAAATGTCAAATCGGAACCTTATCTTGGCCTAAACACACCACACAGCTCCTTTGACGTTTTCGGAATTATGAGATGTTGTTGGGGTAGTGCTCCCGTTTGAAATTAAAATTAGATTTAGGATTGATTGAATTTATAATTTTTTGTGGCAAAATCTTCTTTTGCTTGTCTTAAATTTTCCCGAGCGTCAGTGAAGTTTTGATCCAATGCTAAAGCTGTCTCGAAGTCATTTATCGCCAGTTTAAATCTGCCCATTCTGTAGTGAATTTGTCCACGGTTGTAATACGGAACGGCTAAACACGGATCAAGTTCTATAGCTGCGGTGTAATCTTGCACAGCGGCGTTAAAATCCACAGTCAAATACCGCAGATGACCGAGATTATTTCTTGCTAAAGCAAGGACCTTTGTATCGTTTTTGGCTCCGCTCTCAATAAAATCTGTGTATAGTTTTTTGGCCTCCTCTACATCCCCTTTTGCCGTAAGACTTTTAGCTTTTTTTTCTATCAAAGAGAAGTCTTGAACATCCATGGGACTGATAGGAGTGGCGGTCGCCATTTTGTTTTTTGTTTTTTTGAGAGCGTGATGCAATCGAGTGCTTCCATTTCAGAAATAAAAAAGTCTTTGCAGTGCTTTCTTGGTTGTTTAGAGAAGCAAAAATATGATATAAGGCGTGAAATATATGAAAGAATGATTGTAAGTATAATCAGTCACTGAGTAAATATAGACGGATGACGTCAAAACGTGGGAATCGATTGATTCCATGGGATCCTATCATGCAGACAAGGGTTTGCATTGGAGTTATGAAAAAAGGGGTTGTCTGATGGTGCTAAGAGGCGATTTCTTAGTTCATTAGCAGAGACTTAAGGCCCTGTTGGCTGTTACATGGTGCAATTTTTCTTAAAACTTGCAATGCTATTATTTTGAGAGATGTAAATTTGGCAACTGCCGAACTTTTGTCTTTATTACACTCCATGGCGTTTCTTACACTTACATTTTGAAGCTTCTTCACTAATTTAAAACTCTCAAAAGTAGAACTGCATTGCAAGTTCATTGCATGAAAAATTGCACGGATTTGGATTACACGCATTTGGATGAAATGTTTGCTTGAAAAGCGGAAACACAGGTCGATGACGCAATCATCATAAACCATAAACAAATTTCATGTTGATTTCGAGCGCCATTTTCAAAATTTCGGATATTATCGTATTTGCGTAGAATTGTGTTTAAAAACATGTCTTCTGAAGAACTTCGCCAGACAGCCAAAATGCTTGCGAAAGCTTTAGACAGTGGGGATGATTACAAACAGCTTTTAAAGGCGATTGAAGGCGCGAAAAACAATAGCGAGCTCATTAAACAGCGAAATATGGAGGTAAAACGTTGTGTTCAAGCGCTGGCGATGCTGGAGGAAAAGACAGGGAAAATGGCTGCTATGGGCATACAGGAAAGCAAGGAAAACGACGAAATTATTGCAAAGTTAAAGGAAGAAAAACAAAGCCGGGCTGGGGAGATCGAAAAGCTAAACGCTGCTCTGACATCGTTGGAAAACTCTATACGAGAAATCGGTTTGGAAAATTCGAAATTGCTCGAGGAAAAGTCTGCAATCCAGCATCAAGCAAGCGATGCTATGCCAAAAACGAAGTTCTCCTTCAGCCTGTATTCAAACATAACGCGGCTGCGTTGGGATTACGATATGGACGACGATAAATTGCAAGGATTCGTGACGTCGCTTCATGATGTACGGCCTTTCACTTTGAACTTGAAAGAACACAGCAGACATTTCGTAGCAAACTATCTGTGGGACGTTATCGCTTCTGCCAAAAGTTCTCAGCAATGAATATGTTTTTTTATAGCATGATTATAGCATCAGTATATACACGAAAGAAATATATGGCTTGTCAAAGCCTGTTCAACATTGAATACAATGTTTTACAGTTTAACGAAGTACTTTAATTAATGGCACAAAAGTACATAGGTACTAGTCCTTAGAGGCAATCTGTGTTTATCTGATGAAGGCAATGCATATTTTCCAGGCGGTGCTCTATTCTGCCACAAAACCGCCAAATTCTTGAAAGTTGAAATGAAATATTCACATATAAACAACATGGTTGATGTGTTGAATTTTTTGGCAGCTGTGCTCTTCTTCTAACTCCTAGGAAATCTGCATTTGTCCAATCAGAATGTATAACACCTTGTTTACATTTTTTCCAATCTTGCCTGTCTAGTTTAATTCACTTTACACAGCTTCATTAGAGAGAAATGGTGATAATAAAAGATTAAGACTTAAATTATGCATTATTTAGTAATAAATGGTAATAGTAAAATGCTTAAAACTTTTGAAAGACAAACTGGTCAGTATTCTGATCGACATGTCCAGTTTGTACAAACATGATTTTAGAGCTCTTTATCATTGGCAGCTTTATCATTGGGAGGTGAACAATGTACAGCATGACCCAAAAAACCTAAAATTGTTGAAATCACCTAACAACGTAATAGTTAGAGTTTGAATGCCTTAATACTCTGTTGGCACCCACAAGTGTATGAATGTTTGACATAGCATTTTTATAATTACATGATGACAGTAAAATTTGTTTCTTCCTGCAAATGATTTTTATTAATATTTACAGAATTTAATTATTTAATTATTATTTAATTATCAGAATATTAATATTTACAGCATTTTATAAGTTTAGTTAAATCCCACCAGCAAAAATTTGCGAACAGGTCATTAAATTTTAACAAGAGGTGATCCCTTAAAACATAAAAGAGCTCATTTGGTGGAATAACTAGAATGTGATCAGGGCTGGGGGTTTTAAAAGGAGAAGTATTTCACAATAAAATTGATCAATATAAAATTGGTATGTGGTTTTATCTTGTAAGGAATCATATAATTTTTAAGTTGAACTTATTTCCCTTCTTTAGCAGCTCAGCGTGCATAAGGAAAATTTCCGTCTTGAATCCAAACTACATGGTGTTATTTTCAAACAAAGATGAAAGGTCAAATTTTCTGCCACAGACCTCCAGTACGGTCAAATGGCTTCCCGGGCGGTTTCGCAAACCGGCAAACATTTGGACGATGGAATATAGCGATTTCACAAAGGAAACAATGATGGCGATCGAACAAGTGGTGAAAATTTTGCGAATTTTGCAACAAGTTGGATGATCTTTTTCGCCATCGATATGGTTTATGCATTTATCGTCCATACTTTGGCATCTGGAACTTGTCATGTTTTGTATTCTGCAGTATTTGCAAACGAACAAACGGTGGGCAATTTCAATTTTCAATTATATTAATTTAATATATAGATATTTTTGAGAAATTTTAATTTTTAATAAGCGCATCTGAAGTATATCAGGGATAATGGGTGTTTTTCAGCTGTTGTTATCTATTTCTTAGGGAGTCTCTGTAAAATTGATTTTTGCACTTAAGAACTCAGCAATTTTTCCATTTCTCATGAGTGCAGTCTGGAATACATGAATATTGGTATTATTTTGTAGACAACAGATGTTGGTGCAAGTGGAGATTTAAGAGAGTTCAATAAGAAGCAGCTTTCACATGTTGCCTCAAGAGTTCAGTCGGAGTATTCATTTCGTCGTGCAGTTGGAGGATCCATTCCAAATTCAAATGATTTAGAAACAAGGAATGAGTAAGTTTATGAAAATATCACACCAGGTATTGAATATACCTCATAATATTATACCTCACAATAAAATTGTCCAATCACAGAACCAGTTTCATACTACATGACCATGGAATGTTTGAGCGAATACCATGCCCTGCACTGCTTGTACCCTGGGTGCTTTCCCCTGGGCATGGTATTCACACCATGCTTGAGTAGGATATTCGACTTTTGAATATACCTCTTGTTCCCAGTCTGTCATGTAATTTTTGCAGCAGATATGGCAGAATTCACACATCAATACTTTTAAAAAACTTTGTAAGTACTGCATGTCTGGCTATTTCTACAAGCTCAGAATATTTTTTTGGTACAATGTGTCATTTATAAACCCTCCGTTCGGATTCGGATTCAACGAAATCTTTCCCGAAGTGATGATATTTCCAGGGCCCTTCCAATACTTTGGAAAATATTTTGCCGAATCCCACTCACTCTGACAGGTCTATAAATGATAAGAATTGGTCAGTCAGTACTAGGCTTGTGCATGTTTTCTGTTAAATGTTGTATATACAAGCTTTCCAAAGCTTATTTTTTATTCCCATTTTGGTAAGGTGCATCATATAGCTATTGACAGTTTCCATTGTTTTTCAACAACCCTAAAATTCTATATTTGTGCTTGAATGAATCTCTATCTACTTACAAAGTAATACATCCTTTCCTCCAACAGCAAAGCTTTTTGCTAATTTAATTTTAACTGACAAAGATTTCATGTCTCAATCATTGATTTACAGCAATACTGAAGTAGTACATCATATATGATCAGGAAGTTAACTTAAGTATCTCTATGTTATAATTCTGGTTATCAAATGTCCCTTGTATGATTATAAAATGGACTAGGTTTGGTTGAATTGTGGAATTTACAGGCTCCATTTATTTTTCAAGTGTTTTTCAAGTATACTCTTCTTGTCAAGTTTTACTTCACCTTCCTGTCAAGTTTTACTTTGCTTTTATTCTACCTTAAAATACATAGAATTAATGAAAGTTAGTTAGATGGAGTGCTGTGATTATGGCTCAGCAGGCAATTTGGTAGTCTGAAACCCATACAGTGGATATATACGCAATTCTAATTAGACTTCGAGTATCTATCTATCTATCTATCTGCGGCCAACGTTTTTGCAAATGGGTGTATATATATATATATATATATATATAATATTATATATATATATATATATATATATATATATGTATATATATTCATAGCACATTGCATCATGAAGGAAAGATATATTTATATAGTTATTTATGTAAAAACAAACTATACCTAATTCCTCCTCAACCACACCTTTGATCTCTAAAAGAAGAAGTTTTTGAATATCTCCAGAACTTAAACGTAGAATTCTGGTATCAATTTTCAAGTTCCCTGATGACAGTGATGTGAAATTCTCTTCTTTATCAAGATTTTCTTTAATGGAATTATAGACACGAACAATCTCCTCATCATTTCCATTTTCGAACAAACTGCGAGCTATGCCTGCTGAAGCAGTCATGCGATTCAAAACAGTTTCTTGTCTTTTTATTCTTTCATCAAGAACACTAGCTATATCTTCAAAATTTCGACGTGCATCCCCCATTATAATGTCGACTCTACTCTGCAGTCTATCTTCAACTTGACGCAGTAGTTCATTTTTTCTTATATTCATCATGCCTTGTTCTGTTTCAAACTTACAATTTAGAAATTCACGGTTGCGTTCCAATGAACATAAAGTTTGTATTTCTCTCCTAGCAGATTCCACTAATACTTTTTTTAGGCCTTCGCGTTTACTTTTAGCAGCTTTCTCAAGAGGCGAGAATTTATGCTGTTTGTCATGTTCGAAATCTATACAATGTCTGCACATCAACTGATCGCATGTCTCGCAGTAGTATTTCAGTTTCTTGTTTGGGTGTTGATCACATTTCGAGATTTTCTTGATTCTTGATTGATTCTCAGGCTTCGCTAACTCTTCCATTGTCAAAACGACATGATCTTTAAATCCTAGAAATTCATTGTGAGCTTTCAAGCATTTCTCGCACATAAAATGTTCGCACGTTACGCAGCGACCAACAGATTGTTGTTCACAGTGCATACAAGGTATGCACTTATCTTGATGTTGAATGGATAAAACGTCCACCATATTACAAATAAAATGATTTCTTGTCATGCCGGCAACGCCATCTTTGCTAAGCGTGAAATTCGTACGACAAACAGGACAATTCAATTCATTTTGAGGTTTTCCATCCACAAACGTTTCCAAGCATTTCCTGCAAAACGAATGCAGACACGACAGTGTTCGTGGGTCGTCGAATGTCTCGAGACAAATTGAGCATTCTAGTAAATTTTTGAGATCTTTTGTCTGATCTTTTGAAGGCATTTCACTCGCTGATGCCATCTTTGTTGCAAATGGTGTTATTCCTTGATGAGGGTTAGGGAAAACCTTTTACGAAGTCAAGTTGTTTGATGTACAAGATCTGAAAAGCGAACCCAAACCGAATGCGGATGTCGAAAGGAATTGCGGTGGGGAGTGGCTGAAATGTATTGGAGAGGTTTTGATTGAAATCTGATCCAACTTCTAGTTTGAAAGCTTAACGCTTGACCTCGAAATGAATGCCCGGTATAAAACACGTAAAAAAAAACACGAAAAAGGAATACTGAAGTAACTATCAGTCTTTTTCCACTCCTTCTTATGCTCCATTGAAAGTCTCCTAAACATTTATCCACCTACATTAATATGTACAGCAAACAGGTTCTTTCTTACGTGTTCGCAGTTCAGGTTTTTTGGAACATAATATTTTCTATTTACTAATCCTTAAGGGGGGTTACAGCGGCTTTTGTGCTCTTAAAAAATGGAAGGCCCGCTAATTTGAAAATTGCTAACATTTCCCGTCTTGAGTTGAGAATATTTCTTGGGCGCAAACTCTAGTTCATATTTTTTAGAACATAACAAACTAATAATATTTAGCAAGAATATATCAGTTGAAAAAGTAAACAAAGCGTACATTAGGAACTGTAGTAATCCTCCTTCAACAATGGGACGAAATTGTCCTTCAAAATCTTGTAATCCAAGGAACTTGTATGTATTAGCAAGTGATTATTCTTGTATAATTTTTCTTATACAAGAATATCATTACTTGCGTATCATACTATCTAGTCTGTATCTTGAAGTTATGCAGTAGTCTCTCTACGTTAGGTACTTTCCCTAGCGGGGCTTTCCCACAATTAATATCCCAAACAAACCAATCAGATTGCAACACAATGATCACGTGGTACCAATGATGATCATTTTATACAAACGCCCAGAATAGAGATCATTGTATATAGGTGCAAAACCAAGTCTTGGTCATCTCAGGTTTTTCGGTTTCATTCGATTTCTCAAAATGGGCGAAGTTGAAAAGCCTTTGCTATCACCTTCAGACTCAGAGGAAGATTCGGAAAATAAAATCGGAAATGAACCAAAAATGATGACTAGCTCGATAAAACGTCTATGGTTTTGCACTTGGTTTAACTTTATTTGCGCTGTCCAAGTGTTTGTGGTGATTGGGTTTATTGTAAAGTGCGTCGAAGTGGACCATCAATTCGTCGCTTTGGCGAGAGATAACGAATTTCTCAGGGGAAGAGTTAGCAACATGGAAATCCTCGTGCAGGAGCTTAGCGCCAACCAAACGGACAACATCACAAACAATATCGATCTAACGAAAACTGCAATCAAGTCTACACTGAACACTGGACATGCCTTGCACTTGCAGGAGAGCTTTGAAGAAATGAAAGGCCATTTAAAGTCATTAACGATTGTTGCTGGAAACCTGAGCATGAGAATTCGTAAGATGAACGCGTCCTCAGACTCAAAACTGTCTCGTTTGTACGGCAAATTGAAGCAGACCAATCGTGACATCACCCGTCTGCATGGCAAATTGATACAGTTAAATAAATCTGTTCACACAGACATACCTCCGTCGTTTGTGTCAGCCGTGAAGATTCTAAATCAAGATCTACGAATGCTTCGGAATTCATCTATAAGAAACCTCAGCGAAGTGTGGGAACGCTGTAATCGTACAAACGCGAGAATCGAGGGCATTTTGAAGTTGGTTGCAAAGCGAAACGAATCCTCGCGTCTGAAAATAGCATACCGGCCTGAAAACTTGTACTCCAGTCTGAAACACGTTGAAAAAATGCAAACTGAGTTTCATAAAGACGTCCTTGGAATCTTCAAGGAGCTTCGTAGCAAGTTGAATCATAGTAGAGATAAATCAGAACGACATCAACAAAACTTCAACAAACAAATTGCAAGGGTCAACGAAAGTTTGCACAAGGCACTTGGAATTGTTGTAGAAGGTTATAATAAGAAAGTTGACGGAATGAAGAAAGGTCTTCAAGGCAGTGTTAATGATCTCATAAAAGATCAGAAAAAGATCAAGAATGATTTCGAAGAAACGAAACACGGTTTCCAAGAGAAGCACACGCATCTTGACTCGACAATTTCCGGCCAAGCAGCGGAAGTGAGGACAATGAAAGAAAACATCAAGACGCTGAGACAAAATCTGGATTCAGCAACTAAGAGGTTATCAGGACTGGAAGACAGCAAAGAAGACATGAAAGAAAAGAACAACAAACGAGACTCGGAGATTTCGAATCAAGTTTCGGAGGTGGACAATCTTAAACGAGAGGTTAATGATCTTGAGAACAATCTGAATAGGATGGAATCAAGACAGAATGAGCTGAATTTACAGATGAAAAGAAATAAAGCGAATCAGATGCCGAAAATCGACATTGTTTCATTATTACTGATTGCTGTCGGACTGAAATATTTATATTAATTTGTAATACGAGAACTAAAATGTTTTTGCGTGTTTAAAAGCCTCTGGATAAAAACAACAGTTATTATGAAGTAACCCAGGGAAATATTTCGAATAGACTAGACGTATTTTAAACTATCTGAGTATATACTTCAAATATAAGAGATCCTTTAAACAACTAGAATATCATATATATCTGAGTATCCAAATATATGTATGTTACATGCAATAATAAATTTTATTCCCCAAGGCATACAGCAGCGAGATTGGGCAGCATTTGCGATAAGTAGGTAAATTTATACTTGAGAGTTTAGCAATTTTCACAAGAAAAAGGGGAATCGCGTTTCTGGCTCTAAATTTCCTCGCGAGAGTATGCGCCTAGAATGCCTCTCCTCCCCCCCCCTCCCCCCCCTCTCCCCCCCTCTCCCCCCCCCTTTCCCCCCCCCTCTCCCCCGCAATTTTTTGGGCTGTACGCCAATGAGGATGCTTAAGTTATATGTAATATATATTTTGACTTCAGACACTCTGCCTAATCTTTGCTTTGAGGCAACCTCCGAGGCAAACTAACCAAATCTTTACATCCACTCAATTTAGGCTTCTCTCTGTCATGAAATCCGGAATATTCAGGTTTGATATTGAAATATATAGATCAGTTCTAAATATAGGTCAGGTCAATTAATGCGTTAACAAACCGATTCGATTCTCCCCTTCCTTTGCAGGCTCTTTCCTGGCGAGCCATTTGTAACAGAGAAGATTGTCGTTTGGAAAGGATTGAACAAGTATGAATGTGAATTATTTTTGCACAAAGATCGGCCATGCCTGAAGAGGGCCTGGTACGAGCCTATATGTATCGCCTGCGGTTGATGGCATTTTTAATTTCTCATATCTTTCAGTTGTGGCGTGGCAATGGTTTGTGAGAAATACGAGAATAGAGTGACGGCCCAATCTGTTCTAGGAAACATTGTCAAGTTCGCTGAGCAACATTGCAGCATCATAGAAAAACCTTACGAAGTGGGTAACATTATATAGCTACAGTTTTTCATTTTGAGTTGGGTACAACCAGCCCCAGATGATTTTACACCTTTTCCAACAGGTGTTGTTGAAACCAGATAGATTGGAGGCAGTTCTTCATCATTTTTTACCATGTGGTCAGGTAGGCATCTTCATTTGCATTTTTAAAGCTATTGATACTCAAGAGATGATACGTATAATAAGTTGTTTTATATATATACGTCTGACTTTAACACGCATGATGCTGATTTTGTCGGTTTTGACCATAAATTTGGTAAATTAAGCTTCTCCCTAACCTTGCTGTGCCTCACTTAAACTTTAATTACATCCCTAACCTCACTTTACCCTATTATTCTTTCTTACCTCACCCCGTCTCAACATACATAAATTACATCACTCTTTGGCACTTAAACCACTTTATTCCATTACATCTACCTGACTGTTCTACCCAGGGGCGCCGGAATATGGATAATAACGGGGGCATACATTATAATCTCATGTTTTCTTCCCAGTGACTTGCCATGCATGTAAACCCAAGATTTAGGGACTGGTCATAATTTAGCAGGGGGGGTGGGGAGGTGGAAATAGTGGGGGGGTCACATATTTTTTAGCCAGAAAAAAGGGGGGTTCATAAAATGTTAGACAGTTATAAGGGGGGGGGTTGCTTATTTCTGGTTGTAATTATTTCTTTTATACATGCTTAGACTTTGAGTTGCACTGCATAAGCTTTGCTTAGAACATTAAACAAAATTAGTTATAGAATTTAAAATGAAAAGTTATATAAGTCACTGTGTTAAAATATTTATATTTTAAATAGCAGGGTCTTTCACTAGAAATAACTAACATATTATGTTTAAAACCAAATTTTAACATATGAATATGTCAAGGGTGGGTAGTATCGGAGTTGTTGGAGTTTGCAACTGTAGCGAACTACAATTTGCGAGTAACTGTATAGACTACTTTTTAAAACTGGTAGTTTGAAGTTGTCGCGAACTATATTTTCTATATTAAAAGTAGCGAAGTAGTTGATTACTTTTTCAACAACAATCGCTATTCGCCACTTTTCGATTTTTTAATATCCCTCGACTATATACTCTATAGTTCATACACTATAATACAAAACTAGTCATTTAATATACCATGTCAAATCTCGTTTGGACCCACATTTTGTTCTAGAATTCTTTGGCTCATCCGCCATTAATCCATAGTATCAGAATATATGAGCATATTATGCTTAACATTTCATATGTTTAAAACATGTGAAATCAATATAAATTACAAACACGGATACCAGGAATTTTGTTGTAGCGAAGTAGCGAATACTTCGCTACATTTTTCTAGCGATATAGCTGTACACGTAGTCAAAAGAACCAAACTACATATTTTTGACAATAGCAGTAGTTGTAGGTGACTACATTATTTTAAAATAGCAGTAGTTGTAGCGAACTACACAAAACTTGTAGTCTACCCACCCTTGGAATATATATAAGTGGACGTATATAAATTAATTTTATTACTTTATATAAACGTTGTCAGAAAAATTTTTGAAGGTGTAATTACTATTTTGAATTGACGGTGCAGATTACAGTAGTTTCTCATTTTGAAGCAGTGTTTATCAAAACGTTGACGGATGGGGGGGGGGCATTTTTACCGTCTCGAACAAGGGGAGGGGGCATGATTTTTTGTGGATAAGGCAAGACAGGGTTGCAAAATATCATTCCTTAAAATATTGAATTACACCTCCCCACCCCCCCTGCTAAATTATGACCAGTCCCTTATTTAGAGGTAATTTTCTTTTAGCTATTGTTCATGAACCACCGTGTCGTACGACAGTTTGAAAAGGAATTGAACCAAACTATCAACAATAAAGCCTAATAAGGGAGCAAAGATTGAATGAGATTGAAGATTTGGTTTAAAAACCAAGACAATGGAAAATGAAAACATGCAAGTGTATTTAAACAAAACAAGCTACAGCGACAAACTTTCCTACCTCCTTCAGGACTAATGGCACAAAAAACGCAAACAAGATATTGCCTCTTGAAATTGTCTAATGTTTCCGTATTTAATCAATCGTGAAAGCAGTTCCCAGTCCCTAATTCTTGAAAGTAAAAATTACAAAATATCGATAACACATGCCAATTATCCAGCACTCGTGCACATAAGTGTGCGGCGATTTCTGAGACATAAAATGATTAAAATCTTGATATAAAATTGTAAATCGACATAAAATATTGATTATATTTCTACTATTTTTTCGTATCTATCATTTCACAAATGAAACCATTTCCTCTTAGCGAGGTGATCCTCTTAGCGAGGAAGCACTTCTGTATATTATAAAAAGAGTTGAATTACGTTTCGAGTACAGAACTCATAAGTAAACAGAATGAAATGGCAGAAATGCAAAAATTCGGCCTGCTGGTACAGTCCACTACGTGTATCATGAAGTAGTTAAAAAATATAAAAATAAGTGAGTGGTGACAGCCGACAGGCACGTGACAATAAAGGAAAATTTCGCAAGATTCCTATGAATTAATGAATCACTGCGCGTCCACTAATGTTTTCAAAGAAAGCGGACTCGATGATACAAAGTGACGAATACACACCACTTCGACCTTCTGAGGGACTACCCCGTCTCACGAAACCTGTAGTTTTAGCGACTTTGACAGTATGTTTAGGATCATTATCGTTTGGTTTTGTCATGAGTTATCCGTCGCCGGTTCAAAAGGACTTACAGGACAAGTTAAACTGGAGTGATGAACAGTTGTCATGGTTTAGTGTACGTTTTTTGACCTAGCTGGGCGGGCATATTTATGGCTAGTGATGTTTTATGTAAGAACTGTATGGCCAGGGTCCATGGATAAATTATTATGCAGCTAAATAGTGTATACAATGTTGATTCAGTATTTAATGAAAGAAAACGACCACCTGCTGGGCATACTTAAAGAGAGCAACAGTTGAGCACAATGCGGGCGTTTTCCAGGCCTCTGGGATGGCTCCTACTGGACTTGTTAGTGGGGCAGCATAAGGGGGTGGGGGAATGTTACAGTTAAGATACATATCTATACATAAATCATAATTAATGTATGGTTGATTATTAATCTAGAACATCAGAAAATGTACCTTCCATTTTATGCCTTAAGGTTCAACATTTATACTAAAGGCATAGCCAGATTTTGGGGGAATGGGGGGGGGGAGCAGCAAGAACCTAGGTGGGGCCAGGCTGGCAATGTGAGTCAAGACAAGATTTGTTCTAAACATTCTAGGCAGGATTTTGTGCCATTAGTGATGGACAATTTTGATGGGCAAGATTTTGCATTTTTGATGGCATAATGATTCACTTCATTTTCTCAGGTGGGCCCAAAGAGAGGGCAAGGGCCCTCTAGCCCTCACCCTAGCTATGCCTCTGATATATACTTGCATAGCTGTTAAATTAATAGAAGGGGACTATATTCATATATACTGTTATGTTAGGCTGATTACTATTGAAATTTGAAAGTGAAATTGTTTCAAAAGAAATTAGCCAGGAATAGCAGCTATATACGAATATGGTCCCACTCAAATAATGTACACGTTTGATTGATGCCAGTGTATACATGTATGTCTGAGGGATGTTAATTCACATTCATTTGTTTAAATGTAAATGTTGCACCATAGCTGATGTTGCACTTTCTTATAGTCTCTACCAGCTCTTGGTGCAATGTTTGGAGCCCTCATTGGCTCGAGAACCATTGACAAGCTTGGTCGAAAGTTCAATATTATGGCCTGTTCAGTGCCTCTTGTGGCTGGTTGGATCATTATTGCAGCAGCAAAGGCTCTTTCACTTTTCTATGTGGGAAGATTCATATCTGGACTGGGTATTGGGGCCATATCGCTGACAGTTCCTGTAAGTACTATTTTCCAGGGGGCCGGTTGTATAAAACTCTTTAACTACACTTTGCATAGTTAAATCCTACTTAATTAACTCAGAAATACACAACTCTGATTGGCCAATTCTGTCCCTAACTACAGTTAAAAGTTAACTAGTCTTTTATACAACTGGACCCAGAAATCAAACTCGTGGCTGCAGAGCCAGAACTATAGATGCAATAATTGTTTCGCCTGGGGCAAAGGCAGCCCACAAATACAATGATGTGACCTTACTAACCAACATTGTTTGCTGGCTGGCTGCCTATGCCTGGGGGGGGGGGTGCATGCATACTGATCGAACAGATTTCTTTTGTAAGTGTAGTACCTTACAAATATTTTATATATGTTTATTCATATATTCAGTTCTACCCAATGGATTTCTTTTGTAACTACAATTGCAAAAATTAATTAAATTAAAACAATAAAGTTGCAGTATTGAATCCAAATTATGCATTACAAAAAAGCATTAGCTTTTAATAGGAGTGACTGCAAGAAGTAATTTCTTTCAAATATAGCTACTACAAGTGCATTTTTACTCGTAATTGGATGTTAATACTCAATGATATCGGAGAAAATGTTTAAGACAAATAACATAGTCGGAAATGTACTTACACAACTTCTATTATACTTCGTGCACCCTTTTTCTGCACATGAAAAGCAATGTTTGGTATTCGAAAATAATATCTTTCATGTCGTTATAAAAGTCAAAGATCAGTACGTTATTTATTTTACTCAAGTTTTTTTTTAAGAAAGGCGAAATTCTGCGGAAATTTTACAAACGAAGTTGACTTTGGTTTTTGGGTTTGTCCAACAAAACTTGGCAGCCATGTTGATGTTTTTCGCGGGAATTTTTAGGTTTTATAAATAAAATCACATATGCATCACTCAAACATTACTTCATCGTGATTGGCTCGTTTTATATCAAGCAACCAATAAGATAACTCTTGTTGTAAAAATTTGCACAGTTGTTTTCCGATTAATAAAGGATGGAGACAAACTGCCTTTCTTTTCTGCAAACTGAATTTTTGTAAGTCAGATCTTTCAATTTATTTATAGCTATACATCGCCGAAATTTCACCAGCCAAATACAGAGGTGCGCTGGGCAGTGCCAATCAGTTAGGGGTGACATCTGGCGGCCTGTTAGCGTATTCTTTCGGCGCAGGTTTGAATTGGCATTGGTTAGCCATTGCTGGTGCAATACCACCCACAATAGTGGCTGTGTTTATGATGGGATTTCCCGAGACACCGCGTTGGTTGATAAAGAACGGTAGAATGAATGAAGCGTGTCACGTTTTAGAATTTTTGAGAAAAACGTCTGATGAAGAATGTCGTAATGAATGCACAGAAATTCGCAACACTTTAGGTGAGTTTTGTGGTTTTAAACTTTCACGCCAATGAATAAATGATTCCATACAGCCATGAGCCATTAACTAGTTTGATTTAGAATTTTACCACATATAAACTGCAAGTAAACTTTGGGTGCAAAATGTGTAAAATTTAATCTAGGAAGTTCGCTAATTTATTGTTACCATGGATAGTTAAAAGTGATTTATTATCCATGTTATTTTTATAAATTGCAAATTAATCCATCTTTGAAAGATAGACACAGTCATACTGTACTTGGTGTATAATGTATTTTGTTCGATTTTATCGTCATAAACCCCTAAATTTTTTCTTATGTTCGTGTAGAAATCGATGAACCAATATCATTAAAAGAGTTCACGAAGCCAACGATATATCGCCCTTTTATAATATCTATCATGTTGATGGTATTTCAACAGTTCAGCGGAATTAATACTGTGGTAGCTTACGCCTCCCATATGCTTCGCGATGCAGATTTCAGCGATCCAAATTTAGCTGTAATAGCTATAGGAGCAGTACAGTTATCAGGCACAGCCACATCCTGTCTCATAGTCGATAAAGTGGGCAGACGATTGCTTCTTACGTTTCCAACCACGATAATGTGCGCAAGCATGATAGTCCTTGGTGCTTCGCGCTATTTCCAAGATTTTCCAAGCAGTGTCACCTTAATAACTTTGTGCTGTTACCTGATTGGATTTTCCTTTGGCTTGGGCCCAATCCCCTGGCTTATAATGTCCGAGATTTTTCCAACCAATGTACGTGGTGTAGCCAGCGGCATAGCGACCCAGGTGAACTGGCTTGGTGCGTTCACGGTGATGAGATTCTATGTGAACATGGAGAAGACGATGCATTCTTATGGTTGCTATTGGTTTTACGCTGCAGTCTGCCTCGTTTCAGTGATATATGTGCTTGTATTTCTGCCCGAAACGAAGGGGAAAACGTTGGAAGAAGTGGAAAAGCTTTTTGAAAAGCAAAGCGACTTAAAAACACCGGATTCATTTAGACATTACAACGGAATTCTATCTTAAATTGAAAAAATGAATTAGTTTTATATTTTAAAAAACCGTTTTTAAGATTTTTTCAGGTTGTTGAGTGCCACCTTTATAAAGGAACGCTTCTTGACCAATCATAATTCATTTTCAAATGATCATAACGTCCATTATCTTTATTACATCATGAAGTATTCGCGTAAGACGAAAATTATCAACGTGCACGTGACCAACCATAAGTAACAATTACCAAATAGTATTTCACAAGATTCATATGATTTATAGTCTGGATTTTTACTCAAATATTTGCCAACAAAACGTCTTTCAAACATATTTTCGTATGAAATTGTGAGCCGTGAATCATTGAGCATCAACAATGCTTTCAACAACAGCAGAATCGGTGATACAAAGTGGTGAATACACACCGCTTCGACCTCCCGAAAGACCATCTGCGTCGCGTCTCACGAGACCAGTGGTTTTGGCGACTTTGACAGCATGTCTAGGAGCAGTATCATTCGGTTTTGTTCTGGGATATGTATCGCCGGTTGAAAATGACTTAAAGGAAAAGTTGCATTGGAGCGACGAGGAGTTGACATGGTTTACTGTATGTTTTAGCATATTGAATTTAATTTTTATGAAATTATGTCATATGCCATATTAATAACTCTATACCTACATTTTGCTTAGTTAAATCCTAGTTAACTCAGAAATACTTAACCAAGGGCCTGTTCATATCAGATGGACCAGTTGGCTGGTTCCCTTATGCCGGTCCGCTTGATATCTTCATATTTGAGCCCATAAAGGCGAGATCTCGCTTTGTTCAGGCAGGATCTCAGCAGACCAAAGCTGGCCCTGTTCCATACGCAATTTTACAAAATATGGTAAAATAACATGTGAAGCAAGATCACACAGCACTGCCAAACAGGCCCTAACTCCGTAACTACAGTTAAAAGTTAACTAATCTTTTATATAACTGGTCCCTGGACTATTGTCATGATTTGTCTTTCATCAAGTATACTAAATAGAAGCTGGTCCCCCTCCCCAAGGAACATTTGAAATAGCCCTGTTCCAGAGGGGGGGCATCTGTTCTCAGCGAAGATATACATATGTGTGTTAAGGTTTTTGTTATGTTGGATGAAAGACTTAACCTTATTACCTGCATTTCTAATACTGCCCATGCTGATTGCTCCCTAAAATGCCTGGGAGGAGGTAGCCTTGTAATGCTGGTATCACATAAAATAGCTAACTTGATGAATTTTTATAGTCTATACAAGCACTTGGTTGTATGTTGGGAGCGTTAATTGGCCTGAAGACCATTGACAAGTTTGGTCGAAAGTTCAATATCATGGCCTGTTCAGTGCCTCTTGTTGCTGGTTGGATCATTATCGCAGCAGCAAAGGCTCTTCCACATTTCTATGTGGGAAGATTCATATCTGGATTGGGTGTTGGGGCCATATCGCTGACAGTTCCTGTAAGTACTCAACTCTGGTAGTCAAAAGTGATTTTAAGAAATAAGTTGTTTACCAGATACTGCAGTTCACAATCAGTTTGCCAACATAAACTGTATACTTATTTTGTCACTGGGGTGTTCCAAGGACAAGTAAAATGCATGCCATGGATGAGTAAAGTTATATCATGTAGTCTTTTTGTCAATTTTTCTAGCTCTACATTGCAGAAATTTCACCAGCTAAATACCGAGGTGCACTAGGCAGTGCCAACCAGTTAGGGGTCACATTTGGAGCCCTGCTGGCGTATTCCTTCGGTTCATTTTTAAATTGGCATTGGTTAGCTATTGCCGGTGCCATACCATCCACGATAATGGCCATATTTATGATTAGATTTCCGGAGACCCCTCGTTGGTTGATAAGAAATGGTAGAATAAATGACGCGTGTCACGCTTTAGAATATTTGAGACAAACAACAGATGAAGAATGCGAAGATGAATGCAAAGAAATTCGCTGTACATTAGGTGAGTCGTATTTTGTCAATTTGAAGTAGGGGGATGTGAGTATCGAATTTGCCGACAAAATAGGCGTGATCAACGGGTGTGGTTTTTGTCACACACGCCCCATCCCAGCGACGGCCCTGCCGATTCACAGAACCCTTGGCATGGGCATACGGGCCGAAAATAATTGGAGGTGCACCGTGCGACACTTTTGCCCGACAAAAACGGAAATTGCCCGATTTTCCACTTATTTTTCCTTTCTCCATATTACAACAGTGCAAGTTATTTTGTCAAAATCTAACCTTGCTCAGTGGATTTTTTTGTTAACTTGCTACACGTTCTGTCTATCAGCATTAATGCATAGCTTAGTGTAAAAGTAGCATAGCCACGCAGGAGTGTTTTACGATCAGTAACCACGGTACGACTACGTGCAGTACGCTTGTCTGCTCCTAGCTATGGTGCCTTTGGATTCCATTCTCTTTTTGTAGATTTAATCTATATTTTGATGCGTCATCATCTAGATCTTTCTTGTACTTCATGTAGACGTCGATGAACGAGTATCATTGAGGGAGTTCACGAAGCCAACGATATATCGCCCCTTTATAATATCCATCATGTTGATGGTATTTCAACAGTTTAGCGGGATTAATGCTGTCATAATGTACGCCTCTCAGATGCTTCGTGATGCAGGCCTTTCTGACGCCATTGTAGCTGAAATAGCCATTGGAGTGGTGCAGTTTGTAGGAACAGGCATAGCCTGCCTTATCATTGACAAACTTGGACGTAGAGTACTTTTGATATTCCCAACCATTCTAATGTGTGTAAGCATGGCTGTCTTGGGTGCGGCAGATTACTACGATCATTTCCCAAAGAGTGTCACCTTAATAGCTTTGTGTTGTTTCATCACTGGTTTCTCCTTCGGCTTCGGGCCAATCCCTTGGCTCATAATGTCGGAGATTTTCCCCACCAACGTACGTGGGATAGCGAGCGGTATAGCGACTCAGGTAAACTGGTTAGGCGTGTTCATTGTGACCAAATTCTATGTAAACATGAAGCATTCGATGCACCCCTATGGTATGTATTGGTTCTTCGCCGCTGTCTGCCTTGTTTCCGTGATATACGTGTTTATATTTCTGCCCGAAACGAAGGGAAAGACTTTGGAGGAAGTTCAAAGGCTATTCGCAGCTCACCGGGACTTACATGGGCCTGATTCATTTGAGAAATACGGCGGAATTCACTCTTGAAGAGAACAAAAACTATTCACTATATTTGTTGTGATCATTTGCAAATCGCCATCTTGGTTGAGTTTTCAACAGGGGTGGAAAAAATATTTTTCTTCGTGGGATTTCGGGTCAATGGCTAGTATAATTTTCTGTGAAACTTGGAATGTAACAATTATAAAATTACCAAAAACACTGTAAATAAGTTAAAATAATTTGCGACAAAATATCTTCTTGCCGCTGTATTTTCTTGTAGCCAGCCAATTATGTAATGAAACTTGAAAATAATTATAACTAGAAAAAAACGTGAAAAATGTACACAGGCGTCCATTTTGATTGTTGAATCAACCAAGATGGCGCCCGCTGATTTTGACTTCATACGGAAACAAAAAATAGGTTAAAACATAATACAAACTTTATTAGGCACTAATTCAAATAATAAGTAAATACATGTTTAAAAGATGGCTTGTTTTTATTTCGTTGACAACTTTTAAGTAATCATGTGGTAGGAAATAGCGGAAAAATTAAGACTGCGACAGTTGCCAAATAAAAACCATTTCTCGGTTGAAACAACTTAATATATCTCTTCAGATATACTTTAATAACTTTGTCTCAGTTTCAAATTTATGTCAGAGCTATAGTTCTTACAACTAACATCATCACAAAATTTCGACTAGTTTCATAAATAATAACAAAAGACCTAATTAAATAGTGCAGAATGGATTTCTATTTCGACAACCCTTCTGAGCGCTGATTGGTTAAAATATGAGCGCGTATTCACCTTGCGTGGACCCAAGACCAGTTTCCTGAGTTTTATTTTAACCCGTTTTTTCTCCCCTGGTCGCGTCTTTTTAAATTAGGCGTAAAAATATTTAAAAGGGTTAACAATAGTTTATTGCCGAGCTTTTTGCCGTTGGTTTATGTTGTGAGCTCTCTTGTGTCAAAAACATCTCAACCTCGGCGTGTTGCATGAGGGCGCCATGGTGCCTTAGCGCCTTCTCGTCTTTGAACGCGCACATCCTCGCGAGACCTCCCGCGTGGCCATTCTCGTCGCGCGCAGAACACGGTACGCAGTAATACGGATGTTGCGAATTATGCTTGCTCCAGTGATGGTCTGCCTGGTGAAGTACAGTTTGGAATCGGTGCGGGCATTTACGATTCTCGAAGCAGGCCAACGGGTAGACGACGTAAAAATGCGCTAAATAATGCTCACGTGTTTCAAAATACACCCCACAACCACAGTTGCATTTCTTGTGCGTGTTCTTCATGTGAATATCATGTTGTTCGTGGCTGGAAAACGCCTTCTTTGGACAAAAATCGCACGTTAGTACGCCCTCAGTAATGTCCTGCTCGTGAACGACTTGCATGTGAAGAATCTTTGCGCTTTTTTCACAGAAAACAGGACTTTCTGTGCTACACAGCAAACAAGTCGTTTGTTTAGCTTTGTGGGCGGCAAGTTCGTCTTCGTTCTTGAAAGGTGTATTACTCTTGGGACATAGCTTATTGTCGCAAAATATGTTATGATATTCACCGTTGTGAGCTTTCAATTCGCCTTCGTTTTCGAAAGTCTTGCAACAAATTTTGCAAAATTGAAATCCCAGTGTTTTCGGGATGTCTTCCACCTGCCCGTTGATCGTGGACATCTTAACTTTTGAACCAGCATCTTGCTGTAATATCGCAATAAGTTCGTCGTATTTTCGTTCCGTGTCTGAATCGACGACAAAATAGAATTCAACCGGTTCGAAACCGTTCTCGCTTGTTGCGTCTTCTGCTGGCTCGTCGCTTAGAAAGGCCAAATCTTTGAAATATTTTATTAAAAAAGCGGCCAAAGTTGTGTCGGAGGCATAAGGCGACGTTGTAAAAGAATCGAACAATTCTATCCACTTTGCCGTCGGTGGTCGGTTTTTCATCGGCGTGTCTTTGCGCATGAAAATTCTCAATTTGATTTCATCTAATAATTCATTCGGTAGGCTAGCCAACTCGTCCAAAATATTTCGACAATTACTTTCCCAAACTAGAAAGATTTCGATTCGCGCCATTTTGTAGTTTTATTGCTTTATCAGATAAGAGATATGTATGTGGTATAATGTAATCTGATTTTGATAACCTGGCTAATCCGGCTCGATGCACAATATGTTGTTTAAGAACAGCATGTTTTGCGAAGCCAGGCTGCGACATTGTCCAATTTTGCCTTGACGTTGAATGGAATTAGGGCTTAGTTTTGTGTAAATACGAGGTTAAAACACAATAGAATTGGTAGAGAAAAAGCAGCGCGCTGGCTTAAAAAAGCAAACAAATGCCATTTTGATTTGAAAACCCATTTTAAACAATCACGAAATGTTTTCATTAATGAATACTTTTGGAAATGGTAAAGCCAGGTGAATTGTACTTCGGCTTAGATCGGGCTCGTGTGTGAACTTAAGTCTTAACAATTAGATTATCAACGTAAGGATTTCTATATGAGATGAACTATCATACATAGAAATGAAGTAAACAAATTGTTTCAGCAATATCTCCATCCAAACGTCTCGATTTTTATGCGTTAAAAACGCATGAAAAATCGCGACGAAAGATGATTTTTTGGCTTATAGAAATGTCATAATCTATATTGTCGAAATCTAAGAAAAACGTCACAAAGTAGCTACAAAAAAATAAGCTAAGTCATTTCGAATCTCGCAAATGCATCAAATTTATTAGGTGGATTTAAGGGATTTAGTCTGTTGTTTAAGCCAATAAGAAATACAAACAAAAAATTGAATTAATTAAATAATTTATATATTATTGGGTATGCGATCCGATAACGTTATGACGGTATATGAATTTTACAGCAGACAACAAAAGGGGTATTAAAAATCTAAATGGGAATAATCCGTTATTTTTTATAAACCTTATTTGCCCCCAAACCACCTTGTTTACTGCCGATTAACCCTCGACATATATGACTTTAATACGAGTCTTGCAGGACGTGGTAGTTGTCGAGACTCGTATTAACAAAAATATCTTCACTTTACAAGTGAAAAATATTCATTTCTCTTTATTTTCACCCTGCAGAAGACGAAGGACATTTTCGTAAACCACAAACGTTATGCAGCACGCTGGTGTCACCCTATTAATAAAGAAATGCAAAATACAGGGTGTCCCAAAAAAAAACGAAAACTATTGAAATCACCCATAACAATGTAATTGTTAGAGTTTGAATGCCTAAGCACTCTGTTGGGACCCACATGTGTGTAAATGTTTACCATACTCATTTTATGCATGCATACGATGCAGTAAAATTTGCTTGTTCGCAAAAATGATATTTATTTGCAATATTTACAATTTACAAATATGGATAACATTATTTAAATGTGCATCTCTCAAGGACCACAACCTTCGACATGTCCCCTTTCTCTAGCAACACAAAGCATTTAGCATTTTATAAGTTGCATTAAATCCCCACGGGCTGAAATTCGTGAACACGGCATTCAAATTTTAACAATGAGTGATTTCAATAGTTTTCGTTTTTTTTGGGACACCCTGTATATTGTTTCATAATATAAGAGCAATAATAATAAAGCAATTATAGGGCAGTGCAAAAAAAAACTTGATCGTGGTGCATAAAAAATTTCTCGACAATAGTTTCCACATGTATATTAATGGACCCTGAAATGTTATTCAGTGGATGTCTATAACCTTGAATGAAGAACACACCTAAGAAGATTAGGAAAGAGGCCTTTGTAAAATCCAAGCGGTCCTTCCAACCTGAAATGAAAATATTATAAATGAACATCATTTTCATTAAATCCTGCTAGTCGAAACAACCATTTTTTTCAAATCTCCTGTTTAGTGTCGTGATAATTAACACAAAACACTAAAAACAATTGTCCACTCATTAAGGGCTGTTTATATGGTAGCCGGGCTGGCTCAGTCAGGTTTGATGACGATACCAATTTATCAAAAATACGAATTACCACATAGGATGTGGCCTTATATGTTTGCGCTATTTTTCATACTATACTACTTGCATTACCTCCATGTTTTCTTAATAACATCGACTGCTCCGTTATATCGCCCAATGTTATATTGATCCTATAGGAAAGATAGTAATCTTGATTATTGCCCCAGCCACTGAAAGAGAGAGAGTTCTTATAACGACGGAATTTTTAACCCTGATAGGGGTTTGTATAAGCTTGATATTCTAGGGTGGTGCTGATGCGATGCACAAATCACAATCTGCAGTTCATCAAAGACACCCCACACCCACCTGCAGTCGTGTACGGACAACTTGGTAAGGATATGTTGTACCGCTTGCAAAAATTTTCGATAATGCCGCCATCACCACATACTCCACTGAACTCTAAAAATACATTGTATCGCCATGAGTCTGTTTTCCACAATGGAAAGGAAAATTTAATTGAAAATTCAATTCAGGCAATGTGATCGTCTACGGAATGGTAAAAATGCTAATGGCAACCATTCACAGTGGGTTGGTATCAAGTTAAACTGGCGAAAAGTAGTTCCTGGACTCGTACCAATTTCTGGTCAACAGGTGTCCCAAAGTAGGAACTGCGTAATTTCTTTAATTCTTCGTAAGCCATAAACTGCAGAGCACCATGGGATACTCCAAATAAGCCTGGAAGATAGCCCTGAAATTTAAAAATGAGACATGGCTAATGGAACAGGAGAATACATTTGAGAAAACATTTGTTTTGCTACCAAATGATGCGGATTCAGTAGAATTGCGCATTCAGAATTGAATCTCAGGTGCATGGAGAATACAGTGGTCTGTATGATCTTTACTTTAATTCCTAATAACTGTACAACAGTACGTTGTACCTTATATAATCCTTTGATCCCTTCCTGTTTCCACGTCTTTGACAATGTATCTTAATAGAGAGTTTATAGTTTTCTCAGATACCAGTTATAGAACGTAATGGTTTAGGAGTGCATCAAGCATTGTGTATTAGTGAAATTATCAATGTCTGTATTTCTAGGATGGAATGTAAATTTTCTAGGGAGGGGCAGGTATGAATGCTTACTATGACCAGGTATGTTTAAATCGATCAAACCTAAGACCTTTGCTTTGCCAGTCCATTGCTCCACAAACTGGGTAATGAGCTATTGGATAGGTTCATTAGCTCTGTTGTTGGTCGTGACAATTTTTGTATGTTATATGTATGTGTGTTATCCATATGTTTGTAATTAAATTTTCCTTTGTCAAACAGAAATAAACTAAAGTCTGGTGGAAATTTGCAATTTATATTCTTATTATATTTTTATATATTTATATTCTGTACTATAATTTTCAACCTAATTCTGCCTAGTTGATCTCCACTCAAATGAGTATTTTGCATATTTTTATGAGAATAACAACAATGACTATTACCACACTCAACATTCACCATTAGTTCGATACACTTGGCTATAGTGCAGCTTCCTACCTAACATTCCATTATATTTTGTGGATTTTACAGCAAGATTTGAAGACTCTGATTGAACAATCAATCTTGTCTTGGCAACCCAGATTGGATTTGTTAAAGTCAGAGTGCCAATACCTTAAACATGAAATATCAAAAATTTCAAACTGCTTCCATAATCAATTAATTCTTTATCTGATTCAAGAAGGTTCAACCACTAACCTGTTAACATGCCAACAGTCAGATGTTCTTTTGCGGATAAGGTAGTCCTAGTATCACCTTTTATGTAATCTTTTAAAATATTGAAACTAGAAGTAAGATTATAAAATTGGTTGGTGATGCATAATGGGTTTTTTTTCAATAATGGGTATAATACTTTTCGAATCTACTTTCTGGTTTTATTTAGCATTCTATTATGAATGCCCTAGATGTTATAACAATCTGATACTTCAGACGTTGTGTATTGCTTAAGGCGCACATTTTAATTTTCAGCATAAAGTTGCTAATTAAATTCCATAGGTGAATTGATAAAAATTACGAAGGATTAGATTTTATAAGTATATATTCTAAACAGTTTCAACAAACCCAAAGAAGTACAGTCCCCAGGCAAGTCCAGCTCCCCATATGTTTGGTACTGCACCCTGCAAACAATAGAGATAAATCAAACTGATCTAGCATGTGTCCACAAATTCAAATCATTCTTAATCAATGAGATACCTGGTACAAACCCTTCCATCCACTCTCATTCAAAATACTTTTAAATGCATGACGCAGACCGTTGTATGACTTATGAGGGTCTGCATTTGTTCCATCATGTGCTGCAGAAATCAGTGATTAACAGTAGAGTTAACAAGAAAACTTGTGCTTGGCACAATATATTATAACTGCATGGTACAGTTATAGCCAGTACCTTGTGTATTTACATGCAGCCATGTTACGGTGTTTTGGGCAGGAAGAGACCAACTAGTTTTTAACCTGTAATCCAGGTTAGTTGGCTGATATTGGCAAGCAATTCCTTGCACTTGCAGAAATTACAGATTTTCTCATGGACATACCAGCTAGCATACGGGCCATAAATGTCATATACACTATTAATTTTCTGAAATTTCCAAAGCTTATTTGCAGGCAGGTATTGCAGTCTGGGTAGTATGTATTCAGGCCATAAAGAAATGTATTGGTAAGGGAACAGACTAGCTATCAGACATCCTTGATCATTTTATAGCCACAACGCAGCCATTGCATAATTATTAATATGCCTTAGTAAGATAGCCTAACTTCATGAATGAATGACTCAGCAATGTGATTGCTTGATTTCATATATTACATGCTAAAAAATTTCACCATGAGCTGATCTCATGTATTTCTCTGCACGGTCATATAAGCAACATGATAGATTTTCATCAAACCTTGAAGCCGAACTTTGATAACATCTAACGGATGCAAAACAAGGGTAGCACTCACTCCTCCAGATACACCAGAAACCAAATGTTCATATTTAACATGTCGAAAGAAACCTTTAAAAGTGTGTCCAGCATTACTGGCACTTCTTTGATGGTTTGTCATACAGGAAGCTATTATTCCTCTTTAATTTGATGTTTATTATTCCGCATTATTTACGTTCATTTGTGTAACATTTTGTTACACTGTCACTGTCTTGAATTACACGATTGTTTATGATGCAATAGAATATTGGTGACGTTACAATTCTATTTACACAAAGTTTGCTTCAGAGCGACAATAGCCTGTGGGCTCAGAATCTAATTTTTTTCTCTTCCACTTTCAAATTTTTACTTCCAGACACTGCTTCCAGAGTCCAGACTCCAGTTTGTTTTTAAATAAAGAAGGGAAAGAAGGGCATTTTAGCGTCATAAAATTTTTTATGTAAAACTAAAAAGCCATTTAAAAACCAAGGAGCATGAACCGTTTCGATGCAATTTTGACCGGTAATGATTAAACCAGAGAAACAGGAACCTAAACAAGCCTGAAATTTTAACTAAATTGCAATACAAATTGAAATATGGAAGAAATATGGAAGCGAATTGGACACTTGTGCGACACTTTTTTCCAACTTCATTTCTTCTTATAATTTTCTTCGAAATTATTTTCTAATTTCCATAATTTCTATACTGCAAAAGGCATACTCAAAATATATCCATCACAGGAAATGAGAAAATTGGTCTCGCTATTGCATATAATAAAAAATAAAAAATAAAAAATAATTCAATAGATTTTGAATTTGTTTCCCGCCGTATTTTTCGGTTTAACGACAAAAGCGCGCATTTCTTTTCGCAGTAAAGAATTTGTCACAAAATGGCGTTTCCAAAGGCGACGGTAAACAATGCCAGCATTTTGGTATCTAAAACTGGATAAAACATTAAGAAAACGGCGATCACTTTGCTAAATACAATCTCCGTTCAAAATGTTTATCTATCTTAGCAAAAAGGTAAACGAAAGCGTTCGAATGGTCGCTTTTCGCGTTCATTGCGGCGTTAAACGTACGATTTCTGTTCTGTATAGATCGCCATACCCAATAATACGAAGCTACAATGCTTATCATGGAACACAGGACAAGGGTATGTTGCATGCGGTGGGGAAGATGGCCTCCTGAAGTTGTTAAAACTCGAAATACAACAAGGTATTGTATTCCACCAGCCGCCGTCCTGTGCTTTTCGTCTATAAATTTAGCAATTAGTCACTCAGGTGTCCAAAATATGCAAGTAATTTACCTGACGAGTCAAACATTTCGACCAGAGGTGCTTTAAGTTAGTATAACAAGACGCAAATGAAATTCCAAAGTACTTGTGATTCTCTGTACAAACTCTCTGGAAGCCAAATTGGATCTCTGAAAATGGCAAAGAGAAGAAAATTTGATGCTTGGAGCAGATAGACTCATAAAACCCCTACTGCATTACTGTTAGACAGCTTTTCATGGTTGATCTATTAATGTAATTTACCATACCAGTGATTCTTTATTTGATATCTTTATAGTGTCAATTTAATAGCCTGTAAAGTTATATTAATGGTTTTGTGTTTATGATTCAGTGATGTATTGAAGTGGTTATTGTGGAAATGAAGGCAAGAACATGGTGATTCTTTGTAAATATAATATAAATTGTTTAGATAAGAACAGCAAAGTGAAAGGTTTAGCTGCACCAAGTAATCTTTCAATGAACCAAACATTGGAAGGACATTCAGGTAATGAAGATACATCTATCCTTATAAAACTATATAGTTAAATTTTATATTGTTTTGCTATTAATCCTACTAATATATTAATTCAGATGTAATATTTAATTATATTAATACTTTATAATTAAACTTTCATAAATTAATCAAGCTTTACTTTTGTGTCCTTACTTAATGTTTGTTGTCTTCATTACTTCACATATGGTGCCATATAGGAACTGTTCAAGTTGTCACATGGAATAATTACCATCAGAAACTAACAAGCAGTGATCAATATGGCCTAATTATTGTCTGGATCCTATATAAAGGTGCAATTGTGTATTTGTACTATTCATAGATTGAAATAGGATATTGTATAGACTCTTTATTAAAGATGATCAGATGCAGTTTGTCCTTTATGCAGTCAAATGGTTAACCCAAACCCTATAATATGTAAAACATTGCAAACTAACACCAGCTACTGTGTTTTTCAATATCCAGGAGCATGGTATGAAGAGATGATAAACAATCGCAACAAAAGTGTTGTAAAAGACATGAAATGGAATGCAGATGGCCAAAAAATATGTATTGTCTATGAAGATGGTGAGTGGTATACCTATAAGCTACTAGTTGATGATTTCTAAAATTTTCCTCTAAAAGAATGCTTATAATGAAATACCAAGTTTCATTGTCTACTTTTGAATTAGAGGTGCATCTGTGCTTAGATTTCATTTTCTGTTTCTAAGGTGCTGTCATTGTTGGATCAGTTGATGGTAATCGAATTTGGGGCAAAGAAATTAAATTGCAACTTTCCAGTGTCGAGGTAAACTGCTATTGTATTCATAATAATTTTATTATTTCTATAGGAAAAGCAAATTAATTTTTATCCTTTGTTTAGACCATGCATAATTAATTAATGTTTCATTTGATTGGGAGCTATTAGTTTTTAATTTGTTCTTTGTATGAATTGATTTACTTTTAGTGGTCCTCAGATGGTAAAAACATCTTGTTTGGAACAACAAGTGGTGAGGTCCATGTTTATGACTCTCAAGGCAACTATTGTGTAAGTGCATTTAGAATATTTGTAGTGTTGAATGTTATTTCAATAACAACAGAACATCACAGATATTTTGACTGCTATACTAAAACTTTTCAATTATAGTTTTGGATAAAAGCAAACTTTTAACTCCAAACATTGGATTTTGCGATGAATGTTTTAACATTCAAATTGAAGGGATAAATATAACGGGCCTTATTCAGAGCTAGATTAAGCCTCCTTAAAGACCTTGAAAAGGCTTTAAAATGTTCTTACATAAACTAAAACTAATTATAATTCTGTACCTGGTTGTACTCAACAAATAAACTTTGAATACTGGACACACTTGAAAACTGGCCGGTACAGCTAGCATATCTCATAGAATCATACCTTTTGCATTTTTCCTCTTTGAAACGCGTTTCACACACAAAAATGTCGACCCGGACACTTGTACGTTTCATATTTATATCAAAGTTTCAATTTCCTCAACAAATTCCGTTTAAAATCACACACAAAACGTCGAAATACTGTTCTATTTCGTCACTGCAAGTTCTGTTTCAAAATTGAGCCATGTACGATGTTGTGTGAAGAAGCGGGAAAACGATTCGTTGAATTCGTAGAATGAAAAATTTCGCGTTTGGCGTCGCGATGGCGCCGTTTTTTTAATTCGATCGACCATAATTGCTGACCCAGTCGGGAAAGAAAACACAAAGTCGCAAATTAAAACTGTCAAATTTATTTATCGTTCTTCTTCCTGAAACTTTCACCTTTTTTCATAATATTCAAATTACATTCTATAATTGTCACTTCTGGGATTCTATACTGATCAACGCAGTATTAAATAAAGCCTGTAAAACTGTTCGGAACGTTACAAAATGATGAAATTTAGCGTTAAATAGAATCCCGAAGTGACAATTATGGAATATAATTATTTATCGAACGTCAATTGCTTTTTGGGGAAATTATTTTGAACAAAGAAAATTGATCTTTTGCTAAAGAGCAGCCTAAATATTTGGTAAATTGTTGATTGTGTTTGCAAGATCTTTTGAAATGTTGATATGTTTTGATTCTTGCAAATTTGCTTATTTTCGACCGGGCATTAATTCATTATTATGTGCGGGGTGTTGATTCAATATGTTTCGCGCATAACCTGAAAGTAAGGGAAATCTTGCGCGGATTTGTTTGGAGTGCGTTTTTTTGCGCAAATCTGCCGTTGGTTTGAATCATCCACGATTTGTTTTGGTTCGTATCCACACAATAATACATTTGGTTTTTGCAGACAAAAATTACCATTCATTGCCTAACTAATGTTACTGGAGCGGCAAGAATCGTTGGTGTTGTTTGGTAAGTGGTTGGGTATGTTTTGTAAACGTCTTAAGCGGCTACTCTTTATAATTTGAAGCCAGATTTGAGTTCCACAAATAAGTTCGCTAATGTTTGAATCCTAAAAAAATACATTGGTACACGGCGTAGACCCTGGGTACGAGATTGGAATGAAAACGCATGCAGGAGGAGTTTTGAGAGCCTTTCATTGTCGAGTTCAAGCCCTTTCTTAAAACATACAAGGTAATGTACTCATTGCAACAACCACCTCGCTGGGAGTAATTTGAATTGTCCAATCACAATATTCGACAGTTTATTTTAAATAATGCAAACATTTGCAGCGAGCTTGTGAGTTAGTGGAAAAGAGCCACAGCTCAGTTTGCCATCATTATTATCTTTTTTTCTATTCGTAGTTCTTATACCTCTCGTAATATTCTGATATTCTATAGGTATCACGGCAAGGAAGGTTATGTGGAACAGAATTGTCCCGTGCTTGCGATATGTTTTGACAATGGACGAATGCAGATCATGAGAGATGAAATGGACGAGAGTACGTCTCTAGTTAGGCTAATCAATTATTCCAAGGCCTGATTCACGCTTAAATTCTTAAGAATCGGTTAAAATTCTGTGATCGCTATCGCTATGTTGATTGTTGAATTTTTGGGACCATGCAGAGTATTTGAAGAAGTCCTCGTAAACCGCTGGGCTGATGCATGTTTGAATACAAGTAACTATGTCTAGAACAGTTTAACTCATTCTTCCGGTAGCATCTATGAAGCATTGGAGCAAGATTATTGACAGTCAAATCAGGTGTTCTGTTAAACGAGTAAATGAATATCACCATATTCATTGGATTTCACTGAAAGGTCGCGCCATCCAGATACTAATATATTGATTTATAATTTCAGCCCCGGTGTTACTCGACATGGGCATGACGGTGCATAGGATAGAGTGGAACACTACGGGATCAATATTGGCAGTGGCTGGATCGCAAAGACTCTCGCAACAGGTACGCTTTAGCCCCATCCAAACTGCACACGATTTTAGAATTCCTACGGATGAAATTTTGACCATTTTGACCAAATTTTATCAATCTCAATGAAATATATTTTGTACAGATGAAGGCGATTTTAAAATATATTATTTCACAATGGTTAAAGAAGGCTTATCGTATCTTTTCTTCACCAGGACAGGGATGTGAACGTGGTTCAGTTTTATAATCCATTTGGCGAGGTATGTTTCCACGATTAGAATTTTCGTAATTAAACCGCAGACAGCCATGACGAGAGTCAATGAACGTATGTCATATCTTGAGACCGTTCCATTGTGCATGACAGTGGCGGACACTTTGAGAAATATTGGGGGGGGGGGGCGAAAAGACCAATGAGACAAACTGTTAAATGAAAGTGAGACTGTATAGTTAATTTAAAGAGTCTAACGGACTAAGTAACACTAATATACTCTCGCCCCTCCAAGAGTCCGCCACTGGTGCATGAATATTTTGTTTATATATAGTGATTACGACTTATCAATCACGCCTAACTTGTGGTGTTATCTTTCAGCATTTGCGTACACTCAAAGTGCCTGGCAAGGAGCTGACCGCGTGTTCTTGGGAAGGCGGGGGTCTGAGGATAGCGCTTGCTGTCGATTCCTTTATTTATTTCGCGATCATCCGACCCGATTACAAGGTAAATACAGCCTTCGTGCGGGATATATACGTTTAATTGCAGAAAAAGTAATGAATACATGTCGTAAAAAATCGAGAATGAAGAATCGTGAATTTCAAGCTCGGTTATATTCACGATATCTCTTACTTTTGGCTTTCTGGCATTTAAAGTCTTTCCACAACTGCCCTAGAATTTTTAACTAGTTTTTTTTTCATTTTTAGTGGGGCTATTTAGCTAATAGCGTCGTCTATGCGTTTACTAAACCAGATCGCGTTGAACATTGTGTCATGTTTTGGGACACAAAGAATCAAGAGGTCAGTTCAATACGTGTTTGTTTGATTAAACGCATTTTCTAATTGCTTTATATCCTCATCGTTATTAAAGATTGTATCATCTTGCTTCAAGTACAGTCTTAGCGCACTATTGAAATAGTTCATCCGCATAATTATCTATTTAATATCTATTCATTGAGAATATTAGATCTCAGCCATAACAAGATAGTCCCGCATGATATAATTGTGAATAAAAAAAATGAACCTTAAAAATTTATCTCAAATGCATTATCAGTGCCTTCCTTCTGGATTGTCTCTGTTCCCACATTGGTACCGATATCTTGTGTGAATGGGCCTTACTTTAGAGGAAATATATTAGTAATAATTTTATGTCTTGCAAATGGTGAAAGTTTCAGAAGAAAAATTAAATCATGCATCTTCTTTTCCGCTCAGAACTACCTGAAATATGTTCGAAATCTGATCTCGATCACAGCATGTGGCGATCACTGCATACTAGCAACGAAGAGTGTTGAGACCAATAATCAGGTATGGCGTCGTCATTCATGAAGACCTGTGTCTTCGCGTTGTTTTCCTAAACTGTACGAAAACGTTTTTCTTCTTAGTATGTTCTTGTCCTGTGCAATGCAATTGGCACTCCATTGGATTCAAAATATATTGATATCGGTATGTTGACGTAAATAGATTATTGTTTCGATACCATAGAAAGGCGCTCGGTAAGAAGACTCGAAGACGTTAACTTTAGGAGTTACATAAGCACAGATTGAATGTGTAATTATATATTTACTTTACGTATAATTATAAGTAATTGAAGTAGATAATTTGTAAGCCCTATATACCAACCAAAAAGTTATTACCATGATCTGGGTTTTGTAGGTCTTACAAATCACGTTTACTGGCAAAGTTTCTACGATTACATTTACAATTTTGCTTACGCGTCAATCTATATTTTTCAACCAATAGACCTTTCTCTCAATGACGTCGGGTGCAGAAAGCCTGATGTTGATTGGCTCGTTAGTTTTGCGGAGCCAATCAAGAATTGCTAAACATAATACTTGCCGCGTTTTACGTCATTTATGAGAAGGGTGTTATAGCGATGACTGAAACAGCTAGTGGTAAATCTTAAGTTAAACCTTGTTACGAATTCTCTAGGATTCACCCATGCATGGAAAGTGTAAACTGTGCATGGTCAAATTACGAAACTTTGATAGTATGCCAACGTGCCCTCAGATCTTAGGTTTGCGAACTCAATAAGTGTATTTCTTTTAGAACCTCTTTTCGTAACAATGAGCAAGACCTTTGTGTTCGCTGCATCTCAACAAGCGTTTATCTCGTGGCAATACAGGAGCCCCAAGAAGTTGACCGCTCTTGAACTCACGAGCAGCACGTTCCGTAAGGAAAATGCCACACGAGAAAAGTAAGATGAAGTTTTCAGCCTAAATTTATATGGAGTTTTATAAAAAAATTTACATCGTTTTGACAACTATTTAGACACTTACTTTTAACCAACGAATTTCCTCTTTTTCTTTCACAGGATGTTTCATATTGACGATGTTCCGTCAGGTGCTGGCCAAGGGATCAAGGATTTAAAGAAAGCTTTCCAGGTAGCTATGGACGCGGATTCCCAAATTATATTTTGAAAACCTCTTGTCCCTTATGGACAAAGTCCTCTTCAACACTTAGTTCATTAGATAACGTAAACATAAAGCTAAAATAAATGGACTTTTTGTTTGAGAGCATGGTACTCGAAAAGATTTGAACGTTTTTCCGCCAAAATACACGACTCATAAAATAATTGTTAAATATAATTTAATATATAATTGTTTATGTTTCCAGCCAACAAGAGACCCTATTTGCTGCATGTGTGCTACCGACAGGACATTACTCATCGTAAGAGCTGTTTGTAATTACGTGATTGTCAATGCAACTTGATCTCAACTATATGATTTTTACGCCATTTTTAAATTCTCCAGGCCCGCGAATCTGGAACATTGCATCGTTATTCTCTGCCCAAACACGCGCTGGAAATGAAATATGTCCTCAATTGTCGACCTCACAAGATCTCTCTCAATTCCAGCTCAAGGTGACTCTCAATTCTTTGGTATCTACAGGGCGATTTTCTGTTCTTGTGTGACGGTCACAAACAATTTTGGCTGTTTCCTCTCTATTATGTGACTGTCTAAGACATTCCACTTTCCAAATTAAGGGCACACAATAAAGAAGAAAACAAATACAGTTTGTGGGTTGCTACACACATTACAGGGAATCGCCCTACATAGACAAAATTAAGAGATAGCACAATTCGACAAATATTTGACCTCTTTTTGCTTTCTTTTCTGTATAGTCGAGTGGCCATCATTGATATATCTGGCGTATTGACATTCTTTGATTTGGTAAGAATATAGAAAGATTCCAATGGTCATTATTTGCCTGGAAAAGCAATGAGATCACATATTTAGAGCTAAAGATTATTAAACAGAACCTCCAATTTATAAATACCAAGGTTTAATCCAAGTTATACCGAACAACGGGCAACCTTAAGGCGATTAAAAAAACACTATCCGGTGGATAGCGCTATCCAGGCTTCGTACAGTAAATTATACAAACCATGAATAGCCCGCCATGTTCATTGGTGCTTCCTGTTGCATTTGTGATTTTTCCCTAAGATTTGATTTCTTGTTTCCGTAGGATGCGAAGAAGACGGATGAGACTGGTAACCAACAACCTGGGGAACTTCTCAAATTTGAGCGCAAGGACGTCTGGGATATGAAATGGGCTTCGGTAAGGCTTTCGTTTCACCGTCAATGAGCACTGAGATATTAGTATAGTGGGACTCAGTCGTCAGGTTTGCCATGTTATATGCTGATTGAAATAAGTATTACATGTGGGAGCTGTACCTCAGCTGTAGCTTCCCCCCATTACATGCACCCACCCGGGCGGGAGAAGGGTACAGAATATGATGTCGGAAGTTAAGTCGGTAAGCCAAGAAACGCCGATTTTCTTTAGACAAATTCTTATTTACAACTTTTTCCCTATCTTCAGGATAATTCAGAGCTTTTCTCAATGATGGAGAAAACACGGATGTACGTGTTCAGAAATCTCGATCCAGAGGTAGGGATAAATTATGACTTGATAAAAATGTAGGCCTTTGCATAGGTTTCACGCCCGCTTTGCAAAACACAAAAAAAAACAATTTCCAAAAAAATAAGGCCATGCATCTTGAAATTAAATATATGAACTAAACAAGACAAGCGTATGAGATTGTAAATTTTCAAAGTTATTCTGTCTGATGACAGTGCATGTCTCACACTCGTCTGTAGTTTCAATTGATATCTTCAGCTTCACGATCACCTTATTCTTCAGAATTTGTTTCATTTTGTATTTTCTCGAGGAAATGTTTTGGACCCTACTCTGGGCTCACCCTCAGTATGCCATCTAAATCACAATGATAATAAAAAGGATAGTTTAAATTTCGAGGATTGAAAATAGCCTGTCTCGACCTTTGCCGCTTTTGGGTTGCACGAATGGGAAGGCGAACAAGAAAGTAAGCAGCTTTCGCTTTCCCATGATGCAATATAAGAAATTTCTAACTACTGATCTCTAAATAATGCTGGACACAAACACTGCATATCAGAATTGGCGTTTTTAATAATTCCTTATAATTGAGCGTGTAAATGTGCATTATTAACTAAAGGTGAAGTGCGTGTTCTTCTCTTGTATGATCTATAAATTAAGGCAACACGTGGTCGTTCAGCTTGCTCCATCGGCAAGCCCTGATATATATGGCTAGTATATCTCATTGTCCTGGTGCTATTTATGCTATCTAAATGTCAATCCTATATGTCAAAACGTTTTTGTACAACTTTTGTGCCCTCCAATTTTCATCATTGTGCGTGCGAGGATATGTCTATATGGAGACTACGAATTCATTCCACTTCACAGCAAGTCGGATCGGCCCCATCGGTCCAGGATGACTTTTTATATCGGTATGCCACTCTTCACAAAGTTCGTGTTTAAAACGCACATCATGCTCCAGTTTGCCAGCTTCAGAGTAACACAGCAATGCTGTGTACGCCCATTTGACGTTGTTGGTCAAGACTATTATTTTACCAAGCCCATGATGGTACGCCGCTTGAACGATCTTGTGATCTTCTTGTACTTTTATGGTGGATTTCAAATTCCCTTCGGTTGTAAATATTTGAACAACTTTGCAATTATCTAATATTATCATGATATCATTTGCATTAGAAATACTCACACTGCGTGGATCACCACCCTCGCAGTTAAATTTATGTTTCAACTGTCCGTTGTTGTCCAAAACGTACACGTTGCTGTCATCATTGTTGATCAAGGCTATGTTTTTGTTTTCATCAACAGCAATGTTCACCGACGTGCGTCCATCTCGACCGTTGGAATCGAAAGATTCCAACGTACATTTATGTTTTAGTTTGTGATCTTTATCAAACACGCACAACACGTTATATGACAAATTCCTGTTTGCATGAATATCAAACTCTGAGCTTGCTATAACAATGTACACGTTATCATCGCAGTCCACGGCGATTGCTCTTCCTAATCTAACGTGTTTTATTATCTGTTTCAACTTAACTGTCTTGCTCGCACCTGTGCTTGGTTCGATAACCGTGTATTTGTCGAATTGTGGGCGAATGATTTTACCGAGGCTGTTCACAGCAAAGTCCTTGCAATTGAGTATCGCGTTGACGATAACAACTCGGCTGAGTTGCTGCTGTTCAAATCGCCAATCTCTGCACATCAAAATCTCGGGTGCGTGCAGAATTGGATTGAGTTTCATTCGACCAGTGAGCTCAATGCTCGGCCATGTAAATACGTTGGGATATTCTGGGCTACATTTAGCAGCGAAATCAAAAAGAGCATGATTTATGAACAAAACAGACATTATATTGTCCAACCGTTCTGCTTTCTTAAGCTTTGACTTCAGTCCTCGTTTGAGAAAAACTGAGAACATTTCTCGAACCGCTGGTAAATCATTTAGCTCTGTAATGGCCACCTGGCAGGAGGCAGTTGCAGCCACCGGGTCTTCAATTCCTATTTCAAGCATTCTAGCTGCTACACGTAACTTGCAAGCCATAATTCGATCTTTGATGCTCAGAGATTTGTTGTTGAAAGCATCAGTTGCTCGTCCATGAGATTTATTGAAGCAATCTTTAGCAGAAAGAAAGCGCTCTCTGGACGAGATTTCCAATATTTGAGTGGCTTCAGGTAGTGCTACGGCGGCGCTCAATATACAAGATCTAGTATTGACGACGCTTGTTGCTTCTTCTGCAAGCACAATGCTCGCTCTTCGATCTTCATTCGACTTATCGAGAGCCATATTTAACAATGCTACACCTTCTTTCAGGAAACTGTAACTGCTGTCGAGATCTTTCAGAGACAAACAATCGAGCTTCGATTTAATGTCGGTCAAATCTTTAACAATCATCTTACGTAATCTTTCATTCGCGGAACCGCCGTCTTTGAGTTTCTCAAGCATGTAGTCCTGAGCTCTTTCGCACACGAAATTAACGCTTGATCCTATAATGGCAACAACAAAGGAAGACATGGCTTTTTCAACACAGAAGCGAGAGGCGAAGTGGCTGGTGACTACAAGTGAACGACGACTACACGAATACGATTTTGATGATTTCGTGACTTTCTGTTTTGTGGCACTGCTTTAAAAAAGCATGCATATAGATTATAGTTGTTATGATGCCCAATCCTATTCTTATGCGAAGTATACACAATCCTGAAACCAATCAGTTCTTTCCAATATTGCTCAAAGCAATGAATCTCGAAAGTTCCTCTGCTAGCTATGCCTATAAAATACTTAAGACCTGTGCGGAATAACATCGTTATTTGGTTATGTCAGGGGGGGGGTATTCGTATGGTTATACCGGTTATACGTTAATTGTTACACAGAGGGCATGCGGAATGCAAAAATTTGAGCAAAAATTTAAAGGTCGCAAAGACGGAAAAGCAGATGTTTTCATGTTTGGCAAAAATTCATCATTGCGATTTTGGCATGCTATCTCTTTCGTGAGAATGTTTTTGCAAAGCTTCGCTGTATATAGTCCTTATTACGCGGGTGGCTGCTTAATACTTGAGTGTTATGTATTGTAATTTGCAGGAGCCAATATTAAGCTCTGGTTATATCTGTCAGTTCAGTGATTTGGAAATAAAGTCTGTTCTGCTGGACGAGATCATGAAGGTATGTCCAATTTGTGTTTAGTTTTGCAGTGGAAAATTGCTGAATTGAATTTTTCCTGTCCCTCCTTAATTTGTTTACTTGCTAATGCAATATCTTCTATAATTTATTATTTTGTATCATCTATTTTGCTCAGGATCCTGAAAATCCAACAAAAGATTCTATCATCGAGTTGGAAGTCAAGGTTTGTGTTCAATAAATGCCAATATGAATATACAATATAGAATATAAAAATTAAGAATTGAAAAGGGAAAAAAAGGCTCTTACATGATATATAATACTATTTGGTATATATAAAAGGTTTAAAGGGTCTTAATTTCGAGTGAAATGATACACACTTCAAATTCAAGCCAGGAACAGTTGATGGAAAAATGAGTCAACCATAGGTGCTCCGGTAGGAATCGAACCTACGCTTTTGCGATGCCGGTGCAATGCTCTTTCCACTACGGTATCACAAAAGCGTAGATTCGATTCCTGCCGGAGGACCTATTGTTGACTCATTTTTCCATTAACTGTTCCTGGCTTGAATTTGAAGTGTGTATAATTTCACTCGAAATTAAGACCCTTTTAACCTCTAGAATTTACCTGCATCGAATGAAGTGCCAAAAATCATATTTGGTATATATAATATACTACTCGGTATTCATATTCTATGTGGGGGAAACTTTTTGACCAAGTTGCACATTGGCATTTAAATGTAAGTATAGTTTTATTCCGAGACCGGCCAAATTTGTTCACGGTGGTCCTAAAATGTCTAAAATATCAACGCTAATGGTAAATTTCCCCCCCGCTAGACCAGTCTTTGCATGGTTAATTTAATTAGAGGTTGTCAGTCCGTACAATATAAACAAACGCTTATAGTTTGCACGACTTGTATACATACTGTCAGAATATTTAAAACTTCTGAATGAATATGAGCTGATGGAGGAGTTTGCATGTGTTAAAAAAACAGAACATACGAAATTTTAGCATTTTTTATATCAAGTGGTCTAACCAACTGATGTGAGTAGAACTGATGCATACGCGCCTTTGAAGATCTTTAAATATTTTCCTCTAGTCATTGCGAGACGCTCGTGATCTTTTGGAGAAAGTCAGCATTCAAGATGCTCACCAGTTCATTGAAGATAACTCTCATCCGCGATTATGGTATGTAATATGATAGCTTTATTTGAATATACGTAATATATAGACTCTTCTCACCGACTCACTGTTCTGTCTACAGAAACTGGATAGAAAGAGAATATTAACTAAGTATATACACTGCATTGTTATGTAACGCGTGCATTTTTTGCAGGCGGCTCCTCGCTGAAGCAGCTCTCGAACGACTCTCGCTTGATATGGCTGATAAGGCGTTTGTCAGATGCCAAGATTATCACGGAATAAAGTTCGTCAAGAGATTGGCAAAACTTGATGTAAGATTCATCATTGTTCTGCGTAGACATGAAAAGTTTCATTCACTACTTTTGAAATGAAATACATAAAAATGGCTTTTCTGTCTAGCGACTGCCGTGCATGCATAACGTTAACTTTTGTTCTTTAAATGATATATTCTTTCGCATAGTTTTCTGGGTCTTCATCAATTTGCCTGGTCGTTGATTATTTCTGTGGATGCCAAGTATTGACAGATAGAAGTTATTTACACAAGTCTTGCTCATTCTTTTCAGAACGACCTCAAAAGGCAGGCAGAGGTGTGCGCTTATTTCCAGCGATTTGATGAAGCGGAAAAAATGTATCTTGATATGGATCGAAGGTAATTTTTTTCAATGATGGCAGAAAATAAAACAAAGAAAGTTAATAATGGCCTTTTGTTTCAATCAACAGAGACTTGGCCGTCGATCTTCGCATGAGGCTTGGAGATTGTTTTAGAGTGGTGCAGTTGTTGAAGAGTGGAGATGGTGCGGGTATGTATATTTTGTTTTCTATGCCCTCCTTAAGACATTTTTTATAACATTCAATAACATTGCCGGTATTTATGATTCTCGTAACATTTGGATGATGTATGAATACATAAACTAAATTCATCGCGGGCGCAGTGGCTAACAAGTGCATGCGCATTACTCCGATTTACAATTTTTGCACGAAAATATCCCAGACCGATGCAATGGTAACACTTAAGTTGATAGTGATGAAGTGCATGTCTACAGTAATAGATTTGCAATTGGCGTCAAACGCAGAAAGTCTGATGCTGCACAAAGTCTGATTGACTTCGCAAAACTAACCAGTCAATCGAACGTCGTGTAACATCAGACAGCGAAAGGTCTATTCTTTAAAATTTAAAATTTACCGGGAATTTGTACAATCGTGCATGAATACTACTTGTATGAGCTCACACTTTCAATATTCAACGCGTTTCTTTTGCAAGGTGAAGACGCGTTGCTTGAACATGCCTGGAACGCCATCGGAGATTACTGCGCTGATCGTCAGCGATGGCAGCAGGCTGTCACTTATTATCAACAAGGACAAAATCAGGAAAAACTCGTCGAATGCTACTACATGTTGGAGGATTATGAAGGCTTGGAAAACATTGTAAACACGTTGCCCGAAAACCATCGCCTCTTAGCGGTAAGTCCGTCAATATTTATTTGACTAAATTCACCAACTTTGTTTTCATGCAAAACGTGGATTCCTCGAAAGATCAGGTAGTTTAGCACAGACAGGAACGTTCATAGTTTTTTTACTCTTATTACATCAGGAAATCGGCGCTCTCTTTCAAAATATTGGATTGAGTGAAAAAGCCGTTGCCGCATTTATCAAGGTAAAGTATTAATATAAAGTCAGGATTGAGTTTGGATTTTAAGGTTTAATATGGTTAGATTTATAGGATTTAGGTTGAGATAAGGATGTGGAAATTAAGATTAATGTGTAGGTTTAGTCTCAAGATTAGGACTGAGGGTTGAATTAGGATTAAAATTGAGAATGAGATCATGCTTAGAATCAGGATTTAGGTTTAATTTGGGATAAAGATTATTTTGGGATTGAGATCAATTTTTGGATTTATGTCAAGATTGGTTGGGTATAAATAAGCGTTTAGTTTTTCAATTGATGCGAAACAACGATAGTCTATAATCACTCTCACCACAATATGAAATTATGCATTATGGATGGCAAAATTTGAATTGACTTATTTCAGTGCAATCTCATAAAAGAGGCAATCGATTGTTGCGTTCAGTTGAATCAGTGGGACCAGGCCATTCAGCTCGCGAAGCAACACAATATCAAGGAAGTTGACAGTTTACTGGCAAAATATGCTTCGCATTTGATGGAGAAAAATAGAACACTGGAAGCGATTGAGCTGTATCCTTTTAAAAGAGTATAAACTATTATTTTTGTAAAGGTTTTGATGGATATTAGCAACTTGGTCGAGGCTTTAAATTACTGTAAAATGCTGTTCTTTTTCATTTGACTTAATCCTTCAAAAGTTACCGCAAGGCAAGTCATTATGTTGCAGCAGCAAAACTTTTGTTCAAGGTATGTAAACACGATTGAGTTAATCTTGTAATCCCGGGTTTAACAACAGTATAATAAACTAAATTAGGTTTACTATTAGGAAGGGGTTTTTATGCTTTTATATAAAGCCCCGAACAGTTAATGACGAGGTGTAGCCGAGCCATTGTTTGTGGCCAGGATGTTAAAACCAGAATTTTAAAGCCTTTTCACCAAGCTAATTTTTATTTCGCTGGTTCATCTTAGACAGCTAAAGAGACAGCAGAGCCTATCAATAATCCTTTGCGAGCTAAGAAGTTGTATGTCCTTGCAGCGTTACTGGTAAGTTACCAGTTATTCCTATAAATATAGTAAGCTATGTTGACCTTCTTTATTCAAAACTAAAGGACTGTGCACTCGGCCGCATGTGTTCGGGTTCATTATTTAGAATTACGTTAGAAATATTCCTAAATTTTTAAATTGTGTTGCAATTTTTATCAGATCGAAAAGTATCACGAACATGTCAAACAAACTAGTCTTAAGAGTGGAAAAAGTACGAAAGAGGTACGCTATAAAACTATATCATTTCGTAGCAACTTTTAAGATGTGTTTTTGTGCACTTGCAATTTTCGTTTTGTTCATTGAAAATTTCTCCAAGGTTTGCAACTTAATGTGTATTAATTTCATTATTTAGGCCAATACTTACGAGCAGGTAGTGTTGAAAAAGTAGACTAGCGACGACTTTAGGTAGTTCTAACATTCAGGTATGATAGAACAGATTGACACAGTAAGGACAGAATATCTTTTGAACTGAGTTTAGTGAAGTAATTTCTTTACTCAGCTATATGCATGCCGGCAAGATCGTGATAAAAACTTGAGAAAAGTAGGTCAGCCAATTTTTTCTTTCTGCAAGTGGAAATTCAGCCTATGACAGCATTTGGTTACACATCTTAGCACAGTATATTCTAAACATTTATCACATGATGCATGTTATTCAAAGTTTAATTCTCAATATAAGTCTAGCGAATGTGGTCCAGCGACTGTGGCTCAGCGAAATATACGCGAAAACGTCTCTACGTTTCCCCTTTACAGTTGCAATTTTTGTCATTCGGCAGTTGCTAAATCACATTAGATGTCAGAGAATACTTGAAGAATTTCCCGCTACACTTTACTAAATATCTTGGACGATATATCTACTCTGTCATGTTGACTGTATTCATCTCGTCTTTTAATACCGTGCTTTTACCTGTTGCTAGGCAACAACTGCTCTGGCAGGTTTGCTGGAAGACGACATTGCATCAAGCGAAGACAGTCAAATCGTTGACAACGCGTGGCGAGGAGCCGAGGTTAGGTTCATGTTTTTGCAATTCAGATATAATTTTTCCTTCAAAGGAAGGAAATCAAGGAATTGTCTCTTCCCACGCAGTAAATGTACTATACTTTGTCTATACTTGGTTGATTCTGCGAAGTGTAACTTATGGTTTTCATACAAAGACAAACTGTGCACACCAAAATGCCTTTTTAGACGTGTGTTTTGAGAATGCTTGAAATGCGTGTGTTTTGAAATCAATGAGAATGATTTGAATAAGTGTTCTTATATATTCTTCTCCATACGTTCAGGCGTATCACTTCTTGATCTTGGCCCAAAGACAGTTGTACAGTGGATATGTCGATGCTGCTTTGAAAACGGTAAGATTTTTTAACATTCTCAACTGATAGACATTGGAATGCATTTCTAACGGGAGTCAATATGTAGGGGTCATGCACACAATGTTTTGAATACAGACCTTCCGTGTGAAAATCATTACACTACACTGGTTTCTGAGCTAGACTTTTCATTATTTCAGTTTCTTAACTTGATATGAAAACCTACTGATATGATCCAAAATATTAAACAATGTCAGCAGTTAGCTCTTCCAAGTTAAGAAAAGTTTTGCTTTAAAATTGAAGCATGTATAATTTAAACATAAAGTGAAGAATTTCACTCAAATTGCGCTGTGCAATGGTCCTGAAGTCTGCATTAGCTCTCATGTGATGCAGACTTTAATTTGATGACTCGCAGTTGTGATGAAACATCTTCAGTGTAACGAGTAATAATTGTTTTAACAATTTGATAGTATGTTAACAAGTATGTTAAGAACGCATTGACCAAAATGTGAGATTCATGCGCGTGTGGGTGACACAATATGTAATGATAATATCAATTATTACCTAGGCACTACATCTTCGCGATTATGAAGACATTCTTGATCCTATTGTGGTTTATTCGTTGCTGGCTTTAATAGCCTCGAACAACAGATGTTTCGGAACTTGTTCAAAGGTAATCTAGCTAATGCTCTGTATACTGGTATTAACAGTCTTCATCATACACTTTCTAAATGTTGCCATCTTCACCAAAGTTTCATCATCAGTTAACCTTTGATCACAAAGTATCGTTTCTTTTTTACAGGCCTTTATCAAACTGGAAACGCTCGAATCTATTCCACGGGAGAAACGAGACGCATATGAAGAACTAGCTCTTCAAATATTCACCAAGTAAGATAAATATAGGGTGGCTTTGTGATGTGAATATGTGCATTGTAATTCATGTCCAGCAACCAATCAATTTTCAATATTTTACTAGGAATTCGCCAAAAGATGGTCGAACTAACACGGTTGAATGCACAAGTTGCGAGGCTCCTATACCTGATTCGTAAGTGCCTTTTTCGCAAAACACAAAGAATATCTTTTGGATTTTTCTAATCGCCATTCGTTCCGACTTACATCCGCCTAATTTTCGGTTTACAAACGTATATATACGCTATTACAAATTGAAATGTTTACAAAAGATTTAAAGAAACGTTAATAAACGCTATAACAGTTCTCCTTCAGCAGGCTATATCACTCTTGTAATCATGCAGCACTATGTTTTTTCAGATCCAAACGCTGCCCTCGTTGTGAAACACAATTCCCAACATGCATTGTGACCGGGCGACCTCTGATGGACTATCAATTCTGGATGTGTTCAACGTGTAAACATCGAGCTTATGAACAAGAGATACGCACCCTTGCAACATGTCCACTCTGCCATACCATCATCTAACAAGGTTTGTTCAAATTATTCATTATTTTTCTAATAAATTTCATGTCCCGAATTCAATAATATAATATGTAGGGTTTGGGATCGATGATGCATGTTTCGGGGAGGGGGGTAAGTAAGAGTTACATTCGTATGTGAAATTTACACAATTTTCTTCAATCCCATGGTCGGCGTGGTCCCTAATCCCGCTGAACGATTAGGGTCCAATGCTTGACAGGTTATGTAACATTATATGATGCTACATTTCTCATATACGCTTGCCTTTTTGGTGGTAAAAAGTACATTATTTACCATTTTACATGAAGTATTGAAAATTTAGGCATTCTGATTGGCTTTGCCTGAAAAATGTAAACAAATCATGCCGATTAGTTTAAAACAAATTCCTCCTTGTTCTGTGTTTTATAAAAGCGAAACTCGGCAAATATGCATGGCACTTGTTGGCAACCATGCTGTGATTGCAGTCGTATGAATGGGATCTTGAAATGTCTTGATCCCAAACTATAGTACATCTACAATAATACTCCAATTGCATCCATGGTGAACAAGGTCAATAGAGGTGCACACCTCTGTACGCCGCCCTTCCTATAAATCAACTTGATAATAAACCATACTGAAGAAACTGTCCTTCAGATTCTAATTTTTCAATTTTACTTACTGTGCGATAACTGCATGGGAGAAATACACAAGCTTTAACTTGCTTGCCCTATTTCTTGAGTGAATTTTTCGATGAAACAAGTTTCACGGCATTCTTTCAGGCTAAATTATATATTTTTTAATAACTGACGTACCGTATAGCTAAACACTATGACCTATGAATCATAAAAATAATGTGAATTAATGTTATTCTTTAGACTGAATTTACGTCGCACCATATGTACATTCGTAAAAAGACTCTTTCCCATCATGATATGCTGTTTGTAAATAACTATCTAAACCTTGTACAATGTAAATGTCTTATTTTAACTTAATTTATTTACTAAATTAATATAATCCAGGTTTTTACGATTTAAGTATTTACATAATAAATATGTCTAAATACGTTTACGTACGCATTGTAATTAAAAGTGTGTTGTGTGGTATTTAATCATCGGTGATAACTATGTTGTGTGTTTTTATCGACCATTCCTCTATTAAAATAAATTTGAATCGAGAATAATTCATCAATACGGCTGGAAAGACATCCTAAAATTATAGTAAAAATGGGAAAGTTAGGATTACGAAGTTATCACAATTCCGTCGACACCTTTGTCTAATGAATCAAAATGAAAGATCGTTGTCTTGGTAAAAATTTCTTCTCCATCTTCATTATTTTGCGAGAATATATACTCAAATGAAAATGACTTTTTTTGACCGCTTCACAGCAAAAGGTCCGCTGAAATGACTGATAATACTCATAGAAAACCATTTCGCTTCAAAATGCTGGGTATGCTCCAGTTCACCTGCTTCAGAGTAACATAGTAAGGCAGTGTTCTTCCGATTAACATGATTAGCCAGCACCATAATTTTACTGATCCCATGATGAAATGCCACCTGCATGACTTCGTAATCTTTGCACACCTCAATGGTAGATTTCAATCTGCCCTCTGTTGTAAATATATGAATGTATTTCGAATCACATGATGGAATCATTACGTCATTTGTATTAGAAATACTTAAACTGCGTAGCTCATCCCCGTCTCTTTTAAACTTATATTTCAACTGTCCCGTAACGTCGAGAACATACACATTGCTATCGCCATATTTAATCATGACTATGTTTTTGTTTCTGTCAACAGCAAGGCTCGCACGTATTGTTTCATTCTCGTCAAAAATATCCAGAACGAATTTATGTTTCATGTCGTGATTCCTATCAAACACATACAACACATGCGAATATACCACACCCCTAGCTGCGACGTTGTTAGATTTCGAAATCGATCTTAAAATGTACACGTTATTATCGCTATCAGCAGCAACTGCTATTCCATTTAACAGTTTTGCACTTAGACTTTCTGTGTCTGCAAACGTAACTACCTTGCTTTCACCTGCACTGGAGTTCACCATGAACTTGTCATCATCTAATTCAATAATTTCACAACGGCTGTTGACAGCGAAATCGAACCATAATCCTACTTCCGCAATCCGGTTAAGTTGCAGCGCAGATTTTTTATTGCGGGACCTCAAAGTCTCAATTGCGTTTAGGATTGGATTGAGTTTCCGACCGGCGACCTCAATTCCCGGCCATATTAATACGTTGGGATATTTACAGCTATGCTTTGCTGCGAAATCAAATAAAGCATGATTGATAAACAAAACAGACATGACGTTGTCCGACCGTTCTGCTTTATTAAATTTTGATTTCCATCCTCGTTTGAGAAAAACTGAGAACATTTCTTGAACCGCTGGTAAATCATGTAGCTCTTCAAGGGACAACAGGCAGGAAGTAGTTGCAGCCATCGGGTCTTCAAGACCAATTTCAAGAATTCCGGCTGCTACACGTAACTTGCAAGCCATAATTCGATCCTTGATGGTCAAAGATTTGTTGTTGAAAGCATCAGTTGCTCGTTCACGAGATGCTTTGAAACGATCTTTAGCAGAAGCGAATGGCTCCTTCGACGAAATCTTCAATTTCTGAATTGCTTCAGGAAGTGATAAAGCAGCGTTCAAAATACCAGATGTATCGTCTACAACTCTCGTTGTTTCGTCTACGGGAGCTTCGCTCGTTTTCTGATCTTTATTCGACATATCAAGAGCCAGATTTAACAATGCTACACCTTCTTTCAGGAAACTGTAACTGCTGTCGAGGTCTTTCAGCGACAGACAGTCTAGCTTTGATTTAATGTCGGTCAAATCCTGAACAATTATCTTTCGTATTTTCTCATCCGCTAAACCGCCGTCTTTAAGTTTTTCTGCTGCACTGTCTCGAGCTTTACCGCACAAGAAACCCACGGTGGAGCTTAAAATGGCAGTGACTATAGAGGACATGGCCTTCGAAGCTGTTCGGTTTAGAAGAGTTTAGAAGAGTTTCTGTGGTCACAACTGAGGGAATATATTCAAACGTTTGAATATTTTACAGATGAATTAACATGAACATAGTGTTACACACATAACATACTGTAACATTACGTCATCTTTGTTGAATGGAAGTTCCCGTGAAGAACGTCAAAATACCAGTTTCGTTCCCAGGCGCTCGTTCCTAGGAACACTACAGGCTTTTACATAGTTCAGTGCTACACGTAACTTGCAAGTCATAATTCGATCCTTGATGCTTAGAGATTTGTTGTTGAAAGCATCAGTTGCTCGTTTACAAGATTCACCGAATTGTATTTTAGCATCAATGCATGAACCGACTATCAGACGAAATTGTTAGTTGTTGAACAGATTGAGAACGTGATAAGGTTGCATTTAAAATACCAGATGTAGATTGATCTCCACCTCTTGTTGCAGGACCTTCGCTCGCTTTCTGATCTTCATTCGAGTTACTGATAGATAGATCTAAACTATTTAGACCCTGTATAACAAAGCTGTAACTGCTCTTAAGATCTTTTTCTGACTGACCGTCGAGCTTCGATTTAATGTCGGTCAAATCTTGAACGATTATTGTACGTAATTTTTCATCCGTCAAATCACCGTCTTTGAGTTTTTCTGCCGCACTATCGCGAGCTTTGCTGAACAAGAAGCCTACGATTGAGCTTAAAATGGCTGTAACAAAAGATGGCATGACTTTTTTCTGCAAACATGGACAGATTATAGGTCAAGGTATCACTGCCTGCGAATTGAGTAAACACAAACACACCTATTTCACACAATTTCACACTTATTGAGAAATAATTAAAAAAATTTTGTCAATTATGTCAGTGCACCCATGGGTCCAGTAGATGACAGTGGAGACATTCATATTAATACAATGCCTAAATTTCCAAATTCTAATTTTCAGGATATATCCAGTAGTTTAAGCTCTATTTTTGACACGTGAAATACAATTATCGTGATATGGGTGCACATTCCACTAGTATTTTGGAAAAAGTTTCAGAACCGATTTCATACACTCGAAACCGGACTCGTGTGAACTTTTAAACTCTGGAACAACATTTCACTCAGTGTACCGTGTGCTAGACGATGCAAACCAATATTTGCGGGCAGACGGGTGAGAATCGGGCAGATGCGAGTTCAGAAATGAAATTTGACCTGTCTGCCCGCTATACTTATTTTCAAAAATATTTCTTACACAAGCTGTGTTTACCAGGTTAACAGTTAAAACATTTGTTTTACCTAAGAAATATGTCGTGCAATGTTCCCGGGCTAGCGAGTATCAATGCCCTATCATTTACTCGTAATTGTCGTGAGCAAGTCATTGTCACCGATCTACCTCCTCCACAGGCCCTTTTCGAGCAAATATGGTGGGCGGTGATAATAGTCCGGATGTAGCTAAATTTGTCTTTATTTCTGTTTCTGTATTCAAATCGGTCATTGTTGACGTAGAAATATTCTTTCATGTCAGCCAACCAGGCATTACGCGTGCAGTTCGTATAAGGTGTTGTGCGAAGCAAGTCAGTTTCAATTTGCCGCGATAAAAGTTCATGCACAGTTTTCCATGCAGCAGACAATTTAGCGAAATATAAGAGAAAACATACTCCGAAATTAAACATCTTGTAAATTCAAGATATGAGTTGTTAAAAAACAAGACACAATATTCAAGGTGATATTTCGACTCTATTTCAAAGTCATTGTCAAACCAGGTTTGACAATGACTTTGTCTTTGAAATAGAGTCGAATTATCATGCACCTTGAATATTGTGTCTTGTTTTTTAACAACTCATATCTTGAGTTTACAAGATGTTTAATTTCGGAGTATGTTTTCTCTTATATTTCCATGCAGTTACCCACTTATAAAATCACGGACGTGTAACTTTACAAGATTTTAAAAATAATAATTTATTTACAACTGATAACATTTTAGACATATAACTGCAACTACGAAAATTGAAATCTAAAGCTAAAATTTTGATAGTTCTTGGCTAGATTCACTATTAATTTTAAATAGCCGAAAAGATGTTTATTTAAAACCGTTCGTTTAAATCGTTCTATCTTTATATTTGGCGATATGAATATTTACGGACGATTTTAAAGACGGAATATGGAATATAATAAAGACGAAACGTTACAAATAAAAATATTTGCTTACTTTTTGCTTTGGTGGCCAGTGACGGATCTAAGGGTAGTCACTAGTCAGAACAAATTACACAGCTAAATTTTAAATTCAAAACACCTTAATAACAACGCTATTGGTTATGGATTTTTAAACCAAAGAATATTTTTAAATAAAATCTACCAATACGTTTGCGTTTTTAAGCTGTAGTAATTTATCCTGACTACCCCTAGATCCGCCACAGCGTCACTGTTGATGGCCATCTTAAAAGTTGTATGTCGGTCCTGCATATTTATCATATAAGAAAACAAACTATATGCTCGATGATAATAATGCTTCATACACTTAAATGAGGGTAACAGTATCATCCCACATGACAGCGAAAGGTCCACTGGGGTGGCCGGTGATTCTCCTCAATAACACGTCTCCCATTGTTGAATACACAGTGTGCTCCAGTTTGCCTGTCTCAGAGTAACACAACAGGGCTTCAAACTCGTTCTTGACATAGTTAGTCCACACAATTATTTTACGAATGCCATGATGATATGCCAGATGAATGACCTCGTGATCTTCTGGCAAGTTTATTGTGGTTTTCAAATTACCTTCGGTTGAATATATACGAACAGCTCTGCGTTCACGTGATGATATCATGATGTCATTTGCATTGGAAATACTCAAACTACATGGTGTATTGTCATCTCGTTTAAACTGGCATTTCAACTGCCCCGTACTGTCGAAAACAGACACATTTCTGTCGCCAAATTTCGTCATGACTATGTTTTTATCTTTGTCAACAGCAACGTTCACTTCTATTGTTTCATCTTCATCAAAAGTGCCCAAAACGCTTTTATATTTCAAGTCGTGGTCACTTTTGAAGACGTACAAAACTAACAGACGATTTTTCAACTTTATCGCACTTGAAACGACGTCATATTTTGAACGTGACATAAGAATGTACACATTGTCTTCGCTGTCAACAGCAATTTCCTTCCCCTTGGAATTACTTTTTGTTGTTTCTGCTAGCGTAACTTCCTCACTTTCACCTGTGCTGGGGTTGAAAATTGTAAATTTGGTGTCATACAATGAAATAATCTCACAACGACTGTTGACGGCAAAGTAAGCTGATCCTACTTCCGTAAGACGGTTCAGTTGCTGCTGTACAGCATTTCCATCATGAGACGTCAAAATATCCAACACGTTTAGAATTGGATTGAATTGTCGATCTGCGAGGTCAATTCCCGGCCATGTAAATGCGTTGGAATATTTGCTTCCATACTTCATTGCGAAGTCATATAAGGCATAATTGGTAAACAAAACAGACATTATGTTGTCCAATCGTTCTGCTCTCATAAACATTGATTTCAGTCCACCTTTGAGAAAAACTGAGAACATTTCTCGGACCGCTGGTAAATCATGTAGCTCTTTAAGGGACAACAGACAGGAGGCAATTGCAGCCAACGGGTCTTCAAGACCAATTTCAAGAATTCTAGCTGCTACGCGTAACTTGCAAGCCATAATTCGATCCTTGATGCTTAGAGATTTGTTGTTGAAAGCATCAGTTGCACGTTCTCGAGATGCTTTGAAACAATCTTTAGCAGAAACGAACCGTTCCCTCGACGAGATCTTCAATCTTTCAATGGCTTCAGGAAGTGATAAGGCAGCCCTCAAAATACTAGATGCAGTAACCTTTCCAACTCTCGTTGCTTCGTCTACAACACCTTGGCTCGATTCCTGATCTTCATTCGACTTATCGAGAGCCAGACTTAACAATATTACGCCATCTTTTAAGAAACTGTAACTGCTGTCGAGGTCTTTCAGGGACAGACAATCGAGCTTCGATTTAATGTCGGTCAAATCTTTAACAATTATTTCACGTAATTGTTCATCCGCTAAACCGCCGTCTTTGAGTTTTTCTGCTGCACAATCTCGGGCAAAACCACACAGAAACCCGACGGTTGACTTTAAGATAGCCGTAATTATAGAATGCATGGCTTCCTAGCTTGGAGGAACATACGGCAAGTTTGAAATGGAAACTCTGTGGATGAAACTGTACGAACAGATTCGATGTTTTTGGTGATTTGTGATCCGGATATATTGTAAGATTGCGTTTTCTTCTTGTTTGGGATTTTCCCAGAGGGATTTTCCCAGAAAATACGTGATCTGTCCAATAATACACAATGCTGATATGCATGGAAACGGTGCAAGGGGTCGGGAAGTTTTAATATATTTTGTCATATGATTCACAATGAATCCCAACTGTTGGGATGTCTTTTCCTTTCTAAAGCGTATATTGCTAAAACGGAACGTATTTCTTTGTATTTTTTAAAGTTGAGCAATCAAGTTGAACCCGCGCGCGTGACTCTGAAACAAAGCAATGGGTTAAAGCAGGTTCCTGTAAAAAACAAACAGATATTGTTCCTGTGAATTTGAAATAAAATTGCAGGAACTTCGAATCCTGAACACTGAGTCACTAGAAATATTCCAGTCAGTGTCTGGTAGTTAATATTACTGCATGTCAGTAAAACTCTGAACTTTTGCCACCAATGCATTCTTCGTATTAATTGTTAGGGCTGTAGCAAGTTGGATGAATGCGCATGCATATCAGGTAAAAACACAAGAGTCTTTATCACCTGAAGTGGTATTATTTGAAGTGTTATTGTGTCGGATGAGGGCCCTTATAAAGTCGAAGGTTTGCATTAAAAATCGCTTTCGAAGTTTTAGTTCATATCCTGAATTTCACGATGATCTAATCTGCGCAATATAGAGTCTGTGCATTGCTTGTACCAATATGATGATCTATTTACTGAATATATAGCAATTAACTATGTAGCTATCATAAACGAAACTAGAAATAACAAATCGTTCCTGTGATGAGCTAACTAATTAATGGCTCCGGAAGTACATAAATTTTGGTTTCGTTATTTTGATAGGTTTTATAATAAGAATTCTTGTTTAACTTGTCTTTGCAAAACGACATACCAGGCTTCAAATAATTCATGATATCATATTCAAACTACATCCTTACAACAAACACAGAGTAAACAAAATCTGTAGACTATCTGTTTATTAATCTTCGAAGTTTATAGATTATTATAATAATTTCTTTACGTCACTAATCCTGTTTCTCTTTTATTATATTACTATCTTGCATTTTATTTTGTACAAAGTGCTTTTGCAAAAGAACGCTATCTGAATGATTGAATATAATATGGATGATACCAAATGAAATTTTATTGCTAAACTAAAACAAAAAACTAAACAAAGGTAATACTGTCGGCCATTTCCCAGCAAAAGATCCCCTTGGATATAGCTTATCATACTTATAGCGGTGCTAAGGTGACTTCGCACAAAATGCTCCAGTTTGCCTGCTCCTGAGTGACAAAACAGGGGAGTTAACGTTTGGACATGCTACGATGCTATGCCATCTGAAAAATTTTGTGATCTGCCGGAATCCAAATTTCAAACTCTAGCTATATAAAAATCCTTTAAGATAAGGATGAATATTGCCAAGGACGTCACTACTGAGAATTCTTATAGCATGCTGTTAATATAAGCTAGGTTGACTAACAAGGTTATTCGTTTTCTTGTAACCTAAGAAGAATATCGCGCAGAGTTACCGCTACCGCAGCTCCATATGCGCGCAGTTCGCATAAACCTTTGTGCGGGCCACAGTTTTCTACCGAGGTTTTTTTGCTACGTTTATTCAAGATTAATTAAATTAAATGCTGATATTTTTCAACCAATTAGCTGCGGTGAAGTTTGTGTACAGTTTCCATCCAGTTATCTAATTACAAAAACCCATGCGTTACCTCATTACAACAATGAAAAGTTTCATTTACCAAAAATGTTAAAATACAAAAAGTATTGAAGTTACAAAATACTTTTGCCATTCACAATAGGATGGGATGCGATGTGATGCATTTTCAGAGCATTCTTTTGGTAGAACGCCTTGTTACAATGCTCGCAAACAAACGGCTTCTTCGGCGCATGCGTGCGGAGATGGGTATTCAAGGTCGACCTCAGCGTGAAACCCTTGCTGCAAATTTGGCACTTAAAGGGGCGCTGCCCGGTATGTCCGTAGATGTGAGACTGAAGATTTCCTTTCTGATTAAAACCTTTCCCGCAATACGTGCAGTGGTACATGTGTGTATCAGAATGCGTGCGCATGTGGTAGTTGAGGTGGGTCAGCTGCTTAAATCCGCGCCCGCATTTCTTGCACTTATGCGGCTTCTCGCCGGTGTGGGTGTAGTGATGGATGCGTTTGTCGATTTTCTGGTGGAACCCTTTGCCGCAAAAGTCGCATTTGTACGGTCTGTAGTCGGAATGCGTTTTCATGTGCGCGCGCAGATTTGACGCACGGTTGAATGTTTTCTTGCATTGCTGGCACGTGTGGAGCTTCTCTGGACACTTGCTGGAAGATCGGGTCTTGTCGTCGACAGTGCCGGATGAGGATGAGGATCCCGCGCTTTTCTCAGAAAGGGATGATGATTCGTTCTTTTCCGGGGAGTTTTCATTCTGGCCTTGTTTTTGCTTACGGATTTTGCTTGCCGTTGCTTGGGTCGGTGCCTGAGTGTGTTTATCAAAAGAAGCGTGCAATTCCGGTTGAAATTTGTGTGCAGCAGCTGGTATAGTTTCAGCGTTGCAACTTTCTCGGTGATGTGTTCGAGATGGTTCGTCGAATGCAAGGAGCTCGTTGAATGATGAAGAAAACTTTGGTGCTTCGCTGTGAATATAGAAAAGAATGTAATTCATTTCGATAACGTGTATGGAAAAGCTGATCAGCGAGAAGGAGCTCATTATTGAAATCGTTCCTGACAGCGTGTTTAAACAAAAAAAATACATTTTTTACACTCGTTGAGCTTTTTTATAGATTGAACAAAGAAAGGTTTAGTGCTAACCTGACTTTCTGACTTTTTCTTTCCAATGACTTGTCTTCAGAATGCACTGGTTCACCTACGATAAACGTTTTAGTATAATGATATAATAATAAAATGCAGTAATGCATTTTCCCTAGCGTCACCCTGATCGTAAAATATACTAATAGAGACTGAATAAGTCAAATTCAGTTCAGTACAATACTTTGTGTACTCGCCAACAGTATGTAATGAAAAAATATTTATCGAATAGTTTCGCAATTTCTTCAGATAATGTTAAAACATGAGCGAGCTTGTATTGTTCTTGCCTTCCCTATACCCTGACCCACAAACTTTGTGTCTATCTCATATTCTCCTTTTTGTTGGAGCAAACCAATCACAAAGTCCGTTCAGATATAAACTACAGCCAGTAATATAACTTACCATGCGCTTCCCATGGCCATCTCAACTGTAAGTCATTCACAGGAGATGTATTGACGGGAGAGTACCACGCGTGATTGTTGCTTGGCAACCAGCCATGTTGTTCCCATCCCATATAATACGGCATGCGGTACTGCGGTGTGGGTATCACTATCTCGAAGGCTGACCCGACGTGATGTTGTGGCGTGACTGCGTGGAATGCTGATTCGTTGCCAAGATGCGATTTCACACCAATTGATGAACTTGATTGGCTGTGGCTACGTAAAGACCTCGCTATGTCTGGATGAAAAATTTCAGGTGGCAAATTGTACGATATGTCTGAAGATGGCTGGGAGTTTGTCCTGTTCTGTTTGTCTACAAAAAAATATGAGAAATATTTCGAGGATACAATTAAAGGCTATTCGCACATGCAGCCATTAAAATCGGACGCTTATGTATTGTGGAAGTCAGTGATCAAATTGGTGAACTGGTGGAGTTTTCACGGCGTACTCACCTATCAAATTATCCATGGACGGCTTTAATTTTACAAGAAATGACCTTGGCATCTTAACGTTGGGCTATATTTTAGAGAAAAGTGTTTTTTGTGTCATTGGACTGTTGAAGCACAATCATTTCTACCTAGCTGGTTCTCGTATCAGATAGTTTAGTTGAGCATTACTGACATGTACGCATGCATATTCTGGTGTCAATGATCTCCTGCATGCAGGAAAACTTTTCCAACAAACTGAGTATTCTAGGAATGAACATCACAGAATATGGATTAATTTCAGTTTAGTGTATATCTTATATATAGACTGGTTCCCGCAAGTCCAAAATTGATTCTGTCATCCATTACGACAGACAAAACATGTGTTATTTTGTGTTTTGCTATATCAACGGCTGCTTACAATATCTCTCTAGCAATGTCGCCATAAGAGGGCAATGATCCCCAAGAATCATCGATATCCATTGAATGCTTTTCAGACTGGTGAATTGGAAGAGTTCTATATCAGCATGCGATTTTATGTAAAGCAATCACTCTTCCTTGAATGCATTCCCCACTGACTAGCTATATACTCTCATATTCTTCAAGTCGGATGTAAACGAAGGCTGATTAATCGCTATCCATGCACATGCAGTCTGCCTGAAAATGATCTTAACGTGATTAAGCCTAAGCGTACTCTTAGAGTAGAGCCGGTATATCTTAGCATCTTTCTTATCGATAACTGTACTAGAAATACATGCATGCAGCAACCCCTCGCCTGAAGGAATAAACATATTTCCATATTCTAAATTCTGTAATACTCGTTTCTGTTGAATGTTCGAAGTTGTAAAAGTAAAATCCTATATCAAATACAATTATAGAGTCGACTTTCGAGCTATCAAATTCAACTACACTGTAAACATAATTCATTAATTGTGCTGCAAATAGTTTTAAATATTGTACAAAAATTTTTAGCGAAATTTCAATTTCTTTAACAGATTCAGCTTTAAAAATAAATGCTTTCCTAATCAAAATAATTTTAACGAAATTGACGAATAAATTCAGGTGTCGATACGTTTGTTGAGTCCACAAATAAACTTACAAAATACTTGTAGGTTTGCAATGCATACTTTAAAATACAAAACCTAACCATTTACCTGTTCAAAAACACTTAAAAAATGCTTCAAAATCGAAGATTTTTTACCATCCGTTCGAATCAAAGTTTTTCTATCCGAAGGCATCTTTCACATTATATTTTAATCAATTTTACGGCTGAATTTTTCGTATATTTTCAAAACCATCCAAATAAAAAATATTTTTAAAAAAGTTGTATTTCAAAATGTCACGTCATAAACTCACGCATGCGCATAACTTACAAAAACGCCCAACGTCCACGACATAATGGCGGACAACTTTCATTTCGCATTTGCATTCCCGGGCGTAATTAAAATCCCCGGGCGGAATTAGTACCCTCGCACGGTGCTCCGCACCGGCTCGGGGATTATACGGCTCATATAATATAGAGCACTTTATCAATATTTGAAAAACGTCAAGTATAGTGGCCGTGCATGGATGTCGCTATATCCGGCTTTCCCTGACCCAGAACCGACCATTTGCGATCGACCATTTACAGTTCATGTATGCATGTATAGGATATATGGAGATGAACCAATATAGTCGTTTTAAGTGAAATGGAAAAATCTCGAACAAAAATTGACAATTGGCCATCTGCTGGGAGAAATCCAGCGCGGAATAAAAACACATTCAATCTACAACGAATTATCGTGACCAAAATGGATTTCCCATGCAATACATGTTCGATCAAACTCAGTAATGCAGTATTTCAGCTCGTGTATAATGGAAGGAACGTTAGTGAGGATGCATGCATATAATATACACTTAATGTATGCTCCTGAGGGAAATAATGAGTTTTGTTTTCTCAAGAGTCTGAATGTTTCCCGAGACGAAGTCGAGGGAAACATTCAGACTCGAGGGAAAACAAAACTCACTATTTCCCGAGGTATAGCGAACATTAAGTGTTTTGTTATATATAGGAACAAAAACATACATGTTACACGACAATTTCTGACAATATGCGGGCAACAATTTTTCACTTGTTTCCCAGGCGGTAAACATTGCATTTATTTAAAGTCATGTGACTACGAATGAACCAATCACATTCAAAATACACAGCACCTATATAACAATATACACTTAATATATGCTCTCGAGTGAAATAGTGAGTTTTGTTTTCCCAGGTAAACATTGCCGGAGACTCGAGGCAAATTAAAACTCACTATTTCGCGAGGTAGTGTACATTAAGTGCTTTGTTATATAGGAACTGACAAAAACATACATGTTTCACAACAATTTTATCTAAAAAAAACCCACTATACTTTGTTATGACAATATGCGGGCAAGAATTTTTCTCTTGTCTCCCTGTTAGGAAACATTGCATTTATTTAAAGTCAGGTGACTACGAATGAACCAATCAAATTTAAAATACACAGCACCTATATAACATTTATAATAATACAGCGAAGTGAGTTTAGTCTTCTTTATAATACAATCCATTAACACCAAGGACGTTTTTTACGCTAATGATTGCCAATTTCATATATGCCGCTTTTAAGAATCATGACAGATGCTGAATAAGTTCGATCATACACAAGCAGTCATGTGTGATCAAGCAAAAAGTATTAGTTAATGAAATTATGTATGTGTACAAAAGGTTGCTATATCGCCTCCCCTGACTTCGTGAAAAAACTCTATATCAGTAAATAGTTATTAATCTTGATAGTCAATATTAAAGTGCCCTTGGATTATATGTATTGAGTAAAGTCTAATATAATTGTGCATGCTTCGTCTTTCTGAATGGTGAGATCAACATATGCAGCCCTTGGCTTATCAGTATTTGATTACGAAGGTCTTATATATGCATGACCAAGTGCTCCTTATCAAAATATCTGGTCAATCTTAACGTAAATGATTTAAAAACGATACATTCAAAATATAAATTCACTAAAAACTTGTTTCAATATGTACTTACTTTTTCAAAAGATGTAAAATCCTTCTTGCTTCTTTCAGTTAACCGTCAAAAGCGCTTTCAATATTTTCTAAATTTCTTTTAATAAACAAAGAGTCGATCGGTTTGCATCAAGCTTGCAGGAAATATACAAAAGTATATAGTTAGCGTTGCAGTATAGCCGTTAGCAGGAAACCTCGTCAAATCGTGACTGTCCAAAGCTCAAAGCGCTTCTTAAAGTCGTGGCTGACATAAAATGAGTGTATAATATATATCTATATATACCTCGGGTTGCCAAGCTGTGCCCATATGTTTGAGAGTGCCTAAATTTTTTATGAGTGCTTCGTAATTGACTTGTTAAAGAATTGAATAACTCACGTCTCTCTATACATTGTATTGCTTCCTTGTTCATATAAAACACCGAATTGCGTGTATTATCCTGAAGAAAAACTTTTCAAGAATGCTTAAGTACTTTGGAATGACATTTAGAGTGCTATTTTGGGGAGATTGTTTTGTATTTTGAGACACTCCGAAGACTTGAAGGTCTGCATGCTGTCGCAAGTTTTATTAATTTTGTCTCAACTTTTAGCCATCTGTTTGCAAAATTTCAAAGCGTTTTCAACTTCTTTGCATGAGACAAAACAAACGCGCGGCGTATTTCAGAAGCGTGAAAAAACAGAGGGCAATAATTCGGCTCGAATTTTGAATGCTTTATATGATGGCAAAATGCGTATGCATGATAAAGATCTTACCCTAAACTAAATGTCATAACTTTTGGCGGAGGTCTTCCCTACAATATCTTGACGACGTATACACAAGGTATACAATATCTTGACGGCATATACACAAACTGGCTCGTTTACGGTTTTGCGCGAAAGTTTAATATTGTAGCCGAAAAACTTCAGTTCGGATTAAATGATTTCAGCAATTAATGCATTGAAGCATATCGATCGCGCTTTAGTATATAAGATCATTTCTTGGATTGATCACAAAACCTCCTCGTGAGATTGATGCAATATAGGCAGCCAGCGAAAGGTTACGAGGTGTCCTTTTTTTTGCATCTTTACTTATTCGTTCAAAGTCATTTAAGTCAATCAAAACGCAAGATTATACGAAGCCATTTTGGGCGCGGGAAAATAAAGGAAGGTTAAATCACATATATACCACTAATGTGTTCATGCATGCATGTGACTCTGATGTATTATAGCAATTAATATGCACTATATGAGTTGCCCATTTCGCGCCTATAGCCATAGCTTAGAGTTTCGCTGCGACTTTGCTGTTTTAAATTTTCATAGATTTTCCTGCATCAATATTATTTTCTTTTAGACTTTAAACGTTCGCTTTGAACGAAGTGGTTGGCTATATATAGGTATATATGCCTATGTCCTGATATAAAACAAAGTATTAAAAGAACGTCTCTTCTCATAACTCCTGGGATATTTCTATTTCTATTTTTTAAACGTTTTATTCAATAACACAACAAAATTATTCTTCTTTCAGTCATTCAGGGACATAAATTATTCAGCTCGTTCAAGTATATTTTGTTTATGCATGCTCGGGGTTTATTGACATTATGTTTAATGTTCTTTTAACAACTTAATTTCGTCCCTAGCAGGGAGCTTTGTCTAAAACTAATTGGTCATTGGCTAAATATTTCTGTTTACATGCGAGACGAGATCGTGTGTTATGCGTGTGCATGCATAAAATATGTCCTTTGATGTATGGCGATATACATAGAGTTAATTGTACTCGAGACAGTTTTTCACCGAATCGTCTTCGTCACGTCGCCATGTGCGATGAAAACTTATTCCTACTGCTAAATTTCACGTTTATTCAGAGTATCATATGCTGTATATATACATGTATAAAGCTGACATTCTTTTATGAACTCTCTCAAATCCCTTGAGGGGTTGTTGCATGGGTTGTTTACACTTGCTATTTTTGCTTGCGATTTCAGTATGTGCGATATTTTTTTTATTTATGTGAACAAGCAAAAAGTTATGAATGTCTTGATGCACGTGGATGAACTCCTATATTTTAACATCAGTAACTTGTTCACTCGTTCACATCTATCAAAAGAAGAAAATCACACATAAATAAAATCGCGGCAAAATTTGCAAGTGTAAACTGGCCTGAACATAATTTGATTGCACGATGAATTATACAATGTCAATGTACCTGCAAATTGCCTTTCATAGCTTTCATGAGTAAAACAGCAAAAGCCATACCCAGGGTACAAAACAGTAATCCATGAGAAGATAAAATTTCTATATATAGCTTTGATCCTGAGATATATATTATATAAATGCAACATTTTTTAGAAGGGAATAAAAACATAAATTTAAGTAACCAATGTGAATTCAGTAACGGGAAAGACTTGTCGAATCTGCTGTTAGCCATTGCTCGCACATGCAAACGCAAAGTTTTAAACGGCCAAATTTCATTCAGTCACAAACTTTTGTGACAAATATATCTTTGCCGAGGCGTGGAGTGGGAGTTAGCTACAAACTAGATTAACGGAGAAATATTGGATGCAAATTCCACACATCAAACAAGATTTGCCAAAGAAATTTGCTGTGCTTAAAATTGCAAGTGTAAACGAGTCTTGTAGCGAACGATGGCATGCATGAGTGATATTATAGTTGGAACGGCATAGTTTCCATGGCCTGATGTAAAAATTAATTGTGTTTAATGTATTTTTGGAGTTTTTTGCAGGTGACCTATATTCAAAACCACTTTTATTCCATGTGCTCGGCAAATCTCTATCTATCAACAGCTCTTCTGTGTTTCTATAGGTTTCCTTTGTCCTTTAGAAACAACTAACTGAGTAAAAACCTATAGCAGAACGCTAGCTGTTGGCATAAACGTTAAACAGCTATACATGCTCGCAAAGTATGATGATATATAGGGATGAAATGCTTTTATAGGGAATGTTCATGTCTCAGAAATGCCAAATAATATATAATCCTCAGATGACGAAATCTTAACAACTGTGTTATGAGCCTAGTTGAGTCGCATATATAAGCTGATACTGCCAGCAGGGCGAAGCCAAGTTGGCTATCAGCCATATATGACGAGAGGAAATGATATAATAGCTTATAATATATCCAGGGGCCAGTTGTTCGATAGCCTGCTCACAGACTGAATTATAGGGGGGCGGAAATTAAAGGGGGAAAATTCATGAATTAATTTCAGACTAGTTGTTCGAAAGCGCTTAGCTTAAATGGCGGATAAGTTCAAAATGAAACAAAATTATTTATTTTTCAGAACGACTACTCAGCTAAAATGTTTTGATGTTAATAGTGTAATTTTCAGTGGAGGTACATATTTGTTGCATAGGGAACAGGTTCAGTGCGTCATAAGATCCATAAGAGTCGTGATTTTTGCTTATATCCATGCACACAGTTTCAAAGCTAAACGCCTTTATAAAACAACCGGCTCCTGGGGGGCGAAGGCTGCATGGATATCGCTATCGGTTTAGATTTTTTTATAAAAACACTAGGATAGTGCAAAACTGCTTGACTAAGTTATAACGTCCAAGAACGTTACACTAATAAAATGTGCAAACATGTATTAAATACTCATCCCATATTTTCACTGTATTAATGGCTGTTTTCACTAAATACCGTCATGAACATACAGTCATCCCATGTCATGCAGTCTATATAGCTCAGCCAATCGATCATATTTTGCGACAGCTAACAGCTTATATACGCCGAGTAGCTATATATTACAAACGGGTTTAAAGCTCGAGGTTGAATGTTCACAAACCACAACAGCGGATTACATTTTCTGAATTAGGTGCATTTCAAAAAAATCAAGCAAGTGGTCGTTTGAGCTACGAATTTTCTATCCCAATGTCTAGTTGAAAGCCACGTGATACTGAGAAGCTTTTTGTACATAGATGTTCGGTTCGTTATGGCTATATAAAGAGAAATATTTGGAATAAATTATGATGAATAATGCATGCAGGTCCGTCTTTGACTCTTTGTTGCTGTGCACGTTGCATCGGCCATGCATTTGAAACAACGGGTCAACAGGTCGCGTCGTACAGCCAGATGTGTGTTTATGTTCACTTGCCTATCAATAGAAGCAGACTGACCAATAGGATTGAGATGTTAAACCGTCTAGGACGACGTCATTGTCTGGGAACTAATGTTGTTAGCTATCGCCTATATTATATATAGCTTTTACTGCATGATATATAGCTGGCAATATATACCTTTCTTATGATCCTATAAACTGAAGTATAATTAACTAACGTATTAGATCCGGCTGTGTAGAATTCTGTATTCATGTCGCTTATATTTTGCACTTATAGAATCAGGCTTGGGACATGTAGGCAACAATGGCGTAGCCAGCCCGACAATTTAGTCATGCTATGCTAACATTTTGGTGTTCATTGACTGTGAAACAATCAATTTCTAAAGAAATGAATAATGATAATAATACGTAAAATTTGCATATCGTCAGGCTGGCTTCGCCACTGGTAGGCAAACAACTTCTGCAATAACCCCCACCTCGCCCCCTAAATAATGTCGCTAAGGTTTTTCGTTTCAGTCAAGACAGAGGAAAATTTGATCATACGAGGGAACATGTTCAAAATTTGAGTTCTTTTATATGCACAGCTGACTCTCCTACAAAACACTGGATAGGCCCACAGCGAACTCAGGTGAAAGCATCTAGCAGTTTTGTTCAGTTTATTGTATGGAGTGCTCATGCAACTACATTGTCATTGAGAAGTTAAAACCTTTATTTTGACACTTGGGCTGTGTTACACGTTACTTTTGGGAGATGCAAATTAGTGGGTGTTGAAAAAACTTGGTTACTGGATTGCTTATAATTTCCGTTAATGAGCACAAAAGTTTCATAGTTGCCAAATTTACATCTCTTGAAAGTGGAATTAGATGGCAAGTCATTTACGAGAAAAATTGCATCGTGTATAATACGGCCTTTAAAGAGCAACAACTGTATTGTGTAACACTTGTCAAGTCTTTATGTCTCAGACAAACACATATGGCAACAACACAACACAAGAACTTTTGAAGTACACGAAGATCACGCAGGTCAATCATTTAATTACTGCATCAATTGCATAGAAACTAGATACGAATTCTGTGATGATTTCTTCAAATGAATAGTTGACCAGAATCCAGGAATGAGTGAGTGATGCAAACTCGCTTCCCCGCGAGCCACCTTTGAAGTGAAGGGATCATAGTAAATCCAAATTCACAGTTAACATGTTCTGTCTTCGCTAACCAAATGGTACTATTGCAACGAACACGACTGGAACTCTACCTTATCAAGCGCGAAGCAGAGGTTTAGGTCTTGGGATTTGGGAAACTTCGTCACGGTCTGCGGTGACGATTTTTCCCAATTCTCCGACTCCGTTACACAAGGAAGCCTTTCAGAGCCTTTCACGCAGTTATATACTTATTACGATGGCCGGCACACTTGATACGATCTTGAAATTTGGAGCCCCGTTTACATTACACTCAATTTATTGGCACGGCACGGCTTTATTTGGCTAAAATAGTGCTTGAAAAACATTTTTTTCCTCACGCAGCGATCGCAAAACTGTTAATATTTTTGTTTGACTACAGATTACTAAGAAACACTATACCAGCATACATGCATGCATGTGCCCGCTTTTAGAAAATTGAAAATGTTTTCCTCAATTTTTTATAGTAACCTGTTCAATTCAAATTTTGTTAAACTCGTGAATAATGTAGTTTTGAATGAATAGTGTTAAATAAAAACAAAGCAAAATACTGATCGCCACCAGAAATTGGCATGCATGCTTATCTTTTGTCGAACTAGAATTCTTGAATAAAAATATATATGAAAGATAAGGCTGTCGAGCCGTTTAATGTCTTTAAACTTTCTTTATCTGATAAACTCAGGCAATATACCAACACTTATAATCTATTACTTAATCACCAAGACTACATATGACAACCTTATATTCCATATATTGCCCGAGAAAGGCTGGCTGTATTGAATTGTAGCCCGAAAGCACGTGTGTTATCTGGCTTAAAGAAGACAATACCCCACCATTATTCATTGTTTGGTAGTTACGCCGGATAAAACCCTAGGACAAAGACAGCCATTTTGACACACAGTAAACACATTGAATCCACGACGAGCGGCCAGTTAGTTTCCTTTCAGTCGTTCAAAGTGGATTAACAAGATGATCAACTACAATTTTTGGCTCATGGACGCTTTCACAAGCTGTCTGATATTCGTGAGTGCTTTGACCGGCGACAAGAGACAGAGAGTAATGAAACTAGACTCGAAATTCGACGGCGATTCGGTGTACGATGATTCGGAGGAGTGCAATCAAACATACATGGCACGAAAGCGGGAAGTTCGCTTACATTTGGGACATTACCTCGTCTTAAATTTCACATATTTCGCAATAATGGCGCTTCTGGTCGTCGCTCTACGACATTACCCGATTTATATAGTTTTTATCCAACACATGGCGGTGGTCGCCTTTATTATGATAGCCTTCGACGGATGGTTTCGACCGGCCATTGCTTACCCGCTCGGTGTATTGCTGTCAATTGTGTGGTTTTTTTCGGGAAGTACGGCATATCGTTGGATAATAAACAATGCAATCATAGTCATATTTACACTTATGGTGGGAGATGTTCAGTTCAAAAACTTTGCTGTTTTACAGATCTTTATGTGGTCCGCGTTTGTATACGATGTTTGCGTGTTGGCTGGCAACACGAATTTAGCACCGTCGCTATTTAGTGTCGGTGTGGAAAACTGTGACACTCTGATATGTCATCTGTTTCGCATGCACGATAAGTGGGAACTACCATCGGTCTTCACGATGAAATTCGGCAGCGCTACGCAAGTGTTTCTGGGAACTGGCGATATTCTCCTCGGAGCATTGGTCGTGAACTTCTCCAAGTATTTCTTCAAGTCGACCAAGTACGTTATAGCGATTGTGCTTAGTTTTTCGTTCGCCATCGGTTTGCTAAGCCAAATCGAGTCGATGCCGTTTCCTGCACTAGCAACCATCGTGCCAGTGTGCACTACGGCAATAATCCTGTGTGCTGTCGTGAGTGGACAAACCAGGCAGTTGTTTTCAATGAGCAAAGAGGGCCTGTCTCGGGAGCCAGTGGGATTGCTTCTAGCCTGACAGAACATAAAAAAGATCTTTGCTAATCCTAGGATTGGCCGAGTTCAAATTCTTCATATTTGGCATACAAGTTGCAGAGATTACGGAGTGTTAGGACTCTCATGCAGGTTTATATCAAATCATTTATTTTAGATAGGGTTTGTCAATTAGCCTTTTTCACGATGACGTTTTTGGGGTATTTTCAATTTTCTCCTCTGATCTAAAAAATTACATTCAGCCTAAAATTAACGACAGGTGCCGTTACAAGGTCTTTCGCCAGCGGTTTTGAAAAAAGTACCCCAGAAATGGCGACATATTCGTCATCGTGAGAAAGGGTAATTGTCATGATTTTAGCTAAAACTTTTTATTATAAATTTGCGGCGTTGCACGGGTAGTTCTCAGTCTGATTCAAACAATCGTCTAGCGATTCAAAATTAAATGTAAACATGCCTTCTTCATGCATGCAATAGCCGTACTAGTCGATAAAATATTGACTTAACCTAATAACCTTGGTTTAAAATTGACCTCATTCTCATTTCAAACACGCCAAATTATTTACGTGCGTATAGGCTTTTGTTGATTGTTAATCACTATATTGGCCGGTTATAATATCGGCCAGAGTTAAAGGACCGTCTCGAATTGCGATTTCCATTGCATTGAATTGAGCTCAAGTGTTTGTATATATAGTCACTAACAAAACTGGTGAAATGACAACAAAAAATTTACTTAAATTGTGATCAAAATAATGCATTTTCTGTTGCATGCCGTGCTTTGTATATTTAGTTTTATTCGTTTGCTTTATAAATTATCCGTTAAGCCGTAACAATATGACTTAGTCCGGACTCTATACCGGATTCGCATGGTCACGACATCAAATTTAACCATGTCAAAGCACGTTTTACCCTCAAAGGTATGATAGCATGATTGTCTTACATGGTTTGTCAAATGAAGAAGTTCTGCATGGTGACAGGGATACCGTAAAACGGTTGAAACTGATTTCGTGACCATGTGAATCCGGTATAGTGTAAACGGGTCTTGTAGTCGCCGAAGTTTAGATACGGCGGACGAGAGACAACCAGTGTTTTAAATCTTTATAATACCAATACGGTGAACTCCGGTCTTGCATGCAGCAAACAATACACAACAAAAGTTCAAACCCAAAGGATGCGAGTCGGCAACACGAGTTTAATCTGCAACTATCTTCAGAAGCAATGAGTTTAAAAGGAAGGGGAATTTTGAAAGTTATGGACATGCAGCCAGTGGCGTAGCCAGAACGATAATTGGGGGGGCCAATATTCATATATTCGTGATACGCAGGTTTAATTTCTTTTCAAATCAATTGTCTTTACAGTCTGTTAACATGAATATATGAATATGGGCCCCCCCAATTATCGATGCTGGCTACGCCACTGCATGCAGCAGACGAGTGAAAATGCACTGTCCGTATCTTCAAGAATATTTCAAAAAATCAACTATATATATTTTGGTTTGGAAAAGCAAAAACTACGACGTTGTGTTGCCGAATCACTTTCGGTATTGGGGACCTTTTGCCGTAAGGCAAGTGGTTCAATTTTACTCTTTTCTGATCGTCTTGACAACATGCATATATTAACTTTAATCTCCTGAGCAAAAGAGCACACGCACTCGCAGTGATTTTAGTAGGGGTGACTTTTAAAATTTGAGCACAAATGTCCTATCAATTTTGCTAAAAACATCAATTTAAACCTACAGCTATATGTTCACACGAACGTCGTTTACATGAAAGCATTTTCTAACTATCATTTTTCGCAGCAATGCAAAATGAGTGCAAACCGATAGATTCGTTACGACGTTAGGATAAGATGGCAATAATGTAATGAAGTTCAAAATTATTTTTCTTAAATTTTGAGCTGTTTTATCTTATGGTTACACTCTTCACATATCAAACTCTCGCTATACAAATAGTCTATATCGCGTTACAAGCGATGATACCCCCAGCAGTGCGCAATACAAACTCGTCCAAAATAAGCGCTTTTTCTGTTCGTGTGCCTTAGAAACTGAAGCTATCTTTCACTTACACGCGGATTATTAAATTTAGACCTATGCCACACATTATTTATTGTTTTTGGTAAAGATTCGTCGTATCCCGGAGTCGGACTTTGGGGGTTGAATGTTGCGGGCTATATAAGAAAATTGGTCAAAAATCGCCGTTTAGAGCGGAAGTTGCGGGAAAACTCCTCGTACTGCTTCCACTATACAATATTTCTTTTCCTTACATTCGGAATTGAAATCTACATGTTTTGGCGCGTATTTTGATATGAATTTCGTACATATTCAACGTGAATTAGCTTCGGACCGATGGCCATGAACTGTAGGTATTTTGCGACATTGGTCGGCATTTACATATGTTGTTCACACATTGATTAATGCAGTCTCTGCTGTTGGTGATGTGAACACAATCGGAATGGAGGCCCGCCGTTTACTTACGAGATAAGCAGGCAAGGGAATTTTATATTTTCACCTTGTATGCTTTAATATAGTACTGTATAATACCACAGTTGTGTATATTTTGACAAATTTTAAGCCTGACAAATGCTGTCTAAATATACACTGTAAATAGCGTTGGCAATAGCCTACGCTGCTACAGTGATTTTCTTATTGATATATTGTGTATATATATATAATATGCTGGAATAAGGGACATTAATATCGTTCACATCGGCTATACCTGCGCGTGTAAGAGCGAATTTTAATCAAAAGGTTTTATTGTTGTTTATATTATCGACTCTATCGTCTATGTTGAAGCGGCGGCCAAAACACGAGGCTTTTCATGCTGAAGAAACGGGAAATATATTATCTTTCCCATAGCCTATAGGGTCGCCATTCATCAAAACGCGAATCGTATCCTTTAAAATGCGTACGAACACGTTTATTTTTTTGATCAACCTCTTTAATCTCAACCTCGTAGAGGTTATTGTCTTTCGCCTCCCGTTTAAATGATTTTTTCCACATCGAACCGCAAATTCGTGGACAAAACGTTGAGGTTTGCATAATGTGCGCTTTGGTCTAGACACCATATTGTTTTACAAGGTGCGCATTTTGTGACAGAAAAAAACTGGACACTAGTTTGAGCAAATGTTCATCTCAATAGGGAAAGAGTTTGATATGAACTTTACAAATTAGAAAAATTTAACACGCATTGTAAAAGGACTCATGCATGTCGACCGATTTTACCATTGATGCATGCCGACTATATCGGCTCGTGTCTTAGCACATGTAAATACTTTATTGTACGGTATTAGTAATTTTAATATAATACTCAGGAGGCTAACACTTGTTACGTTCGTAAAATTTTAATATATAATGCATACCTATTTATGTATATATACTAATATATGTATATTGTTTTATTTGGAGAAAAGATTAAATGTTTATTAAAATCCCAAGTATCGTGTCTTTTTTTCCAATTTAGAATATAAGAGTACTCTTTGATTTTGTGTGACATGCATATACTGTTAGGTCACCAGTTCTGGAGTCAACAATTTTTCGTCTCACTGCTGTACGTGAGGAAGTACAGGGGACAGACCGACAGACGAGGTCTTTAGGTACACTCAAACTGTACATGAGGACGTACAGAGGACAGACGAGTTCTTTAGGTCCACACAAACTGTACGTGAGGCCGTGCAGGGGACAGACGAGGTCTTTAGGTCCACACAAACTGGACGCGACTCTGGCGCTAACGCTACGCGAATTTTGCAATTTCAGAAGCAAATCAATTCAATTCTGAAAGAACATTTTGAGAGATATGGGCACCAGACCAGTCAACATGTTTTATCATTCAGTAATTACCAAGAATATCACAACATTGTCAAAGTTAGCAGCTTTTGAAAGCTGAAAAATTCGTAAAAATCGCGTCGCTTTGGCGGATCGAGCCGGTGTATGCCGCCATGTCGGCCTCTTTCACTGAGCTATAATAGCCTCTTTGCGCTAACGATTTTGAAACTGAAAAAATACCAAAAAATGGCGGCAAACTCGTCATGACCACTGGTCATGACGTCATCGTGGAAAAGCAAAGCTAATTGATATGCTAGTATCCATTCCTCCAACCCTAAACGCGGGTGTTGCGAGGCAACGGCAATAAAATTTGAAAATATGGAGTGATTTTGGAAGTTTTGAAATAAATCTTGACAAGAAAACCGAGCCAAAATGGCTTGTATTTGTCATCTAAGTTGTGAGCCGTTTGCGAACTACCCTGGTGCTTGTTTTAGCGACGGATGAGCGCGCTGTCTTCATAAATGGATCTGCAAAATAACTTTAAGCATTCCACCAGGATCAAGATTGTCAGCATGGGTGATGCTGAAGTTGGCAAGGTTTGAAATAGTTGATGTCTCTATCACTCTTTCTTTAAATATGGACGATTTTTGAAGGCTTGTTTGATAAATGTTTATTAATCTGTTTCTTTAGAGCTGTATTATCAAGCGATATTGTGAGAAGAGATTTGTAAACAAGTACCTGGCGACCATCGGAATTGATTACGGAGTTACAAGGTATTTTAAAACGGGTTTTTTAAAATTTATAGTTGACTTGATTCCTTTGATAATTCAGTCTGAGCCTTGCATATAGTTTATCCTTTTAGAAAATTTATCAATTTAGTAATTCATAGATTCCGTTATTACTTCGCATAAAAATAAGTCAATGCAATTATTGCAAAATGTCAAAGTTGATAAATATTAATTTATTATTTTGTTTCAAAAAGGGTTTTCATAGATGAAAAAGAAGTTAAAGTGAATATATTTGATATGGCTGGTCATCCTATTTTTTATGAGGTAAATTTTGGTGTAGCCTTTGTAATTTCAAAATAATATGAAGTATATAGGATAACACAATGAAAAGTAATAAAATGTGGTCCTTGGAAAAACGAGAAAGGTTTGCACCCAGCGTTTACATCCACAGGGAGCTTCACCAAGAGAGGTTGGAATCCCATCGTGTGATATTGGTATCTCAAATAAATGTTAAACCTCTCCAAATTTTACTTCAGCCCTCTTAAATGATAAAACAACTATAATTAATGCATGGATGAATCCAGTGTGTAAGTGTGCATGTGTATGCAGGCCAACTTCAACATGGTGCAACAGCAATTTAAACTAGTGGCTAAATTAAATGGGCTGAGATAACAGTTGTATTGTGGTTACTGTGATTATTGGTAGGTTCGCAATGAATTTTACAAAGATACTCAAGGTGTCCTACTGGTATTTGATGTCTCAAGTCAACAAAGTTTTGACAGTTTACAATCATGGCTGAATGAGATGAAGAAGGAGATTGGAGATCCCACAGATATGGACAAAGTTGTCTTTGTTGTTTGTGCCAACAAGGTGAAATTATAACTTAACAAAATGTCCAGCTTATCAGGAATCCTGCTCAGTCTTGGCTAGAGCTAGGGAGGGGAGCAAACCTCCCATCCACCGCTCACACTTTAGCCACATATGATGTCAAAAGTAACATAACAAAATATGGCAAATTATCCTCACTGACAGGTTTCCGTATAATTTTGCCTCTTTTTAGACCGATAAATCAAGAGTGGTAGATGAAAGTACTGGCCGGATAGGGGCAAATAATTGTGGCTTTTATTATTTTGAAACTTCAGCACAGACTGGTGATGGTGTTAACAAAATGTTCCAGGTAATATAAATTTAAGTTTGCTTTTGATTGCTAATGTTTTCCTGTTTCCATCAACCAGGAACAACATGGTTGTTTTTACCTTTCTTTATACAGCTAATTTTAATAAGGTTGTCACGGAATGTACAACATGAGTACTAAAGATAATGGTAAAAAAATATAGTTTTAAATGTGTTCAATACACCAGAACCTTGCAGGAACAGGTCACAGATATGTTAAACTAATTTGAACGTAAGAAATCGATACTCCCATCATATTTAACACTTGGATTGTACAACAGTCAATTTCAACTTTAATTATGAGGTGTAAATAGCATGATTTTATTCCAACATTTTCATTGAAATGATCAGTGACTGAATGACGGTTATATAGCCTAATTGACGTAAGTTAGTGTCTACGACCATACCACCAGTAAGACACCGGTTCTCGTTCGATCACCGAAGTTAAGCCTGGTCGGGCGAAGTTAGTACTTGGATGGGTGACCGCCTGGGAATACTTCGTGTTGTAGACTTTTTCTGTTTGACCACACTAAAGTAAAGGCAACAAATCTTTTAGATATATTCGAATTAATTTATTTGTAACACAATGAAGAGTATAAGTACATCTATGTTAATTTGCAAGTAGTTCGCACAGTCTAAATAGCTGTACATCCCAGCAATTACCAAATCGATTTAAGTAATATATTTAATCTGCTCTTAACACGGTTAACTGTGGTACTCGTGAAGCATTATATGGCTTAAAAAAACAAAACCAAAAAAACCTATTTGTGAGGATTAAATAGCATTACTTTATCCCGAAATGTTCATTGAAATGATCAGTGACTGCAGTGCCTTTATATGGCCTAATTGAAGCCTTCTAGTGTCTACGACCATACCACCAGTAAGACACCGGTTCTCGTTCGATCACCGAAGTTAAGCCTGGTCGGGCGAAGTTAGTACTTGGATGGGTGACCGCCTGGGAATACTTCGTGTTGTAGACTTTTTGTTTGGGTATTTCATCGCCGCATCATCCTTGTGAATTAGCGTAGAATTTTATCTCCCGTTTGGCTACAGCCACTATTGTTATTTTCGCACGGCGCAGCGGCACTAGACCGGGCTAAACGGGCGCTTTTACCTGCATATGCTTCATGTATGGTTTCCTGTAGCTTAAAATATTCAGAGATGAATTATTTATAAAACATGTATTCCTCGACCTCGTATTTTTCAGACGTTATTTGAAGAAGTAATAAAGACAATAGAAAACGGGGGGAAGGCAGCCCGTGTGACTACAACGGTGGGTTATACAAAGGAACAAGCCGAAGCCATACAGAGATTAGTCAAAGCCAAAGACAATTATGAGAGATTGGGAATTCAATATGGAGCAAGCAGGTTAGAATGTCTGTACATTGCGCCATGGGGGAAGCTGCCCCTGAAGTGACCCCCCTGTTTGTTGCCACTGGATGTTTATCTCGTATATGTTACACTAATGTAAACAAAGTCATCATCTTCTTCCTTGTAGGGAAGATATTAATCGTGCCTACAGAAAGATAGCGATGTTGATACATCCAGATAAAAGTGTTGCTCCGGGGTCAGAGGAGGCTTTCAAGGTGCTTGTCGACGCACGAAAAGCTCTTCTTAAATAAGATCCCTTCTTTAGAAAGATATTTAAATTATCATCGGTCATTTAGCATAGTTAATATGGTTCTTAGACTTAGCTGCTGATACACGTTAAAACTGATTTAGATCTTTCTACCATTTTGGTCGATCTGTTTTTCGTGCTGCAGAGATGACATAGGATTTCGCAGGGCAGGTGTGAATATCTTGCCTGCGGTGGAACGCTGCCTTGGGCATTGGACTCATCTATGATTGGACTGATTTGACTCAATACAATGACAAAAAGACATTATTTTGTATCTACGTACGCATGTAAATATAAACAAAGATAGTGAATTTATTTAGTTCATAGCTAGAAGTCAATTTATATGAAAGAATAAACCTAAAGTTGGTGAATTTATGTAAATATAGTATATAAAATGTCATTTAGCCATTTACTACTGACTCATAATAATGGGGACAAGATTGCGCCAGAGCGTGAAAATTGTCGGAAACCTTCGAGAAGACTGGCAGCTAAAGTACTTCAATTCAAAATGGCCGACGAGAAAGGAAAAGCAGAAGGATTGCCAAGCCAAAATTACGCTGCTGTTAAACCTCCATTTACGGCAGATTACGAAGTTTTAAAAGGCATGAAAGTGCCGGAAAGTATCACAGTCAATTCTGATAGAAACATGCAGCATTTTGGTGAGGATAAACCTTCATTTCAGGGGAATCAAATGTCGGTTCCTGACAAAATTGTTTGGAATGGAGTTGATCAAAATGCGACACAAGTAAACTCAAACATCAATTTGCAAAGTGGCGGAGTCAATTTAGATAATTATATGGGAGGCATGGTGACACCTCCTAGGACATTGACTGTAGACGATGCAACTTCTCGTTATATCGACAGAAGAGTTGATGACAAAAATGAAAGCCGCCAAACAGGATTTGAGAGGTATAAAGCACACATCAGTACATTTTAATCTATGTTGAAATCATCATTGCTGCACCGAAAGATTTAATATTCAATGTTTTTCAATATTGCAATATCAAAATAATATCAGGAAGCTTGTAATTTCACAGTCTATTCACTCTTAGTATTGTGATTTTCACAAATTCTCTCAAGTAACAATTATACTTTTGAAGTGACTAGACAGCTGACAGTTGGTCATCTTACACATCTATATTTTTCACTATATAAAGTATTCAACAAGGCACTAAATGACTGGCAGTTTTCTATACTTTTTAGGATTTGGATTATAGTTGGGGTTTGTGTACTAAAAACTCCTGGCCATTTAGTATTATGTTGAAGTTTATGGTGACAATGCTGTTTAGTCAATACAGGAAAATAATTCATTACCAGCTTATGGATAAATAGACATGTGTTGATTTTTGATTCTCATGTATTTTGAGATATGAATGTGGCATGGATTCTGATAATTTGATATGTAGTGTATAGTCTTTATGCCAAAGTTTGGCTTATGGAAAATGAAAGATGCCTAAGATTTTTGGCTATGTATGTTGTTTATACTGTATTTTAATTTTTGCCCTAGGTTGTCTAAAAACATAATTGAAGAATCGGATAATGCTGATGCAATTTCAAATCCAAGAATTCAAGGTGAGATAACTCGACTGAGAGAGCGGGTTGAGTCACTGGAAAATGACATGAATGCCAAACAACCAAGTCGATTTTGGACAACAATTGGCTTTTGGTTTCCAATTATTTGTCCCATTATTGTCCATTGGTATTTTTGCAAACGTCATTAGAAACATCTTTGCATTCAAAAGCTGAACCATTACGATTAAAATGTGTATGGAATACACTATGGTGTCATGATTTACAATGGCAACAAGTTCTACAACTGGGGTAGGGTAAACAAAAGCAGTTTTTGTCTGGATGGTAGGCAGAATATGGATTGTAGTATAGAATCATATCCAGGTGGTGGATATGTGACAGGGAAATTTAAGTTCCATATATGTGTTTAACTTGCAAAATGTATGATGCTAACAATAACTACAGTACAGAACAGAGAATTGAACCACTATTGCAGTTTTTATTTGCACAGCAATTTATCTTTACAAAAGTTACACATACTCTATGAAGTGTAGTGCTTAGGCAAATAATTCATACCTTGGTAATCCTAACAGCTCTGGTGGTGCTAGGCCCACTTCCAGTACCCCAAGACATGCTACCTTTTTTCATTTCTTTTAACATAATTTTACAAGCATTTCCAATTGTAGGTGTAAATAACTTAAATCGAACAGTTCATTTCACAAGTGCAGATTTTTGTGAAGTGAAATAATTTTGTATACTAATTAAATGGATTGCTTTCAAACAGACATCAATCACTTTTGCATATACAGTGCTGCTTCAAGAATAGAATATTATTTGTAGTTCGCCTTTAGAATAAATAGATACAATTGATTTGCTGTGCATCTGACAAATCAGACAAAATAATAAATAAGTATTCTCTCAATGTGAGAGGTATAAGTTTGGAAAATTTCCAGGCAAAAATGAGCAAGTTACAATACTATATATACAGGGCATGCATGGGGGAAGAGTAACCTTGGTGTTGAAGGGTAGCAAGATGTTGAAGGATATTGACGTATTGTAGAGAGGGGCTGAAGAAAGACTGTCATGTCGAAGATTGTAACACAGAATGATTGTCTTACTAGAAACGAGGGTTACAGGGAGAGGATTGTTGTCATTTTGGGGGATTGTGATATTTCGTGGGAAAATGGAGAAAGATTGTTTTAAGGAAGGAAATTTTCATATTGAAGCAAGGAGGGACGCTTGCAAAACGTCTTCAAAAACGAATAATGCAGTTTTGGCAGTTTGCCCGAAGCATCACTCTACCTATGACTGCTAACTCAATTTTTATACATAAAATACAGTCAACCCTGGTTTTATAATCAGAGTACCGTGCCATTCTAATAGACCTTTCCCCTTTTATCTTGCGAGCGCACAATGCATGACGGTAGTTGCGATATCGCGGTGTTCAGGAGCACCTTTTATCTTTTTTGCTAAACAAGTTCTCTCTAACGCGAACACGAGTCAAATCAACAACCATCACGAATCGCGCGCTAGGCATAAAGGGAAGCGTCTATTGCGTCCTTCATAATACTTCAGTACATACAACTGTACACGATATTAATATATACAAACATTTGACAAATCAGTCCCGCTGACATAAGTACATTTTAAGATTCCTAGATCTCTTTAAGAACCTATTTAATCGGTGGCAGAAACACTGGTTCCTGCATTACCAATGATCCGTCTCTATCTGGCGTTAGTTTATCGTCATCATGCCTACGACTCTGTGTCCTTCTATCCTCCCGCAATCGTTTGGATGAATTGCTTGTTGATGCACGAGAAATATCCTTTCCTAGCTTAAACGCCGTGATATAGTCACTTCCCTGTTGTGTTTTTCTCTGTTCCTGATTGTTTTGCTTCGTTCTCGAGGCAGCTTGTAAAGCGTTAGTGTTCTTTGTTTCATCTTTGTGGTTGCTCTGTTTGGTTTGATGAAGTAATGTGAAATGATGGCTTGATGGTGATGCGCTTGCAGTAGCGTCCTGCGCTCTTTTAAAACCCTGAAAGATTTCAAAAGGCTTTCAGACACGTTATATATACGTGTGATCATAAGGGATTTAAGGCATCTTTAATGACCGGCATGTGGGAGTTATTGACGAATGTACGTGTTATGTGCATGGCGTAGCCAGCCTGGCGACTTAAGGCTGACGCCCACCGGACGCCATCCGCCAACGCGATGTGATTTTTACGCTTTTTTATGATTTTTTATGATTTTTGTTTGATCATGTTATGATATTCTTGATAATTAATTAAGGATAGCACAATTTGACACGTCTAATGCCCATGGGCATAGCTCTCAAAATTTCCGTCCAGAAATGAATTCATATTCTTCAAAAATATGAAAACTGGCGTTAGCCAGTCGTTGTCAGTTGTGTGTGGGCCCTTATTCCCGCTATATGCAAGTTTCAGGTCATAATTATTCATTTCTTTCATTCTGTCTGTTCACACGATCCAATTTTTTTTTTTCGATCCAATTCACGTATGGAATGTAGTGTTATTGATACAGCAGTACATCGTTGACTTTAGTGGATTTGCTGCTCATACATTACGTACATGCATTGCAACAGACTATAGAACATTCATAAGAAGTGAATTGGATCCAACAAAATTGGATCGTGTGAACAGACCTTTAGAGATGGATTGTTTTCACAGTCAATTACGCTACTGCACTTGAAAGAACATTAAAACCTATCTGAATTTGAAAACCTTACTTTCTATACCAAAACAATGCTATTTTTCGTTTTCTCTTATTGTAGCTCTAATACTATGTATTTAAAGTATCGCTCTTTTCGATCAAGGCTGTAAGTCTGGAATTTAAGCCCAATGGTTGATCAAGCCATGTAAACCAAAATGATTGTATGCCAAAAAACCATAAAGCTACTTATCCAATATATCTTACCTCCAAAACCCAGCTGTGCTTCAGCGCCTCGCCCGCTGTAATTCGTTTCGCTGGATCCCATCTTAAGAATCAGAAATTTGTTTAAGGTTATAAAGAACCAGCCTTTATAGAAATTTTCATCCACATGCATGGTAGTCCAAAAAAATTTCTTTTTACATGGGACCAATTTAAAGCTCAGAAATTTCTGATAAATATCAAATCTTTTAAACAAGTAAGTAATCTATATATAGGAAAAACAATAACTTACTCAAGACAGCGGGATAAGAATTTGATAAAACTTTGGTCGTTTGATCGAACGGCGCTTATTAGATCCTTGGCATTAGGTCTGCGTTTTTTCCCTCTAGAATTGGTTATGCATCTTGGTAAACCTTTTGAATCTATAGGAAGATGCACGAGTGAAATAGATTATTTAAGTCATGCATACATTACTGTAGTGCAGTTCCTTAGGGCTAAGAATTTATTTATTGTCATACCGAAGAAGTATGGCCTTCTTGACGCTTTTTCCAGGAATTTAGCATCTGGTAAACCAAGAACCTATAAAACCGTCGTAAGTTACTGTTGGGCAAAAGGCATGCTGACAATTTACACTAACCACCACAAAATTTCACAATACCTTAATGTTAATACATATAAACTTTATATATATACCTCCATCATGCAAGCAAGTTGATCAACTTCATTTTCACCAGGAAACAATGGGTAACCTGTGTAGAGTTCGGCTAAGATGCATCCAAAGCTCCACATGTCAATGGGCGTGCCATAAGCCATTCCTTAGCAGATGAGAGAAAAATTTCTTGCGTTAAAAACTTCCTCTTAATTGTAAACAGAAGTATCAATGTCTTCATTTATGACAATTTTGCTGACAATCCAGGAAGTTGTCGCAATTGACAACTTGTGACAAGTCTATTGTACAAAGTTGTCATCCTAGTTGGGTCTGGGGGCAATCAGTTCCAACAGATCTTGACAGCGAAATTGAGCGTTAAAAGTCTATTGCATGCATGTTTTAAAAAACTTTTTAACGCATGTAATTACTCAAGCAGGGACAGAATAAAACATGTTGAAATGCATAATACTGCATTTCAACATATATAAGTAGCACTCCTAACTCGAATAATTCCATTAACATCTACCTAGTATTACTTCTGGTGATCTGTAAAATCGGCTTTGAATATACGTGTAAACTATACAAACAAGAAATAGATATTCTTGTAAATCAAAAGAACACTCTGATGAAAAACGTTTCACCTATAATAGCGGGTTACCTCTCTGATTTTCGTAACAACTTGATCCAAAATCGATAACTTTGATCGCTGAATGAGTTTTGCTTTTTAACAAAATATTTTCCTTTAAAAAAAGACCACCACAGAATTATTCTAGAACATTGATTAAATATATGCGTTTAAAATCATATTGTCATTAGTTGTTTTCGCTACAAACCGGTTTCAAATCGCAGTGTATGATCCTGCAACTGTGAACCACTTTAAGACATTGGAGTATTGAATAGGCGAATCTAAAATCATAAGAATTGGACTAACATATAGTCACGTTTAAAAATAAAATAAATAAATAAATAAATTGATTTCCCCGATAAACACCACGTTCATTTTGCATCATCTCCCACAAGCGTCCTTGACGCATTTGACACCTCAACAATTACACCTACACTAGTTAATGCTCCTTAAAAATTTCGTCACTGAATACTCCTCAAGGGTACGAGAAGGGTACGAGATAGGGTCTAACTGTGTTGATCACCTTAATAGAGTTCAAGGAATTGTAACCTATTTCCTAAATATTTCCTAATACCAAACCATTCCAGGTAGAAACCATTTGCTTGTAAAACATCACAAAAAGGTCATTTCTATACTTACTTTCTAATCAAGGACAGGCTAAATCCTTGAAAATTGTTCTTTTTTGTCAGTTCATATAGATTTAATCTAAATAAAAAACAACGTAATTTATTGAGATTGTGTACGCAATACACAAGTTGTAACTTGTATGTTATTATTTAGCTCAAAATCTCAAGTGGTATAAGGTTTGGAAAATGGTACGAACTTACCCTAATAGTTCAAAGGTTATACACAAATGATTTCTGCAATGTAAAGAATAGAGTGGTTTAGCACGATCCTTGAACATCTTGAAACACTTATTAATATTGGATTTTCAGCAAAGTAAAAGTTTCCGTCCTTACTCAATAAAGAACAAAAATTAACTATATTTTTTAGACTAAAAATTATAATAAAATTACCTGAAGTAAAAATGTTCTATCATGTGAATAACATTAACATTGTTTTCTCTGTCCTGTAAGTTTTAAAAAATATCATTATTTATTTGCACATCTTATTCTCTCATGGTTATTGTTGTATAATCTATTTTATATACAGAAGATCCTATTCAACAGGGGCGAGTGTTAGATGACACAGTGTTTAGTTTATGTACCTTCTTTTTTAAGTTGTCCAGAATTTTAACTTCAATTAACGCCTGCTGGTGAAACCTTTTGAAAAGCAAAACAAGAATTACAATATTTACATCCATTCATTTTGGATTGTGGCAATGGTTATTGGTGATAGTTAAAAAGTTGGTAACACATTAGTGAATCATGAGTGGACATTCTAAACTCTTTCCAATTCATATTTGTTTTATTTTCAACCAGGTGATAATTATATGGTGATAATTATATGGTCATGATATTAGTGTTGATTGTAGTGTAGTATAGTCATGATTTGGGTCAGTATTTATTGGACAGGTGGATGAGAGTTCTGACATTTCATGGTAGATTTTGGTGGTGATTTGTTGTGCAGGTTATGATGAAAATGGAAGTTGATAAACAGCTATAGGATGGTGGTAAAAAATTCAATGCAAATTGTATTAAACTAAAGTTGCATGTATCACCTAACAATCAATTTGAGATCAGTGGTAACATGCTCACCTTTTTTTGTTTCGGATTATTTTAACCGCCAGATATTGGCCAGTTTTATGATCAAGAACTTTCAAAACCTGACCGAACGATCCTTTTCCAAGAATATCCAACACTTCATATCGATACATAAGATGATCTCTAGTCACACGTTTATAGCTGCCGTGTTCATCATCATATCCTAAGTAATAATGAGGATTTGCTTCATGTAAACTCAACTTAGTTCAACTTTTGGATAAGATTTTGCACATGCATACCATTATTGCAGGGACTGCCCGGTGTCCCCTCGATTTTCGTTGCTTCTAAGCCTAAAAACCACACTTCAGGATAATCCAAGATTTCTGCCTGCTCGAATGTCGTCAATTTGTCACCAAATGTTTTGATGCAAACTGAAATAGAAATTGTCAGAATATAAGCACAGAAGTTGTGAGCATAAACTACCCTCGTTGGGTTTTGAAGTGAAAGAAAATTTTGCATTTGTTCAATACACTTACAACTTGGTGTGAGCGGAAGAACAAATCCGTTTGGATCATGCCGGATATTTTGTTTGTTTTCCACATTGATACTGAAATAATTATGGAAAAAATGTTAAAAAAATGTTGCACAATTGTCGCTAGACTACATAGTATAATAGCAATGCGCCTGATAAATCTCCATTGACGCAAATGTCAATCAAAAATTTATATTCTGCGTTTTTGTTAATTATCTCTGAGTAGCACTTCGACAAAAAATCACAAAAAAACCTTGTAATATGTTGATCAAGAAATGCAGTAGCTAAATGTATATACACAATGTATATATTCCTGCAGAGGGAGTATTGTATTGAGTGTTTGTCCACGTGTAAATTTCTTTTTGCATGACAAACAAATATTTCTATTTTGGTTTATCACCCTATAAAATCTATACAAGAGTCTCGTGACGGTCACGGAATATTGTAGACATACATTCTTCGTGGAAAAAATTGATACCTACTTAAAGTTCTCTTGCTTCTTTACCAGCGGTGCAGTGAATTTCGGTACATCGGAAATCTGACAAGAGAAAGAGTTAAAATTATCCTAATTGCTGAAAAAGTAACTTCGATGAATACAGCTTTAATTGTAACTCAAAATAACAATTATTAGGTTATCAGTATTGTTGTTATTCATCGTCTATATTAAACGTGGTAATACTTGCAAACATTTCCATATGAATACAAAACTCGTGTACTTCAATACACGATAATTGATACTGCAAAATATTGTCATGACAATAAATATAACGTCTATTTAGTGACAAATTAAATTGTATAACACCTTGTAGCGAGGTGAAAGCAAGCAACTGGAACATGACATCTTCACAGTTTTGTAACAACTTTTATCAATACTCTATGACTTACATTACTTGTACGTATTTATAATATTACTGACAATAATAACAGAAAGGCTACGTTTCATGCTCTTAAGTAGCTACAACAACACAATTAAATATTTATCACAATGTTGACAGAAACATGCATGCATGAAAAATGTAAAAGTGTAAAAAATGACAACGATGCCATGTCAGTTCAACCACAAAATATAACTCATGCTTACAACGCCGGAACGTGTGAATGGACTATTGCTGATTGTTATATTGTGAATCGCAAATAGACAGTTGCATGTAGTTGAATGTTAATGATAGAAATGATATAAGTATTTCGTTTAGCATATCAGTAACTTCGTGGGAAAAATTCTGACAAAAACTCGAAACGTCAAAAGAGGTTGTATGCAAACAATTTGCATAGCCATTAGAAAGTGACAAAAGTATTCCCACAATTAAGGCTACTGATATGCCTTTACTACAATGATTGTTCCCTTTATCCTTTTTGAATAATAGCAATTTGTACATATGACTATTGTATTACTAACAGTGCTATTACTACAACGGTATCTGTAGTATTTTTATATAGCTCTTTGCAAAACAAGGAACTATAAAAGGTTTAAAAGCAGTTTTTACTATGCAGTTTTAAAAATTACCACGCGTTCCTAAGAATCCGTGTTTCACTGCATGCAAGCGGTAATCTGGATGCCCAAATATAATCGTGGATAAAAATTACAGTTTGGAGATTTCGTGTTATCAGATATTTCTAAGAAATACTTCTCGGTGGGGTGTTGTTTAATCAAATCACGTAATGATTTTTAGTGCCTTCCGTTGTTTGATTCTAAAGATTCCCATCGCACCTAAAGCGGAAGCTTTTTTGACTGTAAAAAATTTATGCGATTAACGAAAAATCGTTGATGCGCGCACGATCGATATGGGAAACGATGTTGTTGTTTTATAAACGTCAGATGCAGACGTCTGACTTTGCATATAGCATTCATAATTAACCGGCTAGCAATTTCGTGGTTAATTCATTATTCCTGAGGTTTCTTTGTAAGCATTGACCAAATAGGTGTTTGCCCTTAACAAGATCTTAAACTTTGTTGGAATGTATAAACCTATTACTAATATGAGTTTAACTTTAATAGGTTAAAATATTTTGACGAAAAAGTAAACATGCTTACATGAAGTGTCCTGTGAAACGAAGGTTGCATGTGTACTACTTTTTGCGTGTCGGTTGCTTTTTCGAGAACAAAACGGCGGCAAAATCATTTATAATTATACGTTGAGATAAAACGTCGTTATGTACGTGCATGAGGCGATAATGTCATCCTGTACGTGGGCTATAAGGCTTCAAATTGCATTTGTATATTAATAAACCTGTGCGAGCCCACTAAAAATTTGCATTCAACAAATGCTGTGATTTTGAACAAGGATTTGTTTGTTAGAGCGAAAAAAAACGCCCCTGACTTGATGCATGATTCGCCATTTGGGACTTTTGAATAAATATTTAAAAAGGCCGATATACATACGTGTTTGCCTCACAAAAACTAAATATCCTGTAACTTTTTCTACTATTTACATAGCCATATAGGACATGCAAAGACTACTGCATATTCATACAACACTTCTATACTGATATTTTGTTCTAATTTTTGCTTCTTTGCACTGGAAAAGTAACTATAGTCTATATAGCCATACGAGTTGTCCGAAATATAATGAGTTTGGTTGCAGCCTATAAAGACGTAGACAACGATAGGTAAATTGGGCCTTAAACGCAGTTTCGAAACCACTGATTAAACCTCAGAGCAAACGGTTATTAGCTCTTGTTATTAGCAAAAAAATAGAAATTATACCAAAGTCAAAGATGGCAAAACGTACGCGGTGAATCACGTGAGGCTTATTCAACTAGCTGCATACTTTCACGTGCATAACTTTATTTAAATGCTGCAGTGAGTCGGCTAAAATGGGAGCCGTTGGCATTTTTTAACCATGCTTCATAGGCATAGTAGACAATTATTATTCTGTCTATATTTCTATGCTATATGCTTGCATCCGCACAAACAATACACAGTGCACTCTGACATTTCTTTATACACATCTTCAAAACTTGAAATTTCTCAGTTCAAAATTTTTATGGTTGGGTATGCAATATAGCTATGTATGAAAGACATGTCATAATTTTGTCATTGACATTTCAAAATAAGCCTGGCGAAGATTGTCTATTTGCATAATTAACATCTATTCAAGGCAAAGTAGACAAATACTGTCTACAAAATCTTTACTTTTTAATCCTTTTCATTATTTTCTGGCGTCTAATTTGCTGGTACATGCATAATTTATACCGTTTAAAAGTACAAAAACTACATTCTAACACGGAAGCTGCATGTAACTTGACTTACAAGAGTACACTATATGTTAATAATCTGCGTGTGGCGTAAAACTACTGTTATCTGATATACTGAAAATTGTACCTATAAGCTAAGTTAGAATTGACAGGACTTGATACTGCATGATGCACGTGTACCGAAGTGAAATGTCCCTACAATCGTAAGCTAAGTTGATGAGAGCTAACTTTGCCTCTTGACCGCACGGTTAAGACTTTACTGCATGTCAATGAAATCTCGAGTTAAAGGCTTAAAGCCCACACTGGCTGACAACGCAGCGAGTATAATTTTCGAAATCTAAAAGTAAATACAGACATCTGGGACTTTGCTCAGAAATTTTATCATTCAATATAGGTAGCGCGGTTCTAAATATTTGACAATTGGAAACGAAGTTATCCTTTGATTTTAGACCTTATAATTGCCAATTTCTCTTTTATTCTACCTAATCATAACTAAAATTCTTCGCAGTTCACAAACACATCACAAACGCAGTTCACAAACGGCATGCACAGTTGGCCGACCGAGTTCTTTATACATCCTGCATGCTTTCAAACCTATAGGACGTTTTGTCCCACACAAACGGTTCGTTATTTCGCGAACTTTCCGGCAAACGGTCATCTTTCTTTTAAACAAGATGAGAAAAGTTCTGAACCACCCTGACCTTAAAAATTCGTTACAAAAATCGCTTAATTTGCACTCTCGTTTCCTATCTTAAAGACTACAGCACAAATAATATTCTATAAATTAAAGGTGGGTATTAGTATATTTGAATGTGAACACAAATTTGATATTTTTTTACAAATTTATGCAAGTTTTGTCATAGCCAAATTTAAAATTGCAATTCGTTTAAAATTAACCAACGTTTTTCTTTTTATAAAAATTGGAAATTCTCTGCTAACATCCGTATATTTTCCTGTCTTTAAAAGCAGCTGTAGTTACAGTGTTTTTTATGCAGATTATGGATCATTCTATGCACATGCATGCATGTCATTCAGACAAAGATATATTATTACTTTTATTGGCAAGTTAAATTACATACAATATTAACTGAATATCGGGATTAATAGTGCAGAAAAGAAATTTAGACTACCTTCGAAGTTTGAGGGTAGAAATTCGTAGTGCGTTTGTGCGGCAGAAAACTCGCTGCAGTTCATATCAAACTTTAATATTTCTCGCAAATTTTAAAGAGGAAAGCAAACAATTATATGCACCTGCCTGCGTTACGGTGCTTTGGAAACGGAGAATTGAACGAAAAACAAAACAAATCGAGCAAGCTTGCTGGCTTTGGCCTTTAGAAAAGGCATTCAAGTACAAATTGGCGACATAGGAAACCCTTATATTTGAATGCATGCACCAGTATACCCCATTGAAAATTTAGCGACAACTGTAATCGTTTTATCGTTAGCTTTCATGTTGAAGATAAGCATCTTGTGTGAAAATAGAAACGGTAAAAATATCTGTCATCGTTGTATATATATTCTAGACCGGATGAGTTGGACGTCGTTGCTCTTCGCAACCACTTACATTCATTATCCGACCTCCGTTTGCTTTTAGACAATTTGTACTCGTTAATACATAGCCGCTCTCAAAGCCGTATGATTTCTTGCGTTCCGTTTTAACGCGAAAAAAACAACGGCATAAGTTTAAGTGCGGTTTAGAGGGATTGCATGACCGATCGCTGTAAAGAGTTCTGAAACATACATATGAGGTTGGGAAGATATGTTAGATGATTGCTCCCTAGCTGACGAAGTTTTGTATAGCTGCATGTATATAAATGTAAAATATATTCAATTGAATACCGCATATCGTTGACCATATACAATATGTTTATTTCGTTTGAATACAAAACCTTTTGAACGTGATTGTTCTGCTGTACGCCAGATCCAGCATGGTCTTGGTTTTTTCCATGAGGCTCCGTGTCTATTTCCCGCTTGAGTTGTTGTGTTTTCTCCGAGTGCCGGTGACCGGGGAAGGTATTTCGCTCTAATATGGACGCGTGTTCACGCAGTATTCGATGCTTCTTCATTCCAAGCTGCCTGCGTATTCGTTGCTTAAATTCCTTATAGTGCATTGCACGGAACATCAGGTTGTAAGAGATAACCACAATGCACTCAGGACGTTGTGACTTACTCGTACGCACAGAAGCACTCCACTCACATATGATGACACGTATAAGTCACATGGATGCCATAATATGTGTTTATACATGTATGTTTCGACATATACATACAACCTCAATCCAACTACCTCGCGGTGAAAATGTTCTCGGATATCAAAAGTAGTATATACCCCTGCGCAGAAACACGTTTACGACGATCCGCTGTAGAGACCTTGCGCGCTAATGTTCGTGTCAGCCCGAGCGCATGTGAAATATATTATATTCCTTTGACACATATCTGGCAGAAAAGCCAGGTGAATTATATATAGACGCCCTCTTTCATATTAATTAAGTTCAACCTCTCGCACCGCACAATGCTATATATCGCGCAAACAATTTGCAAATTGCGCTAGACAACGCTTATTGCAATGTTAATGGCCCATGTATACTCGGAACAAAACCTTTAGATCTATGCCTAAACATGCAATAAATCATATATTGTTTTTGAAAGCGTGCAGATATGGAATTTATACATAATTTTATGCGTAGTTGTATTTTGCGCGCATATCGCATTCGTACAGGATATTGAAGGATGCAATTAAATTCGCAACTAAGAATCGACGCTATTATGACTTTAATTGACCTTGAAAACCATCTGGCATGCGCCATTAATATATTATTCTTTTCTGCAGTGCTTAAGCGGAATCGTTGATTCGCCTGATGACCGCCAAATTTTATACAACAGTTTTTGCGAGTAACGATTCTTTACGCCATTGTGTCACCTATATAGACTTTCGCGAACGTTCGCTAGTTTCGAATTTGGGCATTGAATTTTTGGCTCGCTTTGAAACAGCGCACAAACAGCGCTAATTGCTTAGCAAGGGAGCGATACGACAAGACAAAAGGCGTAATTGTTTTTATTGCAATTGAGAAAAAAATTACAATATTGTTCGTAGTGCAGTGTGAATATTACATAGGCTCCGAAATCCCGGCTTCCAAGGTCGTTTTGAAATTTTACGACCTGATGGAAAAATAACAGTCCCTAAAATATGACAGTTAAGCCCGTTTTCCACTTAACCGTTTCGCTTGCAACCGACGAGAAACTTCCCGAACGATTTTTCTCTTGATTTTGTCGGGGTTTTTATAGTCACGTCTGTGAGACGTTATAGGCGACCGTTTTTTTATCGTGTTGCAATTCTAGCGACACAAATCTCTCCCAAAGGCAAAATGAAAAAAAATTTTGAAAAAAATGTTTTGCCGCCAACGAAATTTTCTTGTGGGAAACGGAAGAAGGCGAATTGAAAAATCATGAAATTTATTATGGAAGCATAGTGCATGAATTAAATCATCCACTTAATCGGATACAGCAGACTTTCCACCATATAGGAACATTTTGTAATACATTTTAACCGATTTTAATTCCATATAAAACAAAATAACTAATTCCGCTTTGTACTCAGAGATAAACGCCTGTATTCAAAAAGCTCACTCATACTCACACTCACTGAGTGTGGCATATAAATTTGTTAATGCTGGTCAATGAGAAGGTTATTTCGAAGGTAAAACACTGGAATTCAAGCGCCTATTCGGCTTGAAATACCGCCATGGAAACGTTATGAGAAGATTAAGATCTCCCATGCACTCAATGCATGAGTTTGAGTGTGAGTGAGTTTTTAGAATACAGGCGAAAGTAAGCCAATCGAAGACGCGTTTTGCGACATCCTATTGTAAACGTCTTTGCATTAGTGTGAATATATTAAGCGCTGCTGTTAAAACCTCCCTGCCTCTTGGTTACTTTACTGAAGTCCACCCAGACATTTTATAGCCATTCCTCGACATTAAAACAGAAACATATACATGATGTGCCTCCGTATATTTTTACCTAGCTATAGCCTCCATGAAAGTTGGCGCGCTTTTTTGTGCATATAGTTATCGCCTTGATTTTATTAGGTCCATTATAGGTGTGTTTTGTCTCGCGTCGAAGGGAAGTACTATCATGCATGTACCACTTTCAAATGAAATTACTTCAAATTACGTTCAAATTTCACATGATACATTCAGGCTGTGAAGAAAAGGTAGCTAGGCTGTTCCATATGCGCTGAGATTGGAAAGTGATGATAATTGCTCGAACATGATGTGGGAATAACGCATTGAATTAGTATAATTTAACTTCTCATATATATGCAGGACAATCATTTCAACATTTCATATTGAAATGGATTTCTCGCGCATGTAGTCAAAACAGTTTTCAGAGTTCAGACTGCAGCTATATATACATACAGTGAAATCTACCGACGAATGTATCGATGGATAAATTTGACATTTAGGCTCCAAAGCCAACAATATACACATTTGTTTACAAACCACAAATGAGCTTATCTCAAACCGAAACTAAACCGGTCAATTTTGCTAATTTTCACATCCGTCTCCACGGCGTGATCTCATTAAACACATTAGAACGTGGAAAACCTCACAATGTGACGCTGGCCGCAAACAGCAAGACGTATTGAATCGTGCAAATGCGGCTTCATTATAAGCTGGCTGGCGATTTACGGTAAACTCAAATATCACAAATTGTTTTCCCATAGGGATTTGCAAGAAAGTTTGTCCGTGGCATTTTTTTATCTTTTTGTTCAACTCCTTTGATCCATCCGGCTGTGGCATACGTAGGTATTATCTGCCGTGGCTAATGACCATCACCATACACCCGACTTTAACAATTTTGCTCGTTTAAATCGAAAAACCAATATTCGCTATAATTTGGGCATCGGTTCTGCTGATAACAATGCGAGGCTCGCGCCTAAATTTTCCTAATCTCGCATGTTTCGGATTTTCCTAAACGCAAACTCTAACCCATTCAAAATTATTTAAAACCATAGAAAACCAGTAATGTGCATGTCCGCAGACAGTTCGTCGAAAAAAATTCAAAAAATATAACAGTTCAAAATGTAAACAAAACGTTTGTTTACATTACGACTGGACACCTTTAAATTATTCGTCTCGCTAGTTGACGTTTAATTGAGGCAGAATGCAGGGTGCCGCAGGAGTGTGTCTGTGAATGATTATAACACACAGTCAAATCTTTCAAAAAGAACTTTTCAATGAATGCCTATTTCTCATTTAATTCTCCGTGACTTGCATGTTGTGGAATGCTTGTCTGGCTAAGTGCTGGCTACTGTAAATAATCGCCTGATTGCATGCATGGTCTGATTAACAATTAGATTATGAACTTTAGATTCATATATAACTGAAGCCAGTAAGAAAACAAAATTTCAAGAAATTTTGACTGTACGCGAAAAACTCGTTGAAAATCGTGACAAAAGACGATTTTCGCTTTCAGTGCTTGGGTAATAGATAGTGAGTATAGCTCCGCCAATCAGAATGCAGCATTTTGCATTCTGATTAAATGCAGTTCGTGACTTTATTTATACTAAATATATAAGTGCAATGTCTCATTCAGACTGTATTCCGATTGAACGTTGCGGTCAGTACTTAAGTAACGATAGTCTATCTAAAACCTGATACAATGGCAGCAGTCAGTCGGACTAAGAGAGCTATCTGCAATGAAGTAAGTACTTTTCCATAATTTTTTTTGAATGACGTTATTTTACGACAAAACATGAAAATCACTCGACGTCAGTGTGGTATCACGTTGATATGACGTCTTGTCAGATAAAATTCTCGAGTGTGTCATTGTGGTTTGGAGTCTACTACGTCAGTCTTTGCCTTGAGGGTGGTACTGAGTGATTATTAAACAATTCAAAAGTAACATTTTACAGCTTTATGAATCTACGCGTTTCAACTGTATTTTCGATCTATCACCAGAAAGATGAAATCTATGAGATTAGGCTTTTTTTATTGTACCAGCAGCGAGCTTGCGAGTTGTTGTGTTTTGGGACGAGTGGAAACTCTAGAGCCTTAACAGTCTAAACATGGCTTCATTAAAATAAAATGATGTTAGATGTAGTTTTTTCAGCCTCTTCTTGTGCATTTATCGACTCCATAGTTTTTTATAATGCACGGTGACAGTTTTTTTATAATGCATGGTGTTTTCGCAAAAGTTATTCCAACATGCAGGTGGGAATCGCTCGTCAGTAACTATGTAATTGCATGTGGTTAGAATATACAACCTGTCTTATACCAATTGACAATCGACTTTACATACCTGATTTTTATCAGATTTATAAAATGATGATTTGATAATGTTCTTGTTATTGAGAAGCTGTGGCAGTGTCTCTCCAGCACTTTTCTAAAGTACAAAAATTAGAATAATTATATCCTGGCTATACCTTACGCACTATACCTTGCTATAAAAAATGCAAAAAGATAGCTAGTATGATTAATAATTACAATGAAGTATTGAAATTATTTTGCTTGAAAAAAATTTATGTTGTCATAGCATATATCAAAATATTTTTATGAAATTCATTCAATAAATTCCGCGCCATGGTAGGATGGATAGTGGAGCCTCTTCTTTAACCTTGAGGGGGAGGGGAGATTTTAAGTAATTTCTCGAGAGCATAATATGAAAATATATTGACCATTGCACGAAAAAATGTTGAATAAACATTCATTTTTTCGTAATGATTTATTAAAGATGTTTCAATGGCGCCAAAAGCTTCAAATATAGTGAAATAAGACTTCATATATATTGCAGCTAGCAAAATTTCATTTCTTTTTAATATTTACAAAACAGAATAATGTACACCATATCTTGACATTACCTTATTGGTCTTGTTGTGATCATGTTTGAATTGAATCTAGACAGTATAAAGAATTATACTGAATTTATTCTTAAAATTGGGTTAACTCAGGTTTATGTCTTTTCTTACTGTTGTATATATGAACAAGATGGTAAAGAAACAAGTACGATCGTACTATAGAGACCAGGAACTGCGTAACCGAGTTTAATTTCTGAACTGCATTGTATTTATAACAATGGAGAGGACAATGTATTTCTAATCGTTTCCGTTTACTTATATATAGGCTGAATATTAATGATATGTATATATTATTTGCTGCAAATATATCAAGAATTGCTTGTAACTTGCTTCAAAGGTCAAAAGTAAAAATTCGAACTCCGTCAATCGATGCGGAATAATGCTTAGAATAATTGTGCCAAGTTTCATTTCGATCAAACAAGTAATGATAGAGCCTTAGGGTTTTTTAAAGAGCGTCGCCCCCTAACAACAACAACAAGATTAGCAGCGGTTAGGGACCAGTTCCTGGTCCAAAAATTCATTAGACCTTTCTTCTAATGACGTCAAACGCGGAAAGTCTGATGTTACACGAAATTTGATTGGCTCCACAAAACTATCGAGCCAATCAAACTCCGTGTAAGATCAGACTATCTGTATATTAAAAAAGTATATTAATTATGTTAAAGATAATATGCAGACGTACTTGTTCCTGATTATTGATGTCTTTGCTTGCTTTCGGCAAATGGGGTAAACCATCTTTCAAGTCATAAATGTCAAATTTCTACGTGAAATGTAATTAAAATGAAAAAAAATAATGATATATGATTACACTTCACTAAAAGATAATTACACTTCACTAAAATATAATTTCATTTGTAATTTGAATTATAACGAATTCAAAAAGCGAATGAGGGAGAATTTAATGTTTGTCAGTGGAGCTTTTTCTGCTGTTAATTTTTAGTTTTTCACAGAGAAAATCGGCGATTGTTACTTCGAAATTTGTAAGGTAACGGGTAATGTTATGGGGGATTTCAATGGTTTTGAAGTTTTTTGGGACAGCTTAATTAGGTGCATGTCTAGTTCTTTATCGATAAGAATTCCTAAGTTTTCTCACCTTCTGAATATGTCTTTTATTCTCTCCGTGATGCTGGGGAATGCTGTAATTGTAAAAAAATTGGGTGGATAAAAGGTATTATTAATGCATATTTAAAACTCGTAAGAAATGGAAAGAAATTAACGAACTCCGAAACGGAACAATGCCATCTTGAGGATATCGATGAAAGCCTGTACGCAAGGTTTTTAAGCTAGGAGGGGAGACTGAAAGTGATTTTTCCTTCACAGCATATTAGAATATTAAAATGTAGTTCACAACATATTAAAATGTAATAACATCACTGAATTCCACCCAGTTCACAATTGTAAAGACCTTACGTTAAACGCTCCCCCCCCCTGCTGTAACAGATGGACATCTCGAAAACACCAAAGATTCTCCATGAAGTTCGTTCAACAGTCCTAATTTTCTATTTTGATTGAAAAACTGATGTTGACTTTCTCCGTGTCAACAAGGGAGGGGGCGCGGGGGAGAGGGCATGTCCGACATGCGGGGAGGATGGAGATTGGACCGCCGTTAGCATGACTCGAAACTCATGTGCATTTCATCTAACTAAAAACGGGTCGTATATTTCATTTTAATAATTGTAACAATTTAATAGATCATTTGGCTAAAATAAAAGGCTACCCAACCTCGTACCCAGGGTCTTTACTCGTGGTGGTGGGGAGTACCCCACCACCACGAGTAAAGACCCTGGGTACGAGGTTGAAGGCTACCCTGCAATCAAATATTGGAAGTACGTTTCCGGCTAGAACCAAGTCCTTTCACACAGTATGAACTCACGGCCAAGATTCGCAACAACACGTGAATTGCTGAAACAGACCCAAACTCCAGATCCGATTGAATAAAAACAACTTATTGTAATTCTTAAATTACGAAATGAATGGCAACAACTATAACGATGTTTACTAACTAAGTTTAGAAATTTGAAGGAGAGCTTGAACGCAATGGCGCCATTGTTGAAGGCGGTAAACAAGGTATGTACTCTGCTATATCATTTTCTTCATAATAATAATAATAGTGTAGTTACTACATATTGATATTTTCAGTCATTAAAATGTTTCACACATATCCGCAAGAAATACTTTCTCCAGTGGGTAGCTGCATGAAGTACTTAGTGGGATATGTTTTAAATAAATCCCCACGCAGGGGCGTGGTTATAGGGGGGGAATAGGTGGCACATGTCTCTGCAAATTTTTCAAAGGATTAAAAGTGCCCTTTTTATACCATGCAGCTTTGACAATCAGCACCTTTATCCTGCAAGAAATGAGATGCTTTCTATTCACAATTCACTAACCTCTGATGTGATCCATATCTGATGATTTGATAATAATTGGGGTGAGCTGCAGTCTCAACAGCCCTTTATAACTTACACATAAGGTCAATATATTAAGTAGTTATGCAATTAAAGATGCAAAACCTACCCAAAATAACTGTCTTTCACAAGCTTTTTAGCACTCGGAATTTTCTTGAATGGATCTTTCAGCCCCTAAGTAAAAAGGCCCCTGATTAAATAAGCCTCTGATTAAATAAGTCTTATTGCCTTTCTTGATTGTGGTAAATTATTAAACAAAAATTTGATACAACCCTCCTATTAATCTGGTTATTTATATTGTATGTCGTAATATGAACACACTTTGTAGTGCAGCTGCTTTTTAAAATTATATTAAATAAAAAATTGAAACCTAGAGAAAGGCAAATAACTGCTGAGCTACCCTATTAATTTGTGAATTCTGTTACTATTATCTGCTAAAATCTGGCACATAGTAATTATTAATGTATAATTAATAAACATATTAATAGTATGTAATAAATAAATAAATAAAAGTGCTGATTATGGATCCAGGGTGGTTTCGTTAGACCAGTTGCCAGGCATGAGTTGGGTTACAAACATGCACTAGCTTTTATGCAGGGCTATTAAAATGTATGTTTGTTTAAAAATAAGATGAAATGATAAGGTACTACCTAGATTTTTAGACAGAAGAGACTATAAACTTCCAAATACACCACAATATCTAATCCCCGAAATTTGCCCCCCTAGGTATAGCTATATAGGGGTAGTCAACCCCCTGAAGTAAATTCATCTCAAAACCCCCCTTTTTATTGGTCATATATGTCCATGGGGGAGATCAAAATAATGAAGGTAAACATAGTTCATTGGGCGAGATGGCAGTACTGCAATATTGACCCTGGATACGAGTAGGTTTTGCTGTTAATTTGCTACTAATGTTGTCTCACAAGACATCATCCACTATTCACGTGATGCAATTTAAAATCTTGAGCTAATACTCCATTGGACATACTCACACTTTTTCCTAACGAAGGCGCAGCCTTGATTTTCTTCAAGAGAGGCAGTTGTTGGCCGCGATCCTTTAACAGTTTTTGGTGATCAGACAGGCCCTTTGACTTCCCCGTCTGTTTTAGTCTAGTAAATTATTGAAATCATGATAAAACAGATAGATAAATATAAATAAATAGATAAATAAATATATTTCGAAAACCAAGCGATTTATCGTTTGCTTTAAATGCCTAATTCATCACAGAATCGTTGAGCTCACCTTCGGTCCGATGATTTGTAATCCATGAGGTTATTGAGATTGTAGAAATTCTTGCAATAACTTGCATGGAAATGTCTTTACACAGCCAACACAGGAAAGCAAATAATATACTGTCACGAAAAAGTAATCGTTTATCTTCCCAAATGCGGTTTGATCCAAAAATACGATAAGCGCTTCAATTCCATCATATTTAATCCTTGCATTTTCGAGTCGTTTACACAAAATTATTGCGTTCAAACACTTTAATCTTTGAGGGGAAATTCAAACATTCTTTGTTGCTATGCTTACAAGTTGGCAGGTCAGAAAGTTACGCGCGCGTGTAAACACGTTAATTAAACAATAATTGCTCATTATAAATTGTTCAACAATCACTTTTTGCCTCGTTTGTGAAACGACCGGCGTTCACATCGTAAATCTTTGTTTATAGTTTGTTTTAAAACATTTCGTGCACGTATATTTCAGTTATTAGGAGTAGCATAATTGTTACATTTCAGAATTCTTTGTTTATTTTTCGAGCATCCCATGTGGCTTTTAGGCCTGTTTCAAACGTCGCATTTTGCATGCGTCGAATGGCATATGGTAAAACATGGACTGGACTGGACTAGTAAAAGGTGGACTGGACTCATTAGTAAAAGGTGGACTGGACTCGTTAGTAAAAGGTGGACTCTAACCGGAAGCACCGAAACACCATTCCGGAAATGAATACGTAAACAATATTCAGGGGGGAGATAAACACTAAAAAGTACCAAAAAACACTATTAGGCATTCAATATTTTATGATTTCGTACCAATGTACACAAAACAAAGACTTTATTTTGGTTATTTACCGTCAATCCATATAATGATTATTCTTAACTTAACGGTAAGCAACTCTTCTAGCATCAATTTATATCAAAACTTTCTACTCAAGACTTTCGTATAAGGAGCTATAAACATATCGGTGATATATATCGACCGTCGTCTATACGATTTCATACGAAGAGTAGATATAAAAGAGGGTTCACTCTTCGAAATTCCAATAATTTAGCATCAATGATTAGATATATATCTACTCTTTGGTTATATCCATCCCGGGATAACAACAATGAGAACTAAGAAATTGCAAAGTGCAAGTATTTTTCATGGGCTGTGCTGCTACAAACTTTTAAATAAATATATGGGTTTGACTTTTGGCATACTGTTCCAGTACGATTAGCCACTTCCTAATTTTTTTACTTTTACAATTTGATTTCTTATTTTTTGTAGATTTTCTGCAGGTTTGCATTAATGCATAGTATAAAATATATTTTAGTTTATGTGAACACACAACATGAATATTTATTGCCAAATATTAATACAAGTTATTAATATAAAACTATAATTTACCTCCATACGACTACACAAAATGTGTCTATTTATTTTTTTATTGACATCAATTATTAACTCAGTGAGACTTTTGCCAGAACTAGCTAGTGCAGATGTCTATTATAAACACAATAAATAAGTTGGATTACAGATTTCCTTTACCTTGTTTTTTTAAAAAGAAATTAAATAAAATGCTACCATTAGTTTTCATGTTTTATTTTTGTCATCTCACAACCATATTTTAGAAAGTACTTAGTATCATTTTGAAAGTAATATTGCCCAAAATACATTGACATACTTTCAAATATCATCTTTACTTGTCTTCACATTGTACTATTAATACCTGTGGAGTTTGTTTTAATAAATACAGGGTTGGTAAGAGATTGGGAAATTAATTCCTTTTTTTGTCTTTTTCACCCACCGCCCTCTGATATTAGAGAGCAAAATCTGTAATCCAACAAAAAAATATTGGTCGGTTGGCCTTTTATGTTATTTATTTATTGTGTTTATAATAGACATCTGCACTAGCTAGTTCTGGCAAAAGTCTCACTGAGTTAATAATTGATGTCAAAAAAAATAAATAGACACATTTTGTGTAGTCGTATGGAGGTAAATTATAGTTTTATATTAATAACTTGTATTAATATTTGGCAATAAATATTCATGTTGTGTGTTCACATAAACTAAAATATATTTTATACTATGCATTAATGCAAACCTGCAGAAAATCTACAAAAAATAAGAAATCAAATTGTAAAAGTAAAAAAATTAGGAAGTGGCTAATCGTACTGGAACAGTATGCCAAAAGTCAAACCCATATATTTATTTAAAAGTTTGTAGCAGCACAGCCCATGAAAAATACTTGCACTTTGCAATTTCTTAGTTCTCATTGTTGTTATCCCGGGATGGATATAACCAAAGAGTAGATATATATCTAATCATTGATGCTAAATTATTGGAATTTCGAAGAGTGAACCCTCTTTTATATCTACTCTTCGTATGAAATCGTATAGACGACGGTCGATATATATCACCGATATGTTTATAGCTCCTTATACGAAAGTCTTGAGTAGAAAGTTTTGATATAAATTGATGCTAGGGGAGTTGCTTACCGTTAAGTTAAGAATAATCATTACATGGATTGACGGTAAATAACCAAAATAAAGTCTTTGTTTTGTGTACATTGGTACGAAATCATAAAATATTGAATGCCTAATAGTGTTTTTTGGTACTTTTTAGTGTTTATCTCCCCCTGAATATTGTTTACGTATTCATTTCCGGAATGGTGTTTCGTTGCTTCCGGTTAGAGTCCACCTTTTACTAACGAGTCCAGTCCACCTTTTACTAACGAGTCCAGTCCATGTCCAGTCCACCTTTTACTAATCGGGGCTATATCGGTCCAGTCCACCTTTTACTAATGAGTCCAGTCCACCTTTTACTAGTCCAGTCCAGTCCATGTTTTACCATATGCCGCGTCGAATACAATTCTAATTAGATTCGACCCTAAAACAATAATCCGACCGTCATTTCAAACGTCGCATTTCGCATGTGCTCAATTCAAATAGTTGCGGGCTCTATTCCTTATGATCAGCGACATTCCGCTTAGGCGTAAATAAAAAATGTCATATTTTTAGAAATCCTTTTCTTGCTATTATTTTCTCATATTTTTGCCTAAATATATTGCACTTTATGCAATATCCAATTGCTTCCCAGCCGCTTCCAGTAAGCCAGCCTTGGGATTGGGATTCTTCGTTTTGTTCGTGTACTGCGCAACGATTTTAAACAGTCGCGGTAGGCAAATGTATTTTGTCAACTTTCATGCACACGTAATGCAATATTATTGTTCTGGTTCATTTCTTTTGTCTACGGCCTCCATATTTCCTTACTTATGCCTTTCAATATCATAACATGCATGACGTTCTTTGTCTTTTTCTTCAAGCGAATTGAATTCGACACATGCAAAATACGACCTATGAAACCACGTCGCACCCAGCTCGCATAATGCGACCGGAACAGTCGAATTTAGCATCACGGTCGACCGCAATTAAAAACAGCGAATTCAATTGTTTCATACGTCGCATTTCGCATGCAGATAATTCAAACAATTGTATTCGACACATGCAAAATGCGACGTTTGAAACAGGCCTTAATTGGTTTAAAAACCCGAATTAAACTGGCGCGAAATTTTCCCGCCATTGCACGATGCAAAAAATTAGCCACCCTGTCCCTGGCGCCTACGACGGGGACGTGAAGTAATACTGTCGTTATAAATACAGTTTCACAAAAGTGATCAAAATTTATAGACTGCTTTTGGTAAATGAAGCCGATACCGTGTGTATTCTATTACAAATTGAAAATGGCTTCCTAACATGTACACTAGTGGTTGCTTTCCAAATCCACCCACGTCTTAATATACCATTTTCAAGGGGGGAGAGAGTGCTCCAGTTTTGGCAAGGGGCGTCAATATATATACTTAGTTTGCACCATGTCGTAATTTCCGTGTAATACGATATCCTCGATTGGGGTGTATGCGACTCAAAATGAAACTAAACACACAGACATGTCGAAATATTTCGTTTGCAATGGAACAAATTGTGTAGTTTCTACTGGTAAATCATAAATTGAGGCAGGATGTAAATACGAAACAAATCCAAGATTCAGTCGAAGATACTGACGCCAAGGTAATGAACCGAATTTAAAGTAATATTTTCCAGGAAGTTTTAGTATTACCATCCAAACGTCTGCTTCACGTCAGCCTCGGCAAACGGCAATATATATATGTGGATTGTGGAATGTACAACTTTACGCGGCATACAACAGTTCAGCCTTCTCTAAGCTTCTCTAATGCGCCGAAGGTGAACTTTATAATAGCAAAATGGGGCAAGATTCGCATATATGCGCGAAGATATTTGCCAGAGATTTCGCTAGATTCAATTGACTAGCATTGTTATGTTGAATCAACCGCCGTGAGAGCTTCATTCTATACTGGACCACGACTATTAACTCTTTTGTCGTATATTACGGTATATATTCTGTTAATAAAATGACTCAGGAGAGGGGAAATTAAAAGTTATCGAGGATGAATTTATCTGAGAACACAATGCGAAATTTTAGGGCTCACCATAGGCAACCCAGACTTTGACTTGCGCGTGTGATACTCGCGGGTGTGTCGCGCTTATACTTTGTTTACTTAGTCTATATACATATAATGGCAAGGTATAGGAAAGAGTTTCACAATATATAATTATGTTATGTCAAAAATTAAATAAAGAAATGCCACAAAAACTACAACCTAATAGTCACCAACGATTGAACTACATTATCCTGAAGTTTCCATGCTTTTAGACATGTTTAAAACCAAAAACATCTAAAGACTTCGATTTAGAAAATTAAAACAGGAATTCATACGAACTTTTGAGAAAACTATCTGCGGTTTTACTCCATCTAAGGAAATCTTTTTAAAATATTAGCAAACTCTTATTGGTATTCTTGCGCGTCAGAGTGTGTGTTTTGTCATTATGCATAAGGTCCATTGCCGTAGCAATATTGACTTGCATTAGCTATACCCTCGTATACCCAGGCACTTTAGTTGAAAGCATATAACGTTGCATTAATTTGTAACAGAGGTGAGCTGAGAAAAATCGAACGCGGGGTTGTGCTTGGGGAGGTTGATAAAATTGTGATATGTTTTCAAGTAAAGCCTCTGGGTACGAGGCAATGAAAAGGCAATCTGCTTGGCAAAATGTGCAAGAAAGACTTTCCCTGCCACTTGGAATGCAATTCAACTCCTGAGGCATCTAAAGTTGTCAAATACGAACATTTCTTATGCTCTGCTAACGTTTTCTGAGCATTTCCAACATTTCCAAATTTATACGTCTCTCAAGGAAAATTGCATATTGTACCACAGCCTTAACTCCAAAATACACTAATTCCCAGCGAAACATCGAAATGTAAATATACCTCAAAACATGCGAAAACCGGATTGGAGATCCTTTGCTTTAATGTGACCTTTTTGCCATTAGACGAAAACAAACCCGCTCATATACGGTATATATTCCTTTGTAAAGGCAGAGATATCACTTTCTTTGTAAAGGTAGAGATATCATTCTAGCTTTTATGAATCCTTTTAGATGTAAACAGAAAATGGCCTCATACGAAACCGGATATGACGATGAGCGATTCCAACATCCAGTTGGTCAGAGCTTTCACTGTGGTATTTGTTACAATGTCATCAAAGACCCGGTCATGTGTCGACATAATGAACATTTGTTCTGTAGAGGTTGCATCACCAGACATCTCATGAACTCTCAGACATGTCCCACATGTATTGAGCCACTTACTGTTGACACCCTGACTCGAGCATCGCGGACCGTAACCAATTTACTGTCGGAATTAAAGATTCACTGTGAATTCTTCAATCGTGGTTGTGAAAGATTTGTGGAGTTAGGAGAGCTTGAAAGGCATGTTGTGGACTGTGGGTTTGCCCCAGCAGTCTGCTCGAATGAAGGCTGTGGTCAGGAAGTCGATAAGCAAGATTTATTGCATCATGAAACGGCCGTGTGTGAATTTCGCCGTGTGAAATGTCACAGTTGCAATGAAATCAGCCAAGAGATGGATATAGTTAAGAAAAACTTGGCTGTGATGAACCTCAAGTTGAATGAAGTCAGTGAAACCTTGAAACAAAATGAGAAGAAGTTGGATAGAAATGAGAAAAGTGTGCTGGTGAACGTTGAGATGGTTCAAAAACAACTCAACAAGCAGGAAGAAAGCAATCTTCGGCTAGAAGCGGACAATGTAGAAATGAAGAAATGTTTAGAGAAAGTGGCACAACAAATGGAAAGATTGACCCAGCAGCGGGAAGATCTAAAGAAAAGTATCGCAGAAGCTGTTGAACCTGAAAGAGAGCCGAGAATTATCGTTGCTGGGGGATATAATGCTGGGAGTTTAAATTCTGTGGAAATGTTCAGCCTCTCAAATGGAAAGTGGTTACCACTACACCCAATGAAACAAAGCCGTCATTTTGCATCCTCTGTCGTTTACAACAATCAAATGCTTGTTATTGGAGGTTTTACCAATGGTAGGGCAGTAAAGTCGACGGAGAAATTAACGTTGAAAGATGTCCATGTAAACCAGTCCATATTTTGGGAAGACGATCCTGAAGTGTTACGTGGGCCCTTGTATGGACACTCCAGTGTTATGTATAATGGGCGGTTGATAGTCATTGGAGGTTATGATGGAACTGCATTTACACCTGCTAACATTGCTGAGATATCTCTTGTTCCTCCTTATTCCAGTAAAGTATTGGCTACCCTGTCAGAAAGTAGATGGCTACATGGGGCTGTCTTGTTTGGTAACACGATCGCAATTCTTGGGGGGAAAAAAGGTTGGGATAGTTCGTCGAATCTGAAATCCGTTCTGTTGTATGATATTGTCAAGAATGAATGTCGTCATTTAGCGCCATTGCTTTATTCTATGAATCGAATGGCCACTGTCAAGTGGGGTGATGACAAAGTGATTTTAATCGGAGGCAGTAACTATAGCGGTAAGTTATTGAGCAAAGTACTTGTGTATAACATCAAGACTCAGAAGAGCCACATGTTACCAGACATGAAGTATAAGAGGAGAGGATGTGCTGCCGCAGTCGTTGGTGACACTGTGGTTGTTATGGGGGGACAAGATGAAAGAGGAAACTCTTTAAAGTCTGTCGAAAGTTTCAGGTTCGATTCATGCACCTGGGAAGAACTTCCCGATATGCAAGAAGCAAGAGACGGAGCTGCAACAGTTGTATGTTAATTAATTATGTCCTGCATATATTTTTATATATATATATATATATATATATATATATATATATATATATATATATATATATATATATATATTGACATTTGATTTTCAAAGAACAATGAAACAGTTTATGACATTGATCCGGTTTATACTCGTGCTTGTGAAGTAAATCAATTGTTATAGAAATAATATTTCAGAAAAAACAGACTAGTGGTGTGTGTAACCGATTAAACCAGTTCATTTTAATGACTGGACATACTATAATTATTCTCTTTGTATTAGTGCCTGTTTGTCTGGATGGATGATCTGTCTCTAGGCTGATATCACTCTCTCCAGTGGATGACGCTTGAAAAAATTAACAATAGACCATTTCACCTTGCATGCAAATTTACCTATTTCAGATGTTCAATATTCATAAAGGTGGATTTCCACTTACAGCGAAATCGTTCGCTAGCGAAATTTTGCATATTTTCTTTTGAATTGAGAACAGTCAAGTCGAACTAATTTATTTATGCTGTTAAAATTCAAAAGAAAGCATGTAAATATGCAAATCCGCCTTAACACGTCGAAATATATCGTCTTGTCTTTTAAATGGCTTATTTCTGTAGCTTTTTTGGTTAAATCAGAATCAGTATTTCAAATTATTGGGATATGGAAATACAAGACAAGTGTCTAGATCCAGTTGAACGAATTTACAGCAAGGTAAAGAACCAATTTCGAAGCAATACATTTCAGGAAGTTAAATTCCTAATCTACTCACAAACGACTGCCCCTCGTTAACCATCACACTGTAGGGAATGTACAATTTTTGGCCAACAACGATATTTTCTTTATGGATTGTGAAGTATTTTCAGCGCGATAAAGACGTAACTCCGGAGGACAAGATATGTGTGTTGGTATTCACTGGCATTACGCCCGTTTCAGACGACGAACATTTAATGTGCCGAATCGAATGCAAAGACTTTAGTCATGCATTAACATTAGGTTCGGCGCATGCGAACTTCGACTTCTGAAACTGGCCTTAGTAGCCTTCAGTCTGGTTTTCGTATGGCATAATTCGTCACAATTTACATGTCGTAATTAGTTGTTATACGAAAATTTTACGAAATCCGACATATGAAAACCAAATATGAACAAATTTCAACAAATTACGACATGTGAATTACGACGAATTATGTTGTATGTAAACCAGCTTTAAAGATCGATTTGTGTCTACGGCAAACGCCAAGCCGCTACCCAACATCGTGCGTGTCTTACCTACACTATCTAAGGCTGGATTTCCACTTACAGAGAAATAGTTCGCTAGCGAAATATTGGCATGTTTTCTTTCGAATTTCAACAGCATAAATAAATTAATTCTACATTACCGCTCTCGATTCAAAAGAAAATATGCAAATATTTCGCTAGCGAACTATTTCTCTGTAAGTGGAAGTCCACCCTTAGAGTGTGCAACAATTTCGTTAAATCAAAAAAGTTCAACATAAACCTCGTGTTATTTAAGAAGTCATGTAAGAAAGCAATATGCATTATTGCTCGTGTATTTAGCGAACAATTAAATTCCAGCTTTGCAGTATGTATTTCACATTTGCCGAATAAAGTTTAATTTTTGAACGGTAAATTTTTATTGTTTTGTGACCTACTATTTTGAGTAGAATCTACAAGTAATGTCAGACTTTTATAATCTATCCAATTTCTTTCAGATGTAAACAGAAAATGGCTTCGTACGAAACCGGATATGACGATGAGCGATTCCAACATCCAGTTGGTCAGAGCTTTCACTGTGGTATTTGCTACAACGTCATCAAAGACCCGGTCATGTGTCGACATAATGAACACATGTTCTGTAGAGGTTGCATCACCAGACATCTCATGAACTCTCAGACATGTCCCACATGTATTGAGCCACTTACTGTTGACACCCTGACTCGAGCATCGCGGACCGTAACCAATCTACTGTCGGAATTAAAGATTCACTGTGAATTCTTCAATCGTGGTTGTGAAAGATTTGTGGAGTTAGGAGAGCTTGAAAGGCATGTTGTGGACTGTGGGTTTGCCCCAGCAGTCTGCTCGAATGAAGGCTGTGGTCAGGAAGTCGATAAGCAAGATTTATTGCATCATGAAACGGCCGTGTGTGAATTTCGCCGTGTGAAATGTCACAGCTGCAATGAACTTAGCCAAGAGATGGATATAGTTAAGGAAAACTTGGCTGTGATGAACCTCAAGTTGAATGAAGTCAGTGAAACCTTGAAACAAAATGAGATGAAGTTGGATAGAAATGAGAAAAGTGTGCTGGCGAACGCTGATATGGTTCAAAAACAACTCAACAAGCAGGAAGAAAGCAATCGTCGGCTAGAAGCGGACAATGTAGAAATGAAGAAATGTTTAGAGAAAGTGGCACAACAAATGGAAAGATTGACCCAGCAGCGGGAAGATCTAAAGAAAAGTATCGCAGAAGCTGTTGAACCTGAAAGAGAGCCGAAGATTATCGTTGCCGGGGGATATAATCGTAAGAGTTTAAATTCTGTGGAAATGTTCAGCCTCTCAAATGCAAAGTGGTTACCACTACAACCAATGAAACAGCCCCGTAACTTCGCATCCTCTGTCGTTTACAACAATCAAATGCTTGTCAGTGGAGGTTTTAGCAATGGTAAGGTAGTAAAGTCGACGGAGAAATCAACGTTGAAAGATGTCCATGTAAACCAGTCCATATTTTGGGAAGATGATCCTGCAGTGTTACGCGGGCCCTTGTATGGACACTCCAGTGTTGTGTATAATGGGCGGTTGATAGTCATTGGAGGTTATGATGGAACTGCATTTACACCTGCTAACATTACTGAGATATCTCTTGTTCCTCCTTATACCAGTAAAGTGTTGGTTACCCTTTCAGAGAGTAGATGGCTACATGGGGCTGTCTTGTTTGGTAACACGATCGTAATTCTTGGGGGGAAAAAAGGTTGGGATTCGTCGAATCTGAAAAGCGTTTTGTCGTATGATATTGTCAAGAATGAATGTCGTCATTTAGCGCCACTGCCTTATCCTGTGAATCGGATGGCCACTGTCAAGTGGGGTGATGACAAAGTGATTTTAATCGGAGGCAGTGAGAATGGCAATAAGTTATTGAACAAAGTACTCATATATAACATCAAAACTCAGAAGAGCCACATGTTACCAGACATGAAGTATAAGAGGAGAGGATGCGCTGCAGCAGTCGTTGGTGACACTGTGGTCGTCATTGGGGGATACGATGAAAATGGAAACTCTTTAAAGTCTGTCGAAAGTTTCAGGTTCGACTCCTTCACCTGGGAAGAACTTCCGGAAATGCAAGAAGCAAGATACGGAGCTACAACAGTTGTGTGTTAATCATGTCCTGTATATATTTAACATTTTATATCATTTAAATGTATAGTGCCGAATATTGACTTTTGATTTCCAAGAACAATGAAACAGTTTATAACATTGATCCAATTTATACTCCTGGGGCCGGTTGTATGAAAGCCGGATAGCGCTATCCACCGGATAGTGGTTTTTTCAATCGCTTCAAAATTGCCCGTTATTTGCCACAACTTTGATTAAGTCTCAGTATTCCTAAATCGAGGATCCTCTTTAATAATTGTTGCTTTCAAGCTAAAATTTTATCCCTTTTCGAGCATTTTTAGAACGGTTGAAAAAATCACTATCCGGTGGATAGCGCTATCCAGCTTTCATACAACCGGCCCCAGCTGGTGAAGTAAATGGATCGATTAATAATTTTCAGACAAAGTTACTAGTGGTGTTTGTAATTGATTAAAACTAGCGCATTTTCGTTACATGTATGTAAAGGGTAGAACGAAATTAAAGGCATGAGCGTTCAGGTTATCAAGATTTGATGTTCTGCATGGAGCCGGTTTTACGAAGGTCGGATAGCACTATCCACCATACAGTGTTTTTTACTATCGCTCCTGTTTTGCTAAAATTTGAATTAAACCTTCCTACTCTTGAAGTATATGTGTCTCTCTATCAGGGGCGCCGGAATATCGATAATAACGGGGGCAGATATTCATATATTCGTGTTCTGCATTATTAACTCCTTTTGAAATCGATTGTTTTTACGATCTGCGAACACGAATATATGAATATCTGCCCCCGTCATTATCGATATTCCGGCGCCCCTGCTCTCTATTCATTATTGGGTGAATATCTACAGGGTTTTTTTTTCAGACACCTTTTTTACAATGATAAAAAAAATAGTATCCGATGCTAAACAGCTTTCGTAGGTCTTCGTACAACGGCCTCTGATGTGCTATGTGCTCTCTGCACTTGGGCCTGTTTATACAGATGGATAATCTGTCGCAAGGGTTAATCTAGTGGATACATTGTTTTGCGTTGGTTCAAATTTATTACCATTCACAAAAAGTTTCCCGCAATCCTGCCTGCACCGTTAGTTTGTTTCTATATCTTTACTGTCGTTGTACGAAAGGGATAGTGGTTATTTTAATCGCTCCAATATTCATACCCCTTTCTTTAGACAACAGGGATCATCCGATTCATTTCTCTGGTGGATTGGCTGCAGAAACGAAGTATAATACCACATTCTTTTCATGGTGCCTAATATTGACCCGAGTCTGGAGGCTGCAGGAATGCCAATTATATAACTACAATGAAACACGCAATTTGATTGGTTCGTAGGCGTGCAGTATGAGACAATCCTGCACGGAAAGTTTACAATGCCGCTTTGCGCTGGAAATTTGACCGTCGTTTCATTGTAGTTTTTTTATACAGAAAATACTAAATGGTTTTCCGTGCAGGATTGCGTGATACTGCACTTGGAAATTTTCTGCGTGCAGTATCACGCAACTCTGCACAGAAAACCATTTAGTATCCCTTTATTAGTGTCGAAAAATTTCTGCTCGAAAGTCATGTAATATTTACTGAAATCTTATCAGACCCGAACGCCTGAATTTGAAATGAGCCAATATAGATATACAAAGGAAGTCTTAGTTTGCACCATGTCGTAATTTCCGTGTAATACGATATCC